TTCACAAATTTCAGCCATTGAGCTCCAGCACTATTCGGCTATTACAGTATGTTCAGGAGCCCATAAATAGGGTAGTTGCCAGTTATTCAGAGTTGATAAGTGCTTGATAATAAGGAAAAAGAATAATGCTTTGCACCATGTTCACCCTTCAATATGAGCTACTGCTGCAGCCGGGTGAATTATGCAGCACTGCATTAGGTCACAGAGCCACATTAGACTATTCAAAGCCTCGTAGATGAGGAGGATCCTTCATATAAACGGGAGCCAGTGAAGTGCGATCCAGACCGGGGTGATGTGAGGCCTCGTTGAGTTTTATTATATGCATATTTTTAGTCGGGTATTAACTGGGTGACAGGCTTCTTGGTTTTGGCTGCGACAAAGATAATTACAGTAGTCCAAGGGAGAGGATACAAAATCACGGAAAACCCATTTACAACTGCTGGGAAGATGAATAAATATTAGAGACCGGGACCTTAAATTACAATCCATTCCAAAGACTTGGAAATAGGAAAAAGGCAAAACGAGTTGAAGTCCCACATTGGACGTGCATGAGATGCTGCGTGTCTCCTTGGAGATGAAAACGTCGAGGTTGGAGGGCCGTTGGCCGTAACGCGGCGGGACGAGGGATCACAGGATCATTTCGGGTTTTAACTCACTCTCTTTAACCCCCCCGGGGGCCCTCAGCAGTGCAGCACTTCTTTAACCACTGTCCCTCTAATTGGCTCCGTGGATAATGCTGGAACTTTGAATTCACACGGAAGCACTTTGAAGACTGGAGTACACTCGCCCCCGGGCGCCGTCGTACATTCGCCGCCGCCGACACCGCAAAACAGAGACAGAAAGCAAACACTCAGTCCGGGGAGGATTGGAGAAAAAAAAAAAAGCGGAATGGAGAGGTAACATTTGTCTATGGACCCATGAGATTGGATGTGAAGTGAGTACAGCTGTATGGTAACAGGCTGTTAGCGAGAGAGGGGGACTCTGAGAAAAATATTTTATATACCAGGTGCTTCCCTCTCTTACAGTTTAGGTGGACCTTGTTGTACAACCAGAACTCTGCCCTGAGCTTCAATAAATGAAAAAAAATCTGCATTTTTCATCACTTACGTAATTCCGTGCATGGCTAAGCGAGAGGACCCAGATGTCCATCTCTTCCCTGGCACCCTCTGCTCCTCCTTCCCGTTTGGGGATGTACGATCCCTCCGGTGTGCTCGGGTCCTCCTCCCAACGGGGGAGTCCCTCCACAGGGAGGCATCAAGGACGACACGATGCTCCTGACATTTGGGTTCCTTTCAACGTGAAAGATCGAAACTCCTTTACGCAGAGCGGTCTTGCGGTCAGCGCTTGAGGACGGTTGAGTGGACGGCAGCGATTCGTGCCCGTTGTCCCCAGATACTTATTGATGTCCGAAAAATGTGCACGGCCTGTAGCCAGAGGAGGCACGTCTGTTTGCATCACTGCAAGTCGGCACAGCCAACATTCCTGTGCATTGGAACGCACCCGGGTGACTTTGTGGCTTGCGTAAGATGTGAGCGCGATGATGACAGCAGCGTCCCAGTGGTGTCTGCTGTCTGTTTACCGAGTCTCAGTCTGATGCCAGCGCTAAGCTCCCTCTAGGCCCGAGTGTTTATCTCGCTGCTGTTAAAGCCTCTGGTCTTTGGACCGCACCCAAAAGAAACGAGGCCCCGTCACCGTCCGGGGCGACTCGCCCCCCGGCTAACTTCCCCCGCTTGACCTCGTTTAGAGGCCCGGAGAGGCACAGAGACACAGCCAGCCAGCTCCCCAGCAGCGGCACTCTGTGAGTCCCAGTTGGACTGACGCACAGGCTTGAGACTGTGGTCAGAGCCACGTCCAGCGCCAAATTACTTCCTGGCCCGGCCTCTGCCCGATAGCGACAGCATTTCTCTCTTTCTGTAGCTTTTGCTCTCTCGTTTAACGAGCTCCCCAGAAGCAAAAGTTCACTTAACATGGACCGATTCATCGCGAGCGTGTGACTATTCTCCACATCTTTTGATCTATTAGAGAACAGACGCCGTATAATTTCCCCCGTGCCGTGTACGGCACATACGTGCCAGCTCGGTAACAACTGTACTGCATGAGCAGAGTCAAGTCTTGTCTTTCGAAACCTCCTTCATGTGCATCTGATCGTTCAGTCCGTAATTATTGGATGATGAGCTTTCCTCGGGGTTTACGTTGTGCTCTGTAGGATCGTTGCAAATATCTACAGAGGCCTATTAGTGGTTGATTTGGCAGCGTGCGATAGACCGGGAGAGCGTGGGTCCTCGGCAGGCCTTAATTAGCAGATTTGAGCAACTTCCTGGTTTCCTGGTCAGGTGGAAGACAACTGGCCTCTGCATTAATTAGTGCTGTACTCTTGGAGCTGGGTTTTATTCCCCCGCTGTGTGTTTGTGTACATTTGCATGCAGGGAGTGGAATGCGATGCCGTGCAGAGGATATGCATTTACAGAGAATGTATAGTCTTTGGTTTTTACTCTTCACTGTCTTTTTAGCACCAGTATGGATCACGCTGAAGTGCGCTTGAAACAAACATTGTTCACCCACGTCGTGTTAGAAAATGTCGGGTTTTTACGGCATGATTGATTGATTTCCTCCCGCGCCGATATTGTCCCGTTTCACTGATCGAAGGGAACAGAGCGCTGGAGGCACGAGCGCGTGAGAGGACCCAGGACTCTTTGTGAAAGGGATCATTTCCCTTGTTGTGTGAGCGGCAGCAAAGTGCTGACAAATCCACGCACTGCAGTCCTCCCATCCAGAGGAGATGAGTGGGGTCGAGGTCAGAGCCGGACGGTCATGTTCTCCCACGTCAAACTTGGAGAACCATTTCTCCGGGGACCCGGATTTGTGTTCAGCCCACTAGAGCAATCTCAGGGGTCATGAGGTCATTTAGCTTCAGTTGACGACCAGAGTCAGTAGAGAAATTGTTCTCATTTACACTGAGGCACTTTAATACCAGAGAAGATTAAATAAGGATGCTAGTAGGTATTAGAAGATATTTAAGAGCACAACATTGTTTGTGCTGCCTCTCTAGGTTTGCTCTCAAAATTCACCAGATTAATGCATTTGGCTTTAAAATTGAACCGAATTACAGTAAACTATGGGACTTTGGGGCATTTCGTATCGCTTCTGTTGATTGCCTCATACGGGTTTGATTGATATTAGATTGATTCCAGCTCTGTTTGGAAGAAACTGCACCCGAGCCGGAGAGTGAGAGATAAAACGGAGGCAGAATGTGTGCTGAGTCTATTTTTGTTTCCCTTCTATCAAACCACGCTGGCATGACAGCGTGACGCACACCCATAAAAAGGCTCTGGCGGTCACACACACATGTCGCCATGGCAATTAGTATGTCAGAGTGCACGGGATTGACAGCTGCCACAGCTGGTATGTAAACAGCGAGCGGGGGTGGAGGGGTAACGGGGGGGGGAGGACAACGCTGGCTGTCAGTCTGTGTCTCATGAATAATTAAAGGTTCGGGTCATATTTACTTGTCTCAGCAATAACAGGTAGCTGACGGGAATAAAAACACTCAAACAGTTATAACTCAAAGTTACTTTTAATATTTATTGTATCCGTAGCGGATCAAACACAGAGATTCTGTACAGTAGACTACATATATATATATATGTATTTATATTTATACTGTGGGCTGCTCGCTTTGAATAGAACATCCTCAAACATAATTAATAGCAAATGTCGTGCAAATAAAAGTAGGTCGCTGCTACGTGGGCTCTGTTTGGAAAACTAAAACAGGATGATGCCTTATGATGGATGAGTCTGGGGTTTATTTTAGTAATTGAGTATTCTTCCAAATATTCTTGAATAACTCTTTATGAAGGACAAATAGTAAATATAACTGATTAACTGATTTGATCTATATCATTTCAAACTAATTCTGTGAAGCTTCCATCACAATTACCCAGAACTATTATTATAGAACCGTTGTTTTTTAACTGTGTAAACCCAAATATGTTTAAATAAACTGTGACGTATGTGTCAGAGAAAAGCAGAAAATCACCATATTACGGAAGCTGGATCGACAGCACATTAAAATGGTTTCTGTTCACTAATGAACTCTTTCAATCCATTCAGCTTCCTCGTCGTCGCATACGAAACATTTTTGTCGGCCGAGGACCGTTTCTTGTAAATAAACAAAGTTCTGTGTACAAAAAGCTTTGTTTGTATCCTTCAGGCTTCAACGGATTCTCTAAAAGCATTTAACTCATAATATAACATTCCCCAAACTAATAAAAAAACAGCATTCAGATTTGCATCATTCACACATTTTCTTTTCCTGCTTTTTTACTCATCAATAAAATAATGCGTCGCATCACGTGCAGGTTTCTATCATCAAATCGGGGCCCCGCTTAGGAAAACATCGCACCCTTTAAGACGCCTCCTCATATTATCACGGATTTCCATTTGAGTGCTCGATATTTTGGAAACGGTGGTCCTGGAATAGAAATCCTCTTAACGCCATGAGGTCGCTCTCAAGGTCTTTCTCTCACACCTGCGAGGCCACATGATCGTTTTCTTTCTGTGTCGTCTTTAACCGTCAGAGAAGAGAAGGATGCAGTCGAAGCTGCTACAAAATGTCTTTTCATCCATCCGGCAAACTGAAAACAACATCGGCATCAATCTGAAGTCAGGTTTCTGTCAACCTTTCTCGCGTGAATTCATCCGAATGAACAACAGAAGAACGCTGGTACCTTTAAGGATACGCGGGGACCCAAATGTATTCTCACCAGAACTATAATTATCGCTTCTCCTTCAAACATGCAAATAAGTCTGTTCTTCGTTTATGCGTTTTAATTATATCTTGTAAATTTGGCCCTCGAGGCCTCTCAGTCTGCTTCCTGTCAGCCTCTCAATCCAGACACGTCTTATTGAGACTTCACACACAGTGAATAACCAGACCTCTGTGTGTGTGTGTGTGTGTGTGTGTGTGTGTGGCTGATGTGTGTTTTTCTGTGTCTTGGCAGTGCGTGCCGCTCCACGGTCACGGCTTTGTCTTGGACAAATACTCGTGCCGCTGCAGGGCGGGATTCTACCACCCCAACCGAGTGGCCGTCAACAGCTTCACAGGTGAGTCGGGCACCCGCCCATCACCTGTTCCAATGGGTGCAGGTCACTTTTTAACACAACAGAAAGGCAAATTAAAGCATGCTACGCTCGAGGTATTGGTATTTGGGCCTTTTACCGTTAAGGTACAAAGTGTAGAATACGAGCCGTCAGAGCAAACTGTCGATTGATCAGCTGACGGCTTGAGTTTGACTTCCCTGCGTGGGACATGATACATCACATTGTCCTTTCTCATAATGAAAATCTCACAGCAACGGTGACGTTGCCACCTAGTTTCCATCTTTTTTCGTCTGAATCGTCACATGTCATTTTGAACGAGATGTTCCATTGATGGTTGAGCGAGTCAAAGGAAAGTGCACCTTCAGATGTGTCCTCATGTAACGTCTTCGCCGCAAGACCGCGGTGATGAAAGAGCGCCGTGCTACTGACCTGTCCGAGGGCGAGACCCCCCCCCCTTCCCCGGTACCTGGGGATGCCAATCAGGTTCACGGTGGGAAATCTCTTTTTAATGGCAGTTACTTCTGCTGTGAGTTAATTAAAAAAAAAAGGCTTTTGCAGACTCAGGACCCCGGTGGTTTTCCAGCTGCTGCGTCATCTCAAACCAATCTCATCCCACGCAAAACTCGTACAGCGTGTTCCTCAATATTACCTCCTTTTCCCCTCCCCTGTCTTAATGCCCACTTTGATAACCATAAAACATTTTCCCGTCATAGAAAAAAAAAAGGCTCTCTGCTTCTTCCTAGTTTTGAACACCAATTTGACTTTTGATGACGTTTTGATGACACGGGGACGTCCTCAACACAGAAAACCGCTTTTTGTCTCCCGGTGGCCGAGCCTCAGTTCCCTCGGACCGCCGGTCAACCCGCTGAGGAGGCGCTGAAGGACGTGACTCATTTCCACGGAGACGGAGTCACAGCTCTGATGAATAGGCCCGTTTCCTTTTTTAAAGACAACATCCCTGAAAATCTCTGAGACGACGGCTGCTTCCAATAAAGCCTCCGTGTGAGTCTCCTTATCTGGCCAATCATACGGGCGTTTACCAATAACTAGTCCCGCCTGGTTCTCACCTTAGTCAACCCCAAGCTTCCACTGGTTTATACCTCAGACTCTTCAACACACGCACTTTTATATGATCTTTTATTGCGGTTTGAGCCGCTCCGTCCTGAGACTCCCCGGTCGTCCTCGTCGGGGATTAAGTGACTCGGGTTCCGGCGCGTCTCCGTGGACTTTTTTCCGAGGAAGGAGGAACGCGGTGTTGACTTTTCCTGTTTGCGTGGTACGGATCCGTCTCCCTCGCGTTGACACAATGTCGATGAATCCTTGTAAGGTCAGAGAGGGACAAGAATATATATATATAATCACAGAAGCCCTTCATCTCCTTTATCTTTTAATAATGGTCCCACGTCCAGAGGAGAACTCAATAACACGGGAAACCTACGGAAATGCTACGTTGTTGCTACACAATCTGCGTCCAACCTCTTTATGTGCGTGACAACACTTATTAGTGCTCATGTGAATTGGGTTTCATGGAATTGCTTCATGCAGAAAAACACAGATGACAATAACAACGTTTAGAAAAAAAGCTTTTAGAATTTATGATCTTGACCGTTGTTTCTGTACGAGATGGCGGGACCGGGGTCGCTGACCTCTCTGCATCTTGTTTTTCGGGGGGACAGGGACGGGCAGGAAGGGGAAAGCCAGGGACAGCGGCCCCAACGCGGACGAGGGGTCCTCCAGCGACTGCCTGCCGTGCCGGCAGGGCTGCGCCTACTGCCGGGACGAGACCCCCTGCGTGGCGCCGGAGGACGGCGCCCTGCGCCTGGCCGTGGTCTCCGTCCAGTGCCTCTGCGTGCTGCTGGTCTTCGTCGCCATGGTGCTCGTCTACCACTTTCGCAGGAACAAGGTGCAGCTTTTTTATTTCGTATTGTTACACCGCTTAAATCGTCGAGGTGGTTCACGAGGATCTCCTGCAGCGCGCGAGGGATTCACACATTCAGGCCGCGACTGCAACATCACGTCCGTTAGGCGCTTGATGTTTGCCGGGCCGCGTGGTCATCAAAGCCGCTTGGATCAATAAGGCGGCGAATGTGCCCACCGGTCGCCACCACGAGGCTTAGAAATAACTTCAAACAGATCAACTCGTCAGCGCCTTCTACGTATACCACCTAATAATTCACAATGAATTTAACTGGTACTTTTAATACAAGTAATACGGTGATGAAGAGCACCAACGTAGACTAATATTATGCGTAGAAAGACGAGTGACAGGCCTTTTAATGTAGTTTCATCTGATACGTTTGACTAATATCTGTCGAACTGCTGAGCTCAGTTTAAATGACAGTGTTTTAGAGTAAACCTCTGACCCAGCCGGCGGACTCCTCTGAGCCTCCAGCTGTTGCTCTCGATGAATCGTCTCAATTAAAATCCGAGCGGATTTGCCACAGTGCCGACTGGCCGCTTTCTCGCTCGCTCTCACCTGGAGTCTCCCGGCTTCACGTCAGCCGCGGTCCAGCAAAAGGTCGCTCCCGTTAAATAATGCAGATGAAAGGGTGAGATACTCCAGGGCTTTGTCATCATTTAAGCGCCACGTATGTAATCCCCTTACTTCTTATCATGCAGAGTTTAAGAGCTTAGTTTCTAAGCTTCTCACACAAAGTTTTTCATAAACAAATGACTTCATTTGGCTTTGGGATGTGAACGGATGTGAAGCAGGATAAGCAGTGAAAGGCTTTGAATGGTGTGTTTTTAAGCCAGTGGCCCGGTTGTCCTGCGCTCTTTGAAAGCCCCCTCGGGCACCTTTCTCGGTTCCTGGGACGATATTTTGCTAAATATCTTACTCAATAGGAGCACAGAAAGAGGCTGAAGTGGTGAAGCCTTCTATAAAAAAAAGTCCTTGAGGCGGAAGCTTTCAATGTGCTTTGTTCTCTCGGCACCAACAAAGAAGAAAGCTCCACTCCGCTTTTAAATCCTCCAGGAATATCATGATATCCGGCTGTTTTAACTTGTTTAGACCTGCTGCAACATGAGGGGAATTTTAAAAGAGTTATATTCCCCACTCTGCTATATCCCTTTTTTTAGAGAAGAAGAAAACAATTGTGAACCTTATAATTCTGTTATTTTGGACATAAAAATAAAGATTTCTTGCCATTTTAAATATAATGCTGCTGAACTAGCATGAGCATTTAGCGTTTAGGGTGGTGGAGACCAAAACAAAGCGAAAGCACAGTCAAAAACACAACTCCGAAAGTGGCCAAACATCTGTCTGTGTCGGTTTAAGTAAATGATGCATAAATAACCTGTACAGCTAATTAAATAACCAGTGTATCCGTCTTCTTCCGCAGAGTATCCGGGCGTCGGGTTTAGTGCTGCTAGAGGCCATCCTGTGTGGAGCTCTGCTGCTCTACTTCCCGGTAAGACGCTGGTGTGTGTGTGTGTGTGCGTGTGTGTGTGTGCGTGCGCGTCGTGTTCCTTTGCTCATCTCTCGGTTGACGAACCTCACGCCGAGCCCCTTCCGAGCGGAACCCCCCCCCCTCCGACTGAAGGCTGGCATTCGGTTTGACCTTCGGCCCTCGCTGTCGCTCGCTCATCCGAATCAACGCGAAGCCTCACGTCTGCCTCGGCGGAACGGAGACGGATGGTTTGACTCCTCGGATCGTAAATCAGACCAGTCGTCTCCGGCTTTTTCACGGCGTCGTGGAGCGGTGACGGGCTTTCACAGTTCGAGGCGCGATGGATCGGGACCGGCAGTGACAAACATTCAGGGGCTTTTTTTGGCAGTACACATGGAGCACCCTGTACTTCATAATAATACCTCTTGGTATTGACAGGAATACAAAAAGTGCTCCTATCAAACAACCAGAAAAGGCTTTTTGTGAGGACTTTGGCAGAAGAGCATTAACATGTGGAGAAAGTAAAACTTTTATTATTCTATCCTGCATCAGCAATGAATTTGATCTCATTTTGTTCAGAAGAAACACGGTTTGCTCGGCAGACTCTGTACCATCGACCCACTGAAGTCCACCGCGACGTCCTCCTCGGGGCGTCGGCTAATGGCAATTCAGTCGCCGTCACGTGAAGCTACATGCTTAGCGAGGCATCGCAGGGTAGATGTGATTAACGGCCACCGATTTAAAGCCGGCTAATCAATGCAATTTGCTGCGACGAGGTCCCGGGAAGTAATAGTGTTTGAAATGTGCAGGCTGAGAGTCGGGTTATTGGTCAGCGAGCGGGCGATCAGGCCGGCGGAGCGACGCCGCCGAGGTGATAAAAACAGGCCGCTTACAAAGGGAAGTCAACTTTGAATCCTGCATAGTTCACAGATTCTACTGGAATATGCTGTTCTATGCATGTGCATATCTCGAGCCGATGGTCTGTCCGCATAGCTCCAGCACGCCGGGTTGATCTCCACCCTGATGCATTTTCATGTCTCCCACCAGCGAGCGATGGGGGGGGGGGGGGGGGGGGGAAAAATTCATTTTTGTTTTAAATATAAATTCCGAAAAAATCCCCGCGCCGCCTCTTTGTTTTAAAAAATTTCTCTGTTATTAAGCGGCAGTAGATGCATCTCTGCTGCTCCCGCGACATTGGTTCCCCCCCCCCCCCCCCCCCCTTTTTCCCTGAGTGTGTCGCATGCAATAACCCCCCCCCACCCCCCTTTGCTTTGAAATAAAAACGGAGGGGAGAGGATTGGGGAGTGAAAGAAGAAGAGAGGGAAAACTAAAGCCGGCTATTTCCGTCTTGCCGTGAAAGGGGGGGGGGGGTGTGGGGGGGCTAATATGATCCCTGGATTAGCTCGCCCGCGTTTGTCTCGTTGCAGCTCCTTATTGACGCTGCCGGGGAGGATTAGATGGCAGCGAAGTGACGTAGTTCAGTTGTTTAAAAAAATATATATCGACTCCCGCAGGAAAACACACACGCAGCACCGGCCTCCAACCCGTGCTTCACAATAACGGGCCCCCGACGCGAAGGCCAAGCAGATTCCACACGGTGCGAGGGGCCCCGCTGTCAGAGTCTATAACCCCACGTTGGAAGGGCGAGGTGGCCCAGTTGCCCCCAACGATGACGTCGCCACGTTTGCTTTCCCTCTCCTTTCTTCCACCTTTTGTTTACTTCTCTTCCCAGTATTTCCCCGCTTTTTCCTTTCCTTCCATTCCAGCAAGCGGATGGGAAACGGTTCGGAAATCGGCAATAACAACATAACAAGCGCGTGAAAGAGTTCTGAAGACCGGTACCTTTGAGTGACCTCCCTGCCTTTCTTTCTTGTCGTACCACCTGTCCAATCCCAGCATTGTCTCGGCGGCGCGCATGGCGGGCGGGGCTTCACAGCACATTGGGGGGCTAATGAGAAACAGCGCGGCCTGGGGGGGGGGACGAGGTTTCCTGACCCGACAGCCCGTGAAACACCGGTCGGCCAGCCGGTTCCCTCCGAGCTGCGCTGACACTTTCAATCCCACCTAAGTGGATTTGCAGGGCGGCTGTTCGCATTCCCAGATGTCCCCGAACGCCTCGCCTCCCACAGCCCCCCTCCCACAGCCCCCCACCCACAAAAAGAGGTTGCTTCTGCCTACAACGTGCAGACAGACAGAAACGGACGATGGACAGCGTGACTTTGCGGGGTGATCTGTCCCTCTCCGCCCGGGCGAGAAGGGAATAACTCAGCGCCTGACTGGGTTGATGAGGAGGGGAGGGATGGGAGGCAGGGGGGGGGGGGTGGGGGGGAGGGGCTGTGGGAGGCGAGCAGCAGCCGTCCCGGCTGCACACAGTGTGAGCTGGATGTAATTTACACCCGGCCCACCTCGGGGAGCAGCGGGAGCACAAGAAAGCATTACCTGCCCCCAGAAAGAGAGGAAAAAGCCCTCCTCCCTCCCCCCTCCTCCTTCCCACTCTTCCCCTTCTGATCCCCATGGGGCGGGAGGGTGTGGACTTAATATAGAAGGCATCCGTGGCAATAAAAAAAAAAGAAGGAAAAAGCATGCCCCCACCCCCCCCCTCGCCTGCTGCCTCCTCCTCCCTCTCTCTCATACTGACGGTGTTTCATGGAGAGAAGAAGATGGAGAGACAAAGACCCGAGGAAACGCCAAACGGGACGTCCGTCCTCATTTCATGTCCACGCATCACAAGCAGATCTTTGTTGTGACCGAATGATTCCCGAGGCTGCACACACACACACACACACACACACACACACACACACACACACACACACTCAGACGCACTAAATGGCTCAAAGTATTTTGGGCTGGTGGCGGATTCCTGTGAAACAAAAGGCAGAACTCGCGCGCTGTCCGATCCTTTGACCGGAACTGGCCGACGGTTTTAGATTTAGTCATAAAATGTACAGATTGATGTGTTTGCGCCGCGTCACTGACGGATGACTAATACGTGATATTTTATTTTGCCATTTTCATTTCAGTAAGTGCTCCATTAGCATGAGGTCGCCCTTAGAGCTGCCAAACGGTGACGACAATAATTCAAACCATGATTTTAATCTCTTACTAAATCTACCAGGCAGGATTCAGAGGCGTCTGCACCATTCTTCAAGTTTCTGTCCACATTGATTGAGAGATTAACAAATGAATATAAACACTTCTGGGCAGATTGGCGAGCGGTCGAGTGTGTATTTGGGCTCGACGCTGAGTGCAGTGATCACGGCCTTTGGGGGAAACTGACCTTCACGCAAAAGGGGACCAATCCCTGAAGCAGCATCAGTCGGCATTTTTATTGTCTACTTACAGGTTAATTACAAACTGCTGCTTTTTGATCCTCTGTTTCTCTCAAGGCATTGAGTCTAAAACAAGAATCCACCCACTTTTTTCTGGCTTTATTTGCTTAAAATCTCCTGTTCGCCTTAGAGCGAGATCTAATTATCTGAAGCTGTCTAGCACAAAATGATTTGCGTTAACCCCGTGCATACCGGTGGTGTGTGCTGTGTGGCACATCCAGTCGGCCGTTCTCTCCACTTGTGTTTGTGAGGTAAACCTGCCCTTTACCTGAACTCCAGTTGCACTTCATTCACGTGCTTCAAACGGGCCTGTACAGCGTCCCGGTGATTTGTGCGACATTACACCGGCTCCCCTCGCGGCCCCCGGCGGTCCTGCGTCAGCGCCGTGTCACCGGGGACGACGCTCTCTGGCTGAATCCGACAGTCGATGGCGAGGAGGAAGATGTAGCTGCGAATGACGTGACCGAGTGTTGATTAAATCGCGGTGAGCGTGTGAATCTCTGTTTGTCGTGCCCCACTGGGAGGTCTCTGTCCTGCTGGTGGTGTGTGTCTGTGTTTAAGTAAATATCTGAGCAAACTGGTGGCACCGTCACTGGCGCCATTGGTGGCGCGTGGCTGCGGTGATCAGGTTGAGGCCCTTTGGGAGTGAAAGTGCATTCTCTCCATTGGCGGTGGAGGTTTGTGAGAAAATGACCCCTGACTCCACTTCTCACTGTATTTTATTACCTCAGTAAATGCGATACAGGTTTATGGTCTCAATCTCAACTGAGTCCAAATATCACATTTTATATCACAAGGTTTTAATGCCGACGGCTCTCATCGAAAGATGGCGGCGGCCAAATCGCCACGAACTCGAGGCTTCAAAACCTCGTCCCCACGACTGCCTCCACTTCTCCTCCGTGTTTCACGACGGCGTCACGTCACGGTTCCAAACCCCCCCCCGACCGCAGCCGATGTTCCCATCAGCAGGCGTCACGTGCTCGAGCCGCTGACTCGCCGCCCCACCGGTCAGTGTTGATGCGACGACTGCTGTCAGGTTGAAATGTCCTCCTCGAAGGGGCTGCGTGCGCGCCGATAAGAGACGACGTCCGTCGAGCCTCGAGCAACGCCAGTTCACAAAACGTCCATTGGCGTCAAGTGTTTCTATTATTCAGAGTTTGCCACATAAACGTGGAGGTGACGGCAGATAATTTACCATCAATGGCGATAATAAATAAAGACGACACAACACTGTTAGAGGAGGTTTTATTCCTAGAATCGGCAAAAGAGTGAACATTAAAAGAAATTAGACTAAAAGTCGTCCACATCTGTTACATGTGTTCAGATGTCCCGTGTTGACGAAGTCATTAAAGTGGATAATTATCAGATTGAAAGCTACATTTCGGTTCGAATTTAAAATAATATGTGATCATAGATGAGCATGAATACAGGACGATTGCGATAAATTCACTGAGAATTTCCTCATTTAATTAATGAACGTAACTTGAATGCACATAAATACAGAGAAATCAGATTGCAACCATAATTATTGTCAATTCTGATTTTCCAAGAACGTTGAATGCGTGTTTGCTTTTCATTATCACAAGTAAGCGCGCGACACGATGTATCGAAATGCGATATAATCAAAACACGATTCCAATGAAAGACGGCGAGTCACCAGACGGGCGTTCAGTCGATCAGAACCACCTTCATGATGCTTTTGGAGCAGCCGGACATCGTGGCCGTGATGGTAACGTTGTCCCCCTCGTGGTGCAGACTGGGACCGTTGGCTTCGCCGCTGACGAATGCTGCGTTTTCGTTTTTGGACATCTCATTGAAAAGATCGAGGTCGCACTCCTTGCTGGTGTCAAAGATTCCCACGCCGAACTGGTTTGACTTCTTGTTCCGGTCAAACGGAACCCGGTACAGCACAGCGATTCTCTTGGAGCATTCTTTGGTAGAAACGTTGAGGAGGTCGTATGTGAAGACCCCGAAGCATCCTTTCGTTTGGACCGAAGGCTTGGTGAATAGAGCCTCTCCAGACGAGGAGGGTTGGATGCGAGGCGGCAGAGGTTCCATGCAGCGTCCCACACGGACGTAGAGTCTAGAAATAACAGTTAACGACGTGAGAAGGGATCTCAAAGTGAGAATGAAAGGGCATCTAAAAGGTTGCGTTTACCTGGGTCCATGAAGAGTGTAGCGAGAACTGTTGTTCGTGAGCGTGACTTTGCACTCGCGTTGTATTAGACTTGATTTGGATAGTTTTCCTGCAATGTTAAGTCCAGTAGACGCCATCGATGTGATGTCCTCAGCACATTGAATGGCGTCAGCCACCTCTTCCAGTTCGGCCATTTCTGCAAAACAACAACTGTAACTTAAAGCAGCCCAACGTGGCTTTAAATGCAGCAAATAATTAGCAACAATCGAACCAGCAAATTGGCAACTACATTTTGAACTAAACGAGTAAACTAAATGAAAAGGAAACTCCGAACGTGGAAATAATGGGAAGATTTTGTATTTGTTAAAAAGTTAATATTCACTCTTGATATGCATCAAATTCGCTCGATTCGCTCGCACTTAACAACCACCGGGCGAAGTGCCTGGACTTAAGTTACCATCATACCTCCAGCTTTCACTGAAAGTATACATTACATTTTCACTGTGCCAGTTCAGCTCCACGCCCTCCTCACTCTAAACGCCCGTCAGTCCAGCCTGATCTCCAAAACATGTTCCTTAAAATGTATACGGAAATCTTGAAGAAATAAATACGGACTGCAACCGATGACGTCGCCCTACTCAAAGTAAACGGGGACAAATAAACGTGTTATGATTGCATTTTTAACGAGAAATCAATGTTAACTTGTAAGAATAGAAGACTGACCCTAACCCCCTCAAAAAATCCAACATGGCGGAGAGACGTTCACTCGAGAATCCGACATGGTCCGCCATGTTGGTTTTGGAGATCACGTTGGTCAGTCTCACACACGTTCGCTTTCGTGCCTGAATCTGCAGCACTGGTTTTTCAGCCGGATCGCCTGATGCCGACCCTGCCTGTCTCTGTTTAACCCGCCGCCCTTTGTCAGTCGTTACTCTGCCTGCTGTTTCCAGAGCTTTAAATAAAAGGTCAAAGATCCCCTGCAGTCGTGTGGGTAAAAGTTAAATACAAGGCAAGGTATAAAAATCCATCACCGATAGACGGTCATTAAGAGTTATTAGTATGCGAGACTTCCAGTTACGACTGTAAGAATACTTGGATTTAACAGGTGCCATCTTTTTTTTAAAGCAGAGCTATTTCCTCACACCCACCTGGTTCTCTTTGGATGAACGTTCTCCTTGGACGAATGCCTCTGAACAACTGCTGAAAGCTCTGGCTGTCTGCCCTCAAACCTGCTTTTGTACGGTTTATAGACGTCTCAAATCCGAAGTAAGCAATTTACGACATTGGTAAACACCCGCTTACGAGTGGTCATACAGTGATTTCCAGGAATCATTACTTTGATTCTCGACAGGAGATAAGAGATAAGCAAGCTTGGATGAGCAAGAACGTGAAAGCCATTAATTTAATCTCCTTTTTGGAGGTTAGAAGGGAGACGCCCTTTAATTACCATGAATAAAACAGATTTGAAAAGTCATCAACCTCTCGTGTAGGAGAGAATGCATTTTTTTACACTTCAAACTCCAAAGGACTTGTGCAGCTAAAAGTCAAGTGAACAATCACCCCAACATTTGTGCTGGAGTTCTGTGCATCGAGCGGAATGCAGCGGCTCAGGTTTCTGCCGGTTTAGCAGAAGCAGGTGTTGTTCTTTGCTCAACATGCCGGTCAAAGGAAGAACACCTAGCTGTCAGGATGACCTGTGAGTTATATAACTCAATTGTTAGGAGCAAAGGTCGTTTATCTTGGTATGTGCAATCAAAACTCTTTATTTAAGCCATGCACCTGCTTGAGGTTCAACCTTAAAACAAAAAGACCCTCCGTGGTCTACAGAGGATACGGTGAGTTCTACTTAATTGAACCAATCAATAGTATTAATAATTAATGGAGCAGTTAAAGATACAGTACAGCACCGTTACAGGGTTATTTATTACATGCCAACGAAGTGAGAATTGAAACAACTTCTCTAAAGAAGTTCTTTTGGGTTGTTTGGACAAAGTCATGAAAGCCTGTGAAACTAAGACGTGACCGGATTGTGATACGATTCCATTGAAAGACCACGAGCCAAGCTCGCCAAGCTCGCCAAGCGCCAAGCGATGATCCGAGTGAAGCTCCGTTATCCACCACAGAGGAAAAAAGATTTCAAGTTTTCGATGAGATCCTAATCTGCACCGTCGGAATACTTTAAATTAAGCCTTCTTATTTCCTGTCAAATATCAAATGACGTCTTCAGCCCTGACAAAAGATTCCCATTATTTGATTCAAACATTTTACAGGTTATATAAATGATCATCGTTCTTTTACAAAGAACTAAACCAAATAATTTGGTCGTTTGGGTCAAACAAATGGAAAATGTAAAGATTACGTACAAAAAGGTCCTTGTGCGTTCCGATAAGAGACAACCTGCTTTGTAGAAAGTCACTTGAAAGATTAAGACAGAAGTAACAAAGACACCCTGGAAAATAGAAATTGGATAAATTTATTGGGAAATAATCACTTTGTAAATAACGTTAAATAAAGTTTTGTATACTTCTGTGTGAAATAAATATTTTCTCATTTAATTAATGAACAAGCAAAATTCCAATAAAATGTTTTATTTTCTGTCTTATCCTGTCTTAGTCGACAAAAATGAATGAAAAGGAAGATAAATCAGATTTCAAGCATGAGACAAATCCTTATCGATTCAGATTTTACAAAACACCGGAAATGCAATTTAATGCCAACACGATTCCAATGAAAGACGACGAGTCAGCAGACGGGCTTTCAGTCGCACAGAACCACCTTCATCCTGGGTTTGTAGCAGTCGGACATCGTGGCCGTGATGGTAACGTTGTCACTCTCTTGGTGCAGACCGGTCTCTCTGGCATTGCCGCTGACGAATGCGGCGTCTTTGTTTTTGGACATCTCATTGAAAAGATCGAGATTGCACTCCTTGCTGGTGTCAAAGATTCCCACGCCGTACTGGTTTGACTTCTTGCTCCGGTCAAACGGAACCCGGTACAGCACAGCGATTCTCTTGGAGCATTCTTTGGTAGAAACGTCAAGGAGGTCGTAGGTGAAGACCCCAAAACACCCTTTCATTGCGACCTCGGGCCTGGTGAATACCCCCTCTCCAGACGAGGAGGGCAGGATGCGAGGCGGCAGAGGTTCGCTGCACTGTCCGACATGGATGTAGAATCTAGAAATAACAGGACCAAGTTAATGACGTGAGAAGGGATTTCAAAATAAGAGCAAAGTGGCAACTAAAAAGATGCATTTACCTGGGTTTATAAAGAGTGTAGTGAGAACTCTCGTTTCTGAACACGACTTTGCACTTGCGGTCTGTTGGTATTTTTTTTGTAAATTTCCCTCCCAAACTCAATGCAGGACTCATCAGCGACGCTATGCCATCAGCACTTGAAATGATGTTAGCTGCCTCCTCCAGTCCTTCCATTTCTGCGAAACAACTGTAACAAAGAAACATTTTAACCAACAAACTAAATCGGAGCACAATCTTGACCAGATGATGCTTAATAAAATGTGTCTTTAATGTACACATGCACGGAGTCAATGTGAATAAGTGTTGTATTTAACCCATTTCACATGGAAGTGGGTACAAATTAGAGAATAATGGTCAACGCATTGGTGTTTTTTGGAGTTTATCAAACAACCTCAACCATATTCTTTTGTGACTTATTATTGCCTTTTTGTGAATATGAAATTGAATCGCTCCCCTTTTACTGTTTCACTGATCACGTTATTTCTCTACTTTTCTCTTCCACTTCCAACCTGCAAAACATTTCACACGTCCATCGTTATTCTTTTACAAAGAACTAAACCAAATAGTTTGGTCATTATTAAATGGAAAATGTAGACAATAAGTGTTCTTCAAGTCATTTCTACTCCGCCGTGGTTCTGCTTGCCTGCGATGAACACCTTGCAGGAACTGCTGCTGGAAGCTCTGCTTGTCAGCCGTCCAACTTTGCTTCATACACAGCTGATGGATCTTGAAACCTGCTACTCCAGGAAGTTGGGTGGCATTTTAAAGTAAGTAGGTGCCCTCAAACATACCTCGGGAATAAATTAATTAAAGGGTGTTACTCCTCTGGTGTACATGGAGAACGTGTTTGTGCACGAGATAATTAAAAAGAAAAGGCCTCAGTACAAGTTATGAAATCTCTTCCATCTGGGCCGAGGAAAAGTTAAAAGCCGTTAAAATAGTAAAAACTGCAACAATCGACATGTAGATGAAAACGTAGCACAAAAACTAAACCATACTTGTTGTACTTTCGGCTCATCGCGGCTTAATCGGTTGTACGTTTGCCGAGTCGGGATGAGAAGGCGGAGCTAAGTCAATCCAGGTGTACATGTCCGGGATAAGTGCAAGTTCACGGCTTTCTTAAGTAGAACACGGCATCAATCACAGATATATGCTCATATTTTTTACCCGCTGAGCAGCAACTACTTATGAGTGAAACACATAATACGCAAAAAAAGGAAAATCTGCGGCTGTAATTTAACAGAGAGAAAAAGCCTGGCAGAAAATCGCGGACCGACTGAATGCGGATTTAAAAATATCGACTTACTAGGAAAGTTCTCTATGAACTGTGTCAAATATCTTTCTAGTTGTTTACATCAGTGGTCCAATTGAGAACAACTGATGCAATAGTGAGTAAGTAATGCGTGTTAATGGAAATAAATCAGAACACATTCAGAAGACAACGGAATAACTGTTAAGCACGTTTGTTTCAGAGCGGCAGCGGATTCAACACATGAGATTAATCTTAGTCTGCTGTCAGATGCAAAGAATAAACCGCCGTGGTCACTTGGCTGGTTTCATTCAACCTGCTTTCGTGCAACCAAGTCATCCAGCTAAATTCATCCAGGATAACTTGAATATCCAGGTTTAATCCCATATTGTGGATTTGTGCAATAGCCCTCTGGTCTGGTCAGAGGGAAACATCAGCTGCATCTGGATCAAAGCATTATAAACAGTTACTGTCACACTGATGTAAAACCATGTCGGGTGGTGAGACGCCTTCTGGATACGCTAACTCAGCATTTCCTCCACTGACGCTGTAACTGAGACGAGACAAAGTGTGTGGGGGGGGGGGGATGTTGATAATTGTCTCCTGGATATTGATGTCCATTAAACAGGTATGAAGCACCCCGGTCCTCTCAATCCCTGCACACACACACACACACACACGGAAGATCCGGTTCTCTCAGCGCTCAATCTAAGATTCCCAGCACTTATCATTGATTATTAATGGAAGGTTTAAAAAAAGGGAGGGAGGGGGTTGGGCAGAAACTGATCTGGCTCTTTATGCACACTGGCGTTTAAGAGAGACCTGGACCTGGGGGGAAGTGGGGGGGGCGGCAACTGGTCCGTCGTCTTTTCCCAGAAACCCCTCTGATGGAAAGTGCACGGCTCGTGTCTGAGGTTTGAGAACAACCATCACGCTGACGAGTCACCGGGGATTTAAAAGAAGAATAAAAGACATCAGCCTCAACCTGTTGTACCTGAACACCTGAAGTGTCAACTGCCCCGAAGACACACGTTAAAACCACACCTGTCGCCCAGAGCCGAGGCTTTAGTCGTCCTCTTTATTCTTTAGTTGCTCTCAGTAACTTAACATGTTGGTAACTAATGTGTGTGTGTAGTGGGGGTGTATGCAGACGCCCCCCCACCCTCTCCGTCTCATCACAAACCTGTGATCCAGATGTCTAAAAAGGACTCGTGAGCCGAGTGTCCCCCGGGTGCTTTTTTTTTTCTTCCTCTTCTTCTGCCCCCCCACGGGGCTCGATGTGCGTCAGTCGCCTCCTGCTCCTCTGACGCCGCTTAACAGCAACAAAACAAAAGAATGCACCGGGGGGGTTCAGCCGTTGTTATTTAGGGGAATTGTTTTTAAGGCTGAAATGTAGTTATAGAAGCATCGGCCGGAGCAAAAGTCCAAAAGCATGAATTGTGTTCCTGTGGCCCCCTTTTCTCTTCCATGGGCCCTTTGTGCCCCTGGTGGGGCCTTGGCGTGCCTCGACCGACTCAGACCGTGACCCGGTCATAGCCGGGGGGGCGCAGCGATGCCTCGGCTAATCCGATTAGCGTTAATCCCACAGGGTGGGGGGGTGGAAGGGGGTCGCTGCACATCTGCAACGCTGCGATAATTAATAAAAGCCTCTGATGTTTTATTTCCTTTTCCTGTTTGTTTCGGCGCACTTTGTGACTCATCAGTGTGTGTGTGTGTGGGGGGGGGTTCATCTCAGTGTTTCTGGGTCTTTGTAGCAGACGCCCCCCCCCCCACCCGTCCCGAGGGGAGGCTTTGTGTGGTATTAGCGGGCTCAGATGTATTTGTTGTTTTTAATAATGTTTGTGTAGTTGTGAAAGTCGGCGATCCGTCTCGTTTTTATCGTTATTGAGTTCATCAGTGTTCTGTGAAATACTTCAGGCCTGAATTCCTCCAGAAAAAAACAATTTAACTTCATCGAGATAATATAGTTTGAGCAAAGTAATAAATTTTTCCTGATTCCTGAGTAACTTCACTCACTGTTTTAATTTCGCTTTCATTTCTGTCTCTTATCCAGTCGTACATCTGAGACGGCTGATAACATTTAAAGTGCACTGTGATGGAGGAGAAACAGGTCTTAGTCATCGTGAGACAAAGGAGCAGGTGACTGTGAGTTAATGAGTGATCCAGAGAGCATCACGTAGGCCCTTCAGGGAGCGCGTACGTGGAGACTCGAGGCCCCGTTGTCCTGCACACAAACACTCTCGCGGTTAAACTCCGTCCAGGCGTCTTCTGAGGCTTCTTCTGTCCCCTCGCAGGTCGGGATTCTCTACTTCCAGCCGAGCGTTTTCCGCTGCATCCTGCTGCGATGGGTTCGGCTGCTGGGTTTCGCCACCGTCTATGGGACACTGACTCTTAAGTTGTACAGGTAACACACACACACACACACACACACACTCATCTACACACAGCCATTTGTCCAACGTCATTATCAGTTCCTGGAAATCAGATTGTCTCTTAAAGTGCCGTCACGCTGTGTCTTCTCCTCGTGGAAGTAGGAGCCGTATGTAATGTGGAGGGCGGCGTGTTGCTCCTCTAATTCATCACCAGACGTTTGGGAAAGGAGGGAGGGAGGGGGGGGGGGGTCAGTGCCTCACTAAGTGGAAAAGGGAAATGCCAAGTAAAAGTAATTAGGAAAACACGAGGTGCCTTGGCCCCAAATGCCCCCCATCCATAACGTGGTGGTAAATGAAGGCTGGCGGGAGACAAACTGAGAGACAAATGTGTGGGATGAGAGGCAGAGACGGGACATCTGGAGGAAAGAGGGACTGGGGGAGGGGGGACTCGCTGATTATCAGACTGGGGGGGGGGGAGGGGGTTGCTGTATTTAGGCTGTATTGCACCTAAATGTGATCATCTCCAGGTGAAGCCGTCAAAGATGGTGAGGACGGTGAGGATGTGGCCCTCAGAGGGGCACGGATCAATTTCTGATTGGGGGTTATGGTGGTTGGGGGGGGGGGGGGCGGCCTCCGTGGGTTCAAAGCTGCAGGAAAGCTGAGAGACGATGATGCTTTTCATATAAATACTCGATCTGCTCATCGGCCGTCTTTGGGTTTACTCCTCTGTGGGGAATCACTGGTTCAAAGTTCAACAAACCGGACGGATGAGGAGACATTTGCAATGATGATTGTTTTGTTCTTACCGCCCCCTCGCCCTCTCTCTGCCGCCTCCCTGCAGGGTGCTGAAGGTGTTCCTGTCCCGCACGGCGCAGAGGATCCCCTACATGACCAGCTGGCGAGTGCTGCGGCTGCTGGGCATCATCCTGCTCATCGTCTGCTGGTTCCTGGTGGCCTGGACTTCCGCCGTCTGCCAGAACCCGGACCGGAAGTTGGCTCTGATCGACGTGGGCTACACGCCCGACGGGCTGCAGTTCAGCATGTGCCTGCTGGACCGCTGGGACTACATGATGGCCGTCGGTAAGCCCGACTTCCCCGCGTTTTTTGGATACGTGTGTGAGGAGGAAGAGGGCGATGAAGGCAGGAAGTGTTTGAGATGCTGCATGCCGACGCGCATTTTCACCCTGTTTACCGGCTCGTTGATGCCGCGGTGGAAGTCGGCTCTCATTAATTACACAAACTACATCTTTCTGATTTACGAATGCGCCCCACCAAACACCCGCAGTCGGGGGTCTCATTGTTGTGCTTTTGATATTTCTTTTCTTTTCATGACTGTAAAAAAAAAAAAAAAGCGACTTCCAACGCAGTGCTGATTTAATAATTCAGCACACTTTATTAATTTCACAACAAAACTGCAGCTAATTTAATCAAAACATTATAATCCATTCAAAAAAGGGTCGTTAATAGTATGTGGTTTGGTTTAAGATCAATCAATCAAATAGTGTTATCTGCAAATAAGAAGAACCGTGGAGTTTTTTCTTTGGCTCAAAGTCTTTCATTATAATTAATATTCAAATTCAAATGTTCCACACTCTCAAACAAGCTGTTTTTGATTGAAAACCATGTTCATATGTTGTTAATAAAAGGTCCAGATGCTCTGAACTATCTTACTAATACTATATTATTCAAAAGCTCTTCTATTTACAATAGTTGTACATTTTGTTGTTGTTATTAATGCCTCAGTATCTATAATTATCTGCCTGTTTTATGGAGCTTCCAACAAGAGATCATTAGAAGCCTGATAGTAAAGAGAGAGAGAGACATGCAAAGCAGACTCATGCTTAATACTTACCAAATAATTTACGTTTGCATTGTATATTCAAAGCTTCTTTCTTGTTTTGTAAAAGATGGTTTTAATGTCGCTCATCTTATTGTTTGACATCACTCTTAATGATAGTTTTTATTCCTCAATTTAAATTATGTCATTAGATGAAATGCTAAATCCTAAGAAAGATGTGGAATGTTCCTTTTGCTTTCGCTCAGATATCTCGACCTTCACTCGGCCGTCATGCGACCTTGAGTCAACAGCTCTCCTGTGATTGGCCGGTTTCATTGAGCGCTCACATCTCTTCCTGCTGGGAGGGAAACATGTGACACGCTCCCTCCGGCTCGAGCAAGGGACATAATACGTAAAAAAATAAAGGCAGCACGTCTTCATGGAAAAAAGAAGCTTGTTTATTGCAGGGGGGAGTTTGGTGGGGGGGGGGTTGCCATGGAGGTGCACAGGGATTCATTTATTGCCCAGAGAATAAACCCACAGCTGTTACAGATGAGTGAGATGGTCCGTGTTAAACGGGCTGTTCTCCTGTGTACCTGAGATGTGCTCCAGTAATACAGTACGTCTCTCTGCCCCCCCCCCCCGTCCCCCCTCGTCCCCTCCCCCCTCACAGCCGAGTTCCTCTTCCTGCTGTGGGCGGTGTACCTGTGCTACGCTGTGAGGACGGTGCCCTCGGCCTTCCACGAGCCTCGCTACATGGCCATCGCCGTTCACAGCGAGCTGGTCCTGACGGCCGTGTTCTACGTCATCAGGTGGGAGCTCCTCTCAGTCATCGGCCATTTATTTACATCTACTACTACATTTTCTATCTGGATCGTTGGTTGTTGTAATACGAACTGTTAGTTCGCCCTAATGGGATTAAAAGCAATGATGTTTTCTTCTAGATGAGTTTCACTGATTATTAATCATTATTTATTTTTGATTAATTGTAAACCTGTTCCTTCCACATAAAAGAAGGACAAAATGCCAAATCAATAAATTTCGAGTTTTGTCAGCAAAATAGTATATAGTAAAAGTATCTAGATACTAAAGCACCAGTATGGACTCTACATTCCAGGTGCAGTAACGCCTCCCACATCTGGGGTGATTTCCCCCCCCCTGCATGCGTCACGATTACTCCATATTTAATACCACTTCGTCTTTGATTTGTCATTTTGACGCTCCTGTCCTCCGGGAACCTCCTTCCCGTCCGGCTCTGTTCATCTGGGAGCGCTTGTTTCTTTATTTGGGTGGAACTGTCCCTCTGTCTCCGGTGAACGTGTCAAACAGCTGCAGCGTGCACTTCATCAATGACGCGTTCCGGCTGACGCCGCCGCGGCCCTTCCTAGCTGGAGTCCCCCTAATTGAGAGCTGAGCTCCATCACATTATTTACTAATGAACCGTGTCAGAATGATTTATGGGGAACGGAAAATAATAGCTTGAATTATTGTCAGGCCGTATTCCAGTTATACATTTATAAACCATTACACCTATTAGAAAAGGAGGGTTCTACCTGATAGTTATACCTGCAAGAAATCTGATTCCTTCCCGTTTTTGGTGGCATTTGAGCATCTGGCTCTTGGTGATTACTGTGCCAACGCTTGTTTTTTCTTTTTTCTCTGCGTAAAATTGGCCAAACGAGAGCGTTAATAAATTGTAAGGAAGCGATCTGATCCCACCGTGACCAGTTAAAGCCGCGGTGGTCATCGGGGTGTGAGTGTGACGCTGAGAGAAGAGGAAAGGAGGGGGGCGTTTACAGCGAGAGGTGGAGGTGGAGCCGTGAGGGTTTCGGTGGGAAAAGACAGCGTGCGAAGATTATTAAATCCTCGTCTGCACAGAAAACCGGTAATTCTCTCTTTTTCCACCGACCGCTGCACCGCGGCCGGATGGTTAAAGGCGCTCGATCCAGTGACCGGATCAAGGTCACTCTCCTCTTTTATGATTTTGTAAGAATGCGGGAAAGATTGTGTCCTTGGCGGCAAAAGGATCGCCCGAGTGGAACATTATAGCAGGCAGAGGAATAGACGCCCAGACAGATGGTGTATGAATCTACTTTGGCTGAAAAGCCATCAAGTCTGCTGCTCCCTGTCTGTATCTAAGAGGGTTACTGCAGATGGAGCGACGGCTATGAATATCACAGCATAATTCAGTGCCTATATATATATATGTATATATATATATATATATATTGGTTGGCCATCGGCTCACCTTCCTTGTACTGTCATCACTTTAACATCTGGATACCCCTTCTCTTGTATTCCTACATCATATCTCCTTCTTTGGTGCCGACAGGTTCACTCTCGCTCCGGAGCTCCACCCGGACTGGATGCTGCTGCTGTTCTTCACCCACACCCATTTAACAGTAACAGTAACACTGGGTCTGCTGCTCGTGCCCAAGGTAGACAAATCAGTAACAAACAGCTTCCGTAACAAAAGCACGATTTAACAAACGCTAAATTGAATTAGCAACTTTCTCTGCTCACCAGTTCCTGTTTGCCGGCACCCACATGAGAGACGACATCGCCTCCGAGGCCTACGAGGACGAGCTGGACATGGGTCGCTCCGGGTCGTATCTCAACAGCAGCATCACGTCGGCGTGGAGCGAACACAGCCTGGATCCCGAGGACATCCGGGTGAGCGGCTTTTGCCTCGACCTCTCACTCCCCCCGTAACGCACAACAAAACACTGAGCCCCGGCAGTTTTTTGTTGCAGACGCCAGACGAAACGGGCCACCTCAGTTCTATTAATGGCTGCGGCGTCAGGTCTTGCGACAGTCTTTGGGAAAAACGTACCAACGTGAGCAGAGATTTCCGTTTGTCTGTTAGAGCCGCAGAAGTCTAGCAAAAGATTTGGGGCGAGCCTATTTGGCAGAAGTTCGGTTCAGACAGAAATACAATCATTTAAAGAGCTGAGCTTCGAGGCTGTTTCAGACCTAACTCCGTGTCCTTATTTGATGCTGTCAAAGATTGTCCTGTCTTTTCTTTTCAGCACGCATGTGATACTCCGCCGTGCATCAATTACCGACCGCTTGTCGTCCCGTGCCGTGGATTTTGCGCTGCATGTTCTCTGTGCAGTAGAATGTCTGCTTTTTTTGATGTGCTTTGATCAGTAATCCCTTTGTTCAAGCCGTATCAATGAGATCATTTGTTCCCAACTGACCACTTTGTCTCTCTCTCCCCCCCCCACCTCGATTCCACCATGGATACGTAGGAGGAGCTGAAGAAACTCTACTCTCAGCTGGAGATCTACAAGAGGAAGAAGATGCTGGCCAACAACCCTCACCTGCAGAAGAAGAGGAGCTCCAAGAAGGGTTTGGGTCGCTCGCTGATGAGGCGCATCACTGAGATCCCAGAGTCGGTGCACCGGCAGTGCAGCCGCGAGGACAAAGACGCCGGCGAACACGGGAGCAACCGCAACAGCATCTGCATGCTGAAGAAGAACCCCTTCGATCCGACACACCAATCGAAGGCGGCGAAGGAGGACGCGCTGAAGAACAAGGTCTTCTCCCTCAAGAAGTCCCACAGCAGCTACGACCACGTCCGCGACCAGAGCGAAGACTCCGGCAGCGCGGCGACGGACAAGATGGAGGCGACGCCGGCCGAAGGCTCCCTCCTGGACGCGCTTATGGGCAAGAAGCTGGTCAAGAAGCAGTCCGGTGACAACATGAGCGTCCCCAGCGAATCCACGGAGTCGGTTCCTCTGGTCTGCAAGTCGGCCAGCGCCCACAACCTCAGCGCGGACAAGAAGCCCATCCACCCTCGGGCCTCCATGCTGCAGAAGTCCCTCAGCGTCATCGCCAGTGCCAAAGAGAAGACTTTGGGCTTGACGGGGAAGGCCGCGGGCGCGGAGGAGAGCGGCCGGAGGAGCCAGCCGAAGAGCAAAGACGCCAGGGTCAACCCGGAGCCGGAAAACGAGCGCCAGCCCAAGATGATCGTCAGCCAGTCGGTGGAGTGCAAACAGGCCGCGGCGTTGGGCAGGACCATGAGGCAGCCGGCGAGCGGCAGCCAGCCTGCCATCTGCTCCGATCCAGTCAAGGCGAAAGACCTCTACGACCTCTCCGAGGTGTGTCCCTGGGAGGTGGAGGATCTCCCGACCCCGTCCGAAAACAAGGTCCAAAAGCACGTGTCCATCGCGCCGAAGGAAACCACGACGGTGCACGGGGGCGGCGGCGGCGGCGGCGCCAAGGGGGGCAAATCTCAGAAGCAGAAAGCCTGCGATCAATCGCCGTCCAGCGGCAGGGTTTCAAAGAACGGCCAGAGGACGACCGCCGTCCGAGCGGACGTATGTCCCTGGGAAGAGGGGGGGGAGGGTCAAGGCAGCCAGGAGGGCGGCTCGAAGCAAAAAAGCGGCAAATCCCCCAAGACCCAGCAGCCCCGTTCGGCAACGGAGAGCTCCAAAACGCACCCAGTGGACGTTTGCCCGTGGGACTTCGAAGAGCCCCAAAAGACGGCGGAGTCGGCCCGTCCAACGGATGTGACGCCGCCGAGAAAAGGCCCCTCCCCCGCCGAGGGGAAAGGGCGAAGTGTCCTCTCTGATCCTTCCAAAACGGAAGGCTCCCTCCTGCCGCCGTCCTCGAAAGCCGCGCCCCCGGCTTCGGCGAGGACGCCGAGCCCCTCTCGGGCGCACCAGAGCAAGGAGGCCCCGTCGAAAAAGAGGGACGCCACCTGCCCGAGAACTGTCGAGAGGTCAAAAGACGCTGACGACGACAGAAGTAGAGCGAAAGCTAAGGACAAGAGTAGATGTTCAGAGAAACACGTGAGCCAGCAGAAGATGGCCGAGGTGTGCCCGTGGGACGTGGAGGGTCACCCCGAGGCGCCGCTGGTGGAAAAAAGGAGGAGCGCAAACGTCGGCGCGGCCAAGGCGAAGCCGGCTGACGTCTGTCCGTGGGATTTTGCGGATACGTCGGATAGAAAAGGTACCGATTCTGGTTCCGTCGTGAATCCGAGCAACGCCAATCCGAAAGGCGGAGCCGCCGTCGGTGCCAAGAAGGCAGATGTTTGTCCCTGGGACTTTGACGACGGCACGTCGAGCAAGGAGGCGTGACACCCGACCTCAATGGACCACTGAAGCTATAGTTATTGATGTGTACTCTTTTTTTCCACTTTGAAAACGGTTAAATATTACCTTTTACTGATAGTACGGTGACTTGGAAGAAAAGTTGATCAAGTTCCACAAGTTGCCTTCCTTTCCGAGGTTTTGTTCCTGTTTTACCTATTTTGAAAATAAGTAAAATGTACAAAAAAAAACGAAGTCGTGACGAGCATTCCAGATTACTACAGGAAAATCCTGGAGATAAATCTTTAGACTAATTATGCAACTTTTGATTCAGCCTTTTCACCTCATGAGCAATGTCAAAAATCTGCATTCATCACGTTCTGTGTGCGGTCAACAGTTCATCCGCGGTTCTTTCCGTGCATCGACGTCATCGCGTAGAGGACTTGACTTGACGACGGGACGGCTGGATTCGTAGAGGGGGGGGGGGAGCAAAAGCCAAAGAATAAGGGAACATCTGCAAGGAGGACATTGATACGGGAGGGAAGGACTCAGCGAGGGAATCAGTCTCTAGCACTTTAGCCAACTCCATAAGTAAAGATCTCCACCTTCATTGCATGACCCCACACAGGACACCGAAAATCATTTTCCCTTCTTTTCTTTAGATCTATTTAATTGTAGTCCTCGGCAGATTAAAAATGCTTCCAAGTCTGCAGAGATGTACTGTATGTGCCTAACTAAACTAGCGTTGTCTTGTACCAGTGGAAGCAGGCGCCTTCTCCTTTATATAAACAGCATGCACAGCCAGGTGTCAGAGTAGGTCAGCTGACGCAGTTCATGTCCGGATAAATATATATATATATAACGTTTCTTTTTGTTGTTTCTTTAATACCAGAGGCACTCCTTTTCCCGCTGGTTTCATATCTCCAGAGGCTCCTCCAGGGTGGTGGTGCAGCATTAACGTGTATGTGCGTCGGAATGTCTCATGCTGTAAAAAAGAAAGTAGCAGTCCAGCATGGGTCTTTGTGTGTGTGTTGATGGCAAAATATCCAGAATCCAAACTTCGACAAAACTGGAGAAAAAGCAGCCGATCGAAGCCGCTGCGCGAGAAGGTTAAACGTTGTGTTTCATTTTGCTCCAGTGTGAACGATCTGAGAACCTGGAACTTCACTAGAACAAAGTCTGGTGGCACGAGGGGTCAAATGAGCGCACAACGTAAAATAATTTTTTTTTAAAAAAGGCCAACCATAGAACTCAATTCCCTTTGTGTGTGCAGAGCAGCTTTCCTGTGCAATGACAGTTGTAGCCCCGATAGGCCGTTGTTTCACTTCATGCACTTTTTCTGCCTCTTGCAACGTAAGATTGTCCCCCGGTGATCAATCGATTAGGGACAGGAACTAGTGGAGGACTTTTCACTGACCTTTTAGTTGCACGGCCATCTTATACTGGAGTGTGCACCCACATCTTGATCCGTTTCGTAGACCTAATCACTGCATAGATTAGCAGGATGTAGCAGAAATTACACAGGAAGGACGCTTGCATGAGGATATGTCGAATAGAGAGGTTGAGATCGTTGGGCTAACTGTTAGCTTGTTATCAACCAGTGTGGTCATGTGACCTGTCAGACTTTGTTGTAGCGATGGCGCCTTGTTTCCAGATGATAACTACAAGGCTTTTATACAGCGGAACTACCCTTTCGTATTTTAAAAGAATAATATCGCTGCTAGCGCCACACTGCCATCAGTTTGTTGTTCACGAGTTGGCGAGGAGCGTAACGCTCGTTGTCCCCAGTTCAATGCGCGGATTCGTTAAGATGAGCGTGAATTAGGCCCATGGCGACGTGGCCATCAATACACGACCCGACGAAACCGCTTGAAAGGCTTTTTACTGGTTCAGTGTTTCGTATCTAAATGTCTAAACGTTCATCACAAACCGTCAAAGTGGGAAGAAAAAGAAATCTCCCACTTTTGTTTAAAACAACAACTGCAGCCGTGGGGAGAACTGTGTGTGAATCCAGCATCCACGGTACTTTATTGCATCCTGTGAGAATTACATGATATCACTGAATGTCGTCCCTGATTGTAATTATCAAAATTTGATGTCAAATTCCTAAATATCAAAGATCGGTAGGAGTCTTAACTAACTGTCGTCAAATATATATTTTTTGAATCTCTGCTAATTTTGCAAAATCCTATTTAAACGCAGTCCTTCGATTTCCCATTTCGTTATCAGCATAAACCTGAAATCAATCCGGCGGCAGTGAGTCGGAGCCGCGGCCGCCGCGCGGGACGGACGGTAGCGACCTGATGGGTCGACGTGCCGCGTGCTGTCGAACCCGCGACCTCTCAAAAGCCACTTTTTCCTCTTTCCGTCGCGTTGGTTTTGATCTTCTTTCACGCTGCCCTGAACGATGAATGCTGTGCTGTTTTATTTATTTTGTGCGTGCGTGCAGGCTGCTGTAACCTATTGTGACCGAGCCGCCCGACACAACTGCTACTCTTGCTACTACTACTCAATTCTGTGACGTCGTAAAACTTGCTCTTGTGGCTTCTGCATGAATTCCAGAAAAGAAATTAGAAATAATAATAATAGGAACCCATGTTTCACTGCCCTTGATAGAACAAAAAAAGGATCTTTTATGGACTGTTACAAGTTGTATAGTGAGTGATACTGTCTCTAACCCACTGTATTATGTGCTTGTTATGACTATTGCTCTATGACAAGCTTATAGCATCAATATATGGGAATATTTGGTAGATTTATATTGTGTTATATTGTGATAGCATGTACATAAAAAATACCTCCTCTGCAATAAATATTTATATGAAAATGAAGAGCGAGCTCTGTGTCTTTCTGAATTGTTGCGACTGCTTATCTGAACTCGTCTCAAGTATCTCCCATGATGCACTTGCTCAGCAATCATCCCCGTCGGGCCTCTAAAAGGCAAAAAATATTGCATTTTCTTCTTTATCACCACGGCTACAGAGATGTTTTCCTTCGTAAATGTGTTTTTGCAGTCAAAAGGGGTGAATGCAGCCAGTTAGAACAGACAGTAAGTTGTCAAATACCTTGTATTTTTTATAACAACCATAACAGCAGAGTCAAAAGGGGAAATCATTTCTAGCTCTATTAATTCTTTTCCCATCCCGTTGAATTCTGCGTGACGGGCGACCCTTGAACCCTCGCTTACGTCCCGGCGGCCGAGTGACAGAGCAAAAGGGAAAAGGGTCTTACGTAAAGCAACCGTGTTACCATTGATTCCTGTTCACAAGAGCACTTTCAGAGCCTTTTCCTATAAATAGAAGATCAATACAGGCTACTGCAGGGAGCGAAAATAGAGAACGTCGGAGAGGAAGAAGTTAGTTGTGAGAAATGACCTGTTATGCTGATGAGAGGAATGAGTGTACCATAAACAGAGGTACTTACTGCATTTAAGGGAGATATTTTATACACATATAGATATATACATGATATTGATGACGGATCGATGGGTGGATCATGTGACAATGAGCCTCTGTGGTTTGTCGTTGTTTTGTTGTATTTCTGATCATTTTTGTATCTTTTTTTTTAGTTGACTTGTGTCTCTTTTTGATTATTTTGTACTTCTTTTTATTATTATTGTTTTAGATGTTGTAATTATTTGTATCTCCCTGCAGCTGCTTTGATCTCTTTGCATCATTTCGGGTGTCTCCCCAGTAGGTTCCTGTCTCTTTGGGGCCTCTTTGAAGTCAAAGGCCATCGGGGCTCCCGCCACTTTGGACCCCTGCAACCGGTTCCCGGTAGCAACATTCAATAAATCCATTCATGAATCCATGAAATGTGAACGGTTTCTTTAATACTCTCTGTGCACCACTGTATCAGCAGCAAACTGCAGACAACGTACAGTAGCAGATCATTTAGCATTATCCATTTAAAGACATGGATATTTCCCTCAGTACTTTATCAAATCCCTTAAAAGTTGCTTTAAAATAAATGTGTTTCTCTGTAACATAAAATGTTAATAAGCCACATTAACAGTTAAGTTAAAAATATCAACGTAAACCAGAACCCTTGTGTGGATCCTGTTATTCCATGTGTCCACATCGCTGAGACCTCTGAGCCCCTTTGTTGTGCTTTTGTGACAGCGGGACACGTCCTCCAGCGTGGCAGGACATATTTTTAAATCTCTGCATGAATCAAAGCCTTTAGAGACCAGAGGAGGAGGAGGAGGAGACGAGAGGAAGCTGATCGGTGTGGCATCAGCCGCCATCGCCCTGTCGCTGACTCATCGCGTCTTAGAGACGTAGGGACGGTGCAGAGGGAGAGGCTGGCGGTGGCGGGATGTTGAGGACATGGCATGTGTCGTGTTGGACACATGACTCACGAATGAGGGCGGGGCGTGTGTGCGTCTAGTGGGAGACAAGTGGAAACCCACACAACGCAACTTCAAGTGCAGAAGTTTGGTTTTGTCCGTGTGTTTTGAGATGCTTGATGCGCTGCAGCACCTCATCTTGTGACCTTTGATCTCACCCACGAGGCTCGGCCCCTCCGTCCCCCAAAGCCACACTCGTCTCCCACAAATATTTTTGTCTTTTTTTCATGACATTTTTCAATCTAACATTTAATTTTCTTTTCAATTATTTTTTGACTTTTCAAAACCTTTTTTTATTTTTAAATGAACCGAATATATTTTTTTAAATATTATTCTACCCAATATTTTTCAACTTAAAAAAAATAAAAATGTAGCTAATATTTTTTGACTTTTTTTTTCCATTTCCAACAGTGTTTTGACCGGATTCATTAGGCGCCTGCATTGTGCAAGCGGAGCCCCCTGGTGACGTGAGCATCCGTGACTCAGAGAACCTGTGTTCCTCCACCACAGTAACACACGCATGTGTTTACACTCACAGTTCAGTTACTTGGGCACGAGTGGGTCTGTCAATGAGCAACGCTTTTCTGCAGACAAAAATCTGGAATCACGTCATGCCAAATGTAACGGGACACGAATGGGCATTGTGATATTTCTGCTGTACTGTCGTGATCAGAAAGAGTTAAAGATGATCAAAAGACACTCGTGCATGAATGGACTGTGCAAAGTTGCGGCCAAATGTAAACACTCTTAATTGAACTGCGACGACCCATTTTTAACAGAACCAGACCTCTGAACACGAGCCTCTACTTCCTGCATCGGCTAATGGAGTCATTCATCTGGTGGACAGGAGGCCGGCTCCTCGCTCACGTTGAATCACCATCTTCGGTTAATGGCTCTGGCCGACGTGCCGCATTTCTGCAGATGAACTCTTTGAATATTGGCAATCAATGCGGTGATTAGTGTGACTGTAAGTGGAGATGTCGTCCTTCACAGAGCTCCTCCTCTACAAGCTCGTTAGATGTTCTCTCCAATACCGTGGATGACGTATGACTTCAATCAAGTGACTTTAACACAAAACAGTCATCACAGTCTGAGTTTTTTTTAATGTTCTTCCCAAGTTTTGAACATATACACTCACTTAACCACCAACTTTTCTTTCTCAACCAACGTTAGTAACGGCAGGATGACTACAAAAATGTACAAAAAGGAAAAAAAAAGAACTTTAAACTTAGTCATTTTAAATAAATAATAATTTCAACATTTCCCAATTTAAATCATTTCCAGACATGTCCATAATATAATCTCCAAAACAATTACTGGGACTATTGCAGCAGAGCGAGAACTCTGAATATTGATTCAAATTCTTTTTTTCACCCCAAATTGGAAAAAAATGATTCAAACAAAAAACAAAATCTGAACTCAAACTGGTTGCAGGACAGCCGTCAATCACAGCTGCTAGCGCCCTCTGATTGGTGGGGACACGGAGCAGGGATCTGATTGGTGGATTAAGTTCTGAATCGCCGAGTCCTGGATCAGGCTGGATCCGTTTCTGGGTGATCTGGTTGGAGCTGGACCTGATTGCGCATCAGTTTCTGGATGCGGTCCAGGATGATCTGGTTGGAGCTGTAGCAGTCATCGGGTCCGTACGGGGCAGCGATGGTCAGGACCCCCGCCACCTTCAGCTCGTCCCCCTCCTCCTCCACCGGGAACCGGTTCTTCTCCAGCCACCTCCGGACGCCCCCTCTCCTCCTCCTCAGCTCCGCCGGGTCCAGGCTGCGGGTCTGCGGGGGGAGGAAGGAGGTCTGGAGACGCTGCGTGGTCTCCTCGTCGGCCTCCTGGAGGACCTCCACCTCCTCCACAGCGTGACCCATCACCACCTGCACCGACGCCCTCCCCTCCTCCTCCCCGAAGTTGACCAGCACCAGGCTGGCGGAGACCGGGTCCACGGTGAGCAGCCAGCCGCGGCGCTCCTCATCTTTTCCCGCCTTCACTTTCACCTGTTTGTTGACGTAACGCATCCACTGCAGCGGACCTAACAGGGGCCAGCCGCACTGCATCACGGTCCACCTGTCGGCTTCGAAGTATGAGAATCCCACGACGGCCGCCGTCCTCTTTAAACGGCCATGGACGTCTCTCTCTGAAAAGTGTGCGTGCTTTAAAATCTTCCGGAGGAAACGGGAATGGGAAATAAAGGTTCCGCGTCTTCGAAGCCGCCGCCCCCTAAAAACTAAACAAGTAGAAAAAGGAAAAATAATTACATTTTAGAAAATGTCGCAGCTTTTTGCAGCTTTTCAACTCGAACCATCACATCAACGGTAAAACCGTCTCTGCGCCTGTTAAATACAACATGTCGCCGTCATGTTGTGCATAGTTTGGACTTATTAAGCCCTAAAATCTAAATATGTTTGCACATGTAATGTTGATTTTGGGGGTTTGCGCTGCATTAAAACCCAGAAATACCTTAAAATGGAATCACAAGTGTTAGCAAAGGTTGTATTAATTACTTAATCAATTAACTGGTGTCGCCCTGTAACTGCCTTTGAATAATAAGTGTTTCTGCAGCTCTCTGACCGTGAGCTGTAAAGAGGAGTCACCATCAGTTGTCCCCAGTGCACCGCTGCAGCAGCAGTGGTTTGTATCAATTATTTTAATCAGATGTTTGTGTTTTGTTTCAATGGAAAACATGAAGCTGTTGAAATAAAAAAAAACAATCTTAAAATATGCTTAGTGTATATTATTTAGTAAAAATATTTAGTGTGATGACAATCGTTGTCACAGAACTTTCTTTTTCTTTTTTCAGAGGAACTTTTTTTGCAAAATGACTCATTATTGATTATGATAGAATAAATCAACAACAGAGGGCCAGAACTCATATATATATATATATATAAATCATATGATTTATAATTTAATTTCAAATTGCTTTACTTTTAAACCCAAATCAAGTGGTGACAGAGATAGAGACTTTCAGCTATGTTACTGGTATTTGATAGTTCCATTATTTACATGATAGGCATCAGCTGGCGCTGACTCATGTGACCTCCACTGGGCCGGAGGAGTGCGGAGGTGATCGTTGAGAGGGTTGAGCTGACGGTCAACTCAGTCTCATGCAGCCTTAAAAGGTCCACCTCGCACTGAAGATGCACTCACCTCAGCGGATGCCTGTGGCCGATTCGGTGGAGGCGGAATGACGAAGGCAGGTGCACTCCTCTAATAATCCAATTTGTTTTTGTTTGTTTAGGTGCCGACGTCGCCCTGTTGGTTCCCCGCCTCCGGGCACAACGCCTGAGCCCGGCGCGCTGGTGACTCACGTCCACGCCGACGCGTGCGCCCGCGTGAACGAAGGCTGAGTGATCGTTCATTCAGTGGAAAGAGAAGAAGAGAAGAAAAAAAAGAGAAAGCTCTTGTCTGACGTCATCGGCCTTAATCACCCAATTACAGCAACTCGCCGGAGGTAGCCGCGCTTCGTCTTCCCCGGTTTCTGCCTCCAGGTCGCGCGCGGCATCCCTCCAAAGGGAGATGATTCACACGCCGTAAGGCTGTGCGTGCGTGCGTGCGTGCGTGCGTGTGTGTGACCCGACTGGTCCTGACCTCGAGCAGTCGTCGTTATGGAGGTAAAAACATGAACCCATTAACCAGGTTCATTTAGTTAGATGTGCTAATTTATGTTTTTAATTTGAAGTAAAGAATGCCGCAGTGAAGGAGCAATTAGCTCGAGAGGCTCCTTGTTGTTGTAATGACTTTCACAGCGCACACACACACACACACGCACGCACGCACGCAGGATGCCCGTGTGCAGCCGCAGAGTGAACGTGAGTCATCCCGATAGTACAACTTATTATGAGACAGGCTCGTTGGAGGAGACGCTCTGCGTTGTGAAATAGATTTATTGATACGCGGGTCTTCTCTTGCTATTCACCGTTGGACTTTTGAAACGTATTTCACCAAAGAGGAAATTGGGTTCAAGTCATGTCTGCTCAGAAAGGGTTTGAAAATTCACAACATAAGCAGAGGGAGCGAGAGAGGAGGAATCTGAAGATAAAATTAAATATTAGGAATGCATGGTTCACAAACACTGGAAACTATTATGGCTGTAACCAACACTTATTTCTATTATTAGATTAGATTAAAAGTCCAAACAATATTTAATTCACAAGGGAAAAAGGCCTTTACCAGAGAGTGTTTGGATGTCAACGTTCGACAAATGACTTAATTAAGTGATTTATGGAGTGTCAAAGTTGTTATAGTTTCATTTTATGCCCCAGCTTTGTGTACATTGTATCCACAGTGTTGAAATATAAACGACACCCCATATTTTAGTCGACTTTAACCGTGTCCTGTGTATTCCTTTTCCCCAGCTGCTCCTCCATCACTGACGCTCAAAGGAAGTGGAAGTGTGTCCAGCACCGACCCCACGACGACCTTTTCCGTTCACGCATCCATCAACGCATTAATCAACGTACGCCTTAAAGAAAATGCACATTTTTGCACAACACTGAGGTCTATTGATGTGATTTTAATCTCTGCAGGAACCTTGAGGAATATATTAAATGAGATCATACAGGCATAGCGGGATGAAATCATTGTTGTTTTTTTTCTTTTGAATGTATTTTTTGACGTTGACGATAAACACCTTTCCAGACTGATCCTGTGTGTGTGTGTGTGTGTGTGTGTGTGTGTGTGTGTGTGTATGTGCAGTGCGTGAATATGACCACTAGATGGAGATGTTGTCGTTTCTGCCAGGGAAACGTGTCAGCTGCTGCACACCATGAAGCCCAGAGGTCGAACATCACCCCAGAGGTCACCCTAGATCTTCTGCCCTCCTCGTGACGACTGTTAAAATACAGTTCATGTGGGAAATCGTAACTGACGGTTGTTGTTTCTTTAGGGAAACAAAAGTCAGTATTACAGAGATCTTTGCCTGCAGTTGGAGGAGAAGAAACACCAGAGAATCAGAAATGAGCTTGACGAGCAAAAGGTACGTTATTTAGTATGAATTCGGACCATGTAGTTTACTTTCTACTGCTTATCGAATAACTACCTTACCGCCTGCAGCACAATGACACCATGCAGCACGCCGTCTGGGGGATGCCGGTGAGCGGCGCGGTGAAGCGGACCGGGAGCCTCCATCTTACCACAGGAGCAGGTAGACGGAGCTCCGCTCATCGGCCCCCTGCTCTGTTCCCCCGGCAACAAGAGCCCAGTGTTCTCACGAGGTCTCCTGATCAGAGGAGGTCTTTGACGGGAGAGAACAGACAGACAGAGAGAATGCAAAATGAGGATTGTGTGTCACGCAGAGTCCTGCAGTGCAACAAAACAACTCTTTGCTTGTGAGACTTGAGCTTCCTGCAGAGCTTTGCTGCTCCCCCCCAAATTAATTCCACCCTGAGCTCCCTTTGCACACGCTCTGGACAGTAGGAGCGGGTCGCTCTCTAAACAAGTTGTGTTTGAGGAACGCTGTGTTTTATTTCCCCCAGGTCCGCAATAAAAGCTTCAGCGGGACCCCCTTCCGGCTCCTGTGAGATGTTTGGACCGGGACGTCCCCGGACGGAGACGAATGCTGCTCTCCGGCTTTTGTCTTCCGGCTTTTGTCTTCCAAGTGGCACGAGTTCTGCGGCCGCCGAGGCGTCTGGGCCGCCACAGCAGCAAAGCAAAGTGAGACGGAGAGGACAAAAAGGGAATGAAGAACACGTGGACGGGGGGCCTGCGTAAAATAAAGTTATCTAAATAAAGCAAGAGCAACAAAAACCCCGAGGAAAAATAACAATGAATGAAACAATAACACCAACAATATTTATACAATAAATATATAAATGAAATAAAATATAATGAAAACAAAGCGTTATAACCGAGTACATTAGCCCATTAGTACAGCAGCCCCGGTGCATCATGGGAAACCACGGTGGTCCTGCGTGTAAACGGTTAACCAGCGGTCCGCGGTGACGTCACGCGCTGCCTTCTGTCCGCTGGCGCTGAGCGACACCGGGGGAAGAAAAAAAAAAAGTCACCCAAGAAACTACAGCGCGACTTTTCAGCAGCTGCGCCACTTCTGCGAAGCCGAACTCAGCGACGATGGGCAACTGTCAAGTAGGTGTTGGTGGAATACGCGGATTTATGAGGTTTATAAACGAGTTCACGGTCAGCGGCTCGCGGCTCTCTGCTCCCGGCTCGTGGACGGACGTTAAACGGTCACGTTCGGCGGATGATTCCCGGTGATAAAACGAACCTAATCTTTAACGCGGATTGTAGCTTAAAATACATCATGGATCGGAAAAGAGTGACGTCTCCATTCCCCCCCCCCCCCGCGTTCAACCCCCCCGCGTGCGTCGTGTAAATCGACGCGTCTCTGGGCGGTTCCCGCTGACTTAGCGTTAAATCGGGGTCAGATTTACAATATTCAGTTGTTCCTTTAAACGTAAACGAATGGCACCGTGTGACGGAACAACCGAGTCTGGCTTTACGGAGAGAGAAGGGGGAGAGTGGGGGAGAATGGGGGGCGGGGGGGGACACTCACTCACTCCCCTGCGGAATCGCACGGCTCCGTTAGCTGCCCGTGCGTGTGCCCGTGCGCGTGATTGATTGGGAGAGTCCATTATTTTATTGGGGGGGGGGGGGGGCTGCTGGGGCGGTCGGCGCTGCCTCGGTGCGCATTTGCTTTCATTTCACTCTTTGGGAACTTATGTTGTATTGTTTTATAGAATGATTACCCGATAATAAAAAGTGACCCCCCCCACCCCCCATTTCAGCATTAGTGGCGTTACACTGTTCTAGTCCCCCTTGTTGGCCCCCCGGGCAGCAACCCTTCTGTTACTCATGCAGGGGGCCCCATCAAGTTTGTTTAAAGACTTGTGGCCCTGAATTCCTCAACCAAAGCATTGTGCCCCCCCCCAGTTATCACCGCCCCCTCTGAACCTGATTCATTCATTCATCTTCTATCCTCTCAGCCCACCATCGTGCCCTACGAGGACTTTGACGTCGTGGCCGACATCAAGGGCATCCGCAAGGCCTGCAAAGGCTTCGGTGAGTTGGCAGCGTCGAGGTGGGAAGTGTTGCTGCCCCTTTTTCTCTCTTTTTCATCTTGATTTCTTGTGTTTTTTTGTCCACAGGAACCGACGAGCAGGCCATCATCGACATCCTGGCCAATCGCAGCGCAGATCAGCGGGAGGAAATCAAAAACGCCTATTTTGAGAAGTACGACGATGTGAGTACTGTTTATTTGTCCCCACGGGAGCCATTTTAATTCTGATCGCAAGGCTAAATATATTGCTTTATTCATCGATCCAAATCTAATTCTGCAACAGGAGCTGGTGGACGTGTTGAAGAAAGAGTTGTCGGGGAACTTTGAGAACGCCATCCTCGCCATGCTGGACCCGCCCGTCGTCTTCGCGGTGAAGGAGCTGAGGAAGGCCATGAAGGGGGCGGGCACCGACGAAGACGTCCTGGTGGAGATCCTGTGCACCGCCACCAACGACGTCAGTCAGCCACCTGGGGGCCATTACCTCGGCAGTCTTTTATTTTGAAAAGAACATTTGTATTGATTGTGTGTGATTTGTTTCCCACAGCACATCGCCATGTTCAAGGAGTGCTACTTTCAAGGTAAGCCACGTGCAAACTCAACTACTCCATTAGCCATCCGACACGTGGGCAATACTTCTAAATATGCCCCGATTATATTATACTCCCTCTAAAAAGTTAATAATTGAATTCCGAGCTGGCCCCCATGTTCGACTCAATGTGTTTTTTTAGAATAGTTAATCTATTGTTCCTCCTGGGGACGTCCCGCCACACTTCAGGGAACTGATGAACAAGTGAACAAGTGAGGGATCACATTGTCACTGTCCTAATTCATTTTCACATTACCTTTTGTTTGGTTCAGTCTATTTCTCCACCAATTTTATTTTTTTTCAATTACCAGAAAGTATTGTAAATTAAAGACAGAAGTGGACTTTTTAAATACTGAGACGTGAAACAAACATTGTCCGACTCTTCTTTTTGTGTCTATTTTAGTGCACGAGCGCGATCTGGAAGCGGACATCGAGGGAGACACGAGCGGCGACGTGAGAAACCTGCTCATGGCTCTGTTGCAGGTGAGCGAGCGGTCCTTCGCTTTCTGCTCCTCTCGCGTAACTGAAACCCTCCGGGACCGAAAGCGAGCCTTTGCTCCATCTCACACACACACACACACACACACACAATCATCGAACTCTTCGTCTCCCAGGGCAACCGAGATGAGAGCTACGAGGTGGACGAGGAGCTGGCTGAGCAAGATGCTACCTGCCTCTTTGAGGTACTGTATATTATGTATATCTTATATATAATATATACATTACATTCATAATATCCTCCCAGCGGATGCATCGATGCCGAGCGGTGTGACTATTTGCAGGCCGGCGAGGGGAGTTTGGGAACAGACGAGTCCACTTTCACCTTCATCCTGGCCTCCAGAAATTACCTGCAGCTGCAGGTCACCTTCAAGATATACGAGCAGGTGGGTGTCGGTTGGTCACGTGACCCGAAGAGAATGTGAATGTTCTCCATGCCGACGGACGCTCGTGGTCGTTAATCGCCCGGCGCTCTGATTCAAATCGTCGTCTTCTCTCCAAAGCTCTCTGGAACCGAGATCCTGGACACCATCGAGAACGAGACTTCCGGGACGCTGAAGAAATGCTACACCGCTCTTGGTGGGTGTTGAACATCAAAAACACAACACGCCCGAGCTACAAGCTGACGAATCGCACCCAAATCTATTTTCGCCTTCCTTTCATCCCCGTCAGTGAGAGTCGCCAAGAACCCTCAGCTGTACTTCGCCAGGCGTCTCCACGACGCCATGAAGGGAGCGGGGACCGACGAGGACACCCTCATCCGCATCATCGTGTGTCGCTCTGAGGTAACGGCACAAAAAAAAAGATGGCGGCACTTTCATGGTTGCCACAGCGACACACCGGTCGCCGCGTGATTACGTTACTCAAAAATGTTCCTTCCTCCTTGTGGACAGTACGACCTGGAGACCATCAAGGACATGTACCTGGAGAAATACGACGTGTCCCTGAAGGAGGCCCTGAAGGGCGAGTGCGGCGGCGACTTCAAGCGCCTCCTCCTGGCGATCTGCCACTGAGGGTCCGAGAGCGGGACAGAAACATCAACCACGTCTGCGTTACCGTGGATTCGGGCGGGCGCTCTTTTTAAACTTTTTTTCCACAGGTATTAATTAATTACAACATAAATCCGCATCGAACTGGACTGCCGGTCACTTACTGCCCGTTTCTTAGTCCATTCGAGCTCCAGTTCGAAACATTTACCAGCATCTAAGTGTAAGTCTGAGTCACTGTTAACAAGCACCAAGACTTTTACATTTCCAGCCCACTGATCACTGCGTGGGGTCGGATCAGGTGGCGCGAGCCTCGATGGCGTAATAACACTGTAAACGGGTTTGTACACTCTAGACAAAAAGTAATCACACTCATCTAACTATTAATCTGTTTTAGGTCAATTAATCCTTTGAGTTATTTTCTATATCTTTCACCCTCCATGCCCCAAACTCCGTAACTGTTTAATTTCACTGCTGTTACAACTAATGCAATCAGTCCATGTGGCTTGAAGTTTGTGCTTTCAAATGAAGAAACATGAACGTTTGAATCGAAGGAATCTCGATCGATGTGAAGAAGGTTGAGTAATGTTATAAGTGGATGTTACAAGTTCTGATTCGAGAGAAGGAGGAAAAACTTGACAAATCCAAACACACCTCTCATGGTTATGAATATGTTTTTCTTTTGTATTTTACGACTAACACAGTAGAGTTTTTAATATATATATTAATTATATTATGTACCGTTTAGGCCAGTGGGTAAAAGAAAAACATTTAACGTCTGGATGAAGTCATTTGTGTGTCTTCATAAGGCAGCTGAGATCTGTTAAAAGTACCACTACCATGAGCAGCAAGCAACACGTAGCGCTGTGCGTGAGAGAGGCAACGAGGCCGATGGTTGGAGTCGTTTTATTTGTCTCTCTATAGCCGAAGAATGTTAATCCCATTGCAAATAAAGTTACCTGTAACATCACGTGTCATCATGTCTTTGACTGTCTTTGATCATCATATAAACTAATGGATCAGCATCTGGATACATTCCATTTTAATTCACATAAAGGATATTCAAAGATGATTCAAAGGAAGTCACTAATTGATGACTAGATGGAAAAGATCCTCCTGCGGAAGAACACGCCCCCTTGTTATCTGACACCCTTTTTTGCTGCCTTCAAATACCATCGGAAATACCCAAACATTGAATAAAAGTGGGCAAAAATCAGACGAGACCTGATATTTTACAGTGCAATTTAACCCATATGATACTAATATTGCACTTATAAACTGAAAGACCAGGCTACAATCCTCAATTATATAATGAGAACAATTGAATAAAGGTAAAATTGAATTGAATATAGATTGAATATTATTTAGAGAGTCACTGTTTTCAACCTTTTCCAACTGGAAAAGTAAGTCATCAGTTTATGCGTGCGGCTTGAATTGTCTTCAGTGATAATTTACTGCAAGATTCTTTTAACTTCTGACTCGTCACTAATGTCCAAGCTGTGAATTGGCCTCTCCTCTTCTGGCCACCACAAGAACCTCAAAAAGTCAAACATTGATTGCACATCAGCCATGATTGTTACAGGTTCTCGCCTAAATTATGTCAAAACTGCTAACAATAAGCAGGTTTGTTCCTGACTGTTCGGTGAGACCGCACACTGATCCTTTGTAAATGTCTGCACGTTTTACTTTTATAACTCATGTACATACGTGCTCTTATTTTGAAAAACATCAGCTGTAGCATTCTCCACTTTCTTAATTGTTGTCTCCATTATTCACAAAAACACAATTTTTTTGTTACAGCACGTGTTCTAGAAGTGCCCCCCTGTAATAACCGTGTAATAACATGCCCTGTCACGTTGGCCCCCCACAGCCCTGTCGGTCCTGTCGGCGAGGCCTTGGTCATTGACAGCGACGCCGACCTCTCTGGGAAAATAGACCACATGAAGGCCAGCGAGGAGCTTCTGCCCATCTCAGGGAGGAGGCCGAGGGTGCTGCACTCCCACCGGCAGCAGCTAGGCGGCGCTGCAGAGAGCATTTTGATAAATTGATGATAATTTCGTTATGGGGAGGTGGAGACGGGGACAAAATGCCTTCATAACAACTACTGATATTTTGTTCCACCCGTTGTGAACCGCTGGATTTCAATGTTTCACATCACATTCCTGCAAAAAAGTTGATGCCCCGAACAAATGTCCATTCTTTCCAGTTTGTGCATCTCAGTATCCACATTATTGTCTATTTTGTACTTGATCGCCATAAAAGATGATTAATAGCCGCTGTCACCAATAGGTTTGTATTATGTAAAACCAGAGGAGCGCGTGGTGTTAGAAACACCCACCAGATGGCACTCATACACCGTATTACGCCTACAAATCATGACATCGCTGCAAAATGGTGGATAATCAATTTCCATTTCCCATCCGTTTGCCTTTTGTCAGAGCTGTAACTTTCTGTTCATTTAAATGCTGCATCTGAAGCGTTAGTGAAACAAATGAAAACACTCTTGACAGACATTTCACCGGGTTGCGATGCTGTTATTTTCTTATGTGACGTTGCCGTTTCCGACCTTTTGACGGGAATCTGTGACCTTTCAGAAAGAGAGTCACGGGTCAAAGGACGCTGAATGTGAAACCTTCTGCGGGCTGCAGGGTGCTGCGCCCGGGTCTTTGTCTATCTGCTTATCTGTCACTCCCACATCCACAATCTTTCATTTTTTGCACACCGGTGGTCAGCAAAACCCCTAAAAAAAAGATGCAGCTCCACCTGCTAACTAACGCTCCACAGTGGCAGCTGTGAATTTGGTGTTAATGACTTGGCGTGATGGCGCCCAGAGCCCGAGGACGGAGAGAAGATGTGGGCCTAATCGAGCCTGAAGCCCCCCCCCTCCCCATCTCCCCTTCCTCCCCCCGGCCCTTCTGACTCGCCTGGTGTGTGGAGCCAGCTGGGACTCCATTTTGTGTCCCTCCCGGTTGCAGGTGCCTCGTCACTGGGAGGCTCGAGTGGCCCGATGGGTACAAAAATCCACCCCCTCCTCCTCCTCCTCCTCTTCCTCCTCCCCCTCGTCTGGCTTGGATCTTGACCTTGACAGAAAGAGCATCTGGACGTTCTCACACAGAGTGGCTTGTAATAACCACCAATCACCTTCCTAATGATGCAAGTAAAATGTGTTTGACCTGCAGGGCTCAAATGTTTTGTAGTTATTGAGTCAGTGTGGGCGTGATAACCACCTCAGACGAGTCGTTTAAAGGCTCACCAGGCCGAGAAAAAGAGCTCAGGCTGGAACAGTTGATTTGATATATAGAAAATGGTCCTCCGCTTGAAAACCACTTTGTTTAATGTCGCTTTTTCCAGATACTAAGTAACAAGTCAGAGTCACTTATAACCTCTGTGCATCTCTAAGCACACGCTCCACGTGGCAGGTGGGCTGCAGAGAGGTGGATCCAGAGAGGCAGGACGCAAAGAGGCAGATTCAGAGAGGCGGATGCAGAGAGGTGGGATGCAGAGAGGTGGATGCAGAGAGGTGGGATGCAGAGAGGTGGGATGCAGAGAGGTGGATGCAGAGAAGCTGGAGAGGTGGATGCAGAGAGGTGGATGCAGAGAAGCTGGAGAGGTGGATGCAGAGAGGCGGATGCAGAGAGATGGGATGCAGAGAGAATGGAGAGGTGGATACAGAGAGGCTGGAGAGGTGGATGCAGAGAGGCGGATGCAGAGAGATGGGATGCAGAGAGAATGGAGAGATGGATGCCGAGAGGTGGATACAGAGAGGCTGGAGAGGTGGATGCAGAGAGGTGGATGCAGAGAAGCTGGAGAGGTGGATGCAGAGAGGCGGATGCAGAGAGAATGGAGAGGTGGATGCAGAGACATGGATGCAGAGAGGTGGGATGCAGAGAGGTGGATGCAGAGAGGTGGATGCAGAGAGGTGGGATGCAGAGAGGTGGATGCAGAGAGGTGGGATGCAGAGAGGTGGATGCAGAGAGAATGGAGAGGTGGATGCAGAGACGTGGATACAGAGAGGCGGGACGTAGATTCACCCCCTCAAGGAACAATGGATGTGACTGCATGTCTCTTCACCTCCGCCCTTGGTCTTCTCACTAATGAAATCTTAAAATAACCTGCTCGCTAGTGGAAGGAAAGTGGGTCAGACCACTGATGTGACGCCAATCCAAAAAACATCAAGTAGTGCATTGTGGGAATTTACCCCTGTGGTAGAATTGAGGTGGGGGCCGCAGTCTGCGTGCTGGTGGGGACGTCAACAACAGTTTTTGTCAACCAAAATCAGAGTTTCTTCAATTGCGTTTTAGTATTTCTATACCGCGAATGAAAACAGACTTTGTCAGTTTTGTGCGTCTAATCGTGCACGTTTACTACACAATGTGGGACGGACCCCCGAGTTGCTAGCGGGGAGAGGCACTAGAGGACAGTTCAGTCTCGTCATCTCCTATTGTTCGTGGCCAGACGCAGCACGCACACACACACACACACACACACACACGTCCCTCCGTGCACAGTTTGATAAGATTCAGGCTGACAGTTTAACAACAACAAGCTTCCACTTCAGTGTTGGGTGACTCTTATTACACCATTGAAGACATGGACAGGTTTTTGTCCCTTCCAGCCGTCCACACAGCCAATCAGAGGAGAGTCGCTGATGACACGCCTCTTGGCGATGCCAGGATGGAGATGATGCTAATCTGGACCCCTCTACTCCATCAGCTCCATCAACAAGCCGAGGTAATGCTGGTGCGTTCTCCATCTGGCTGTCACTGATAACAACTGAGGGCTGCTGGGTAATAGTCTCGCAGGCGTGAAGCCAGTAGGGGGTTGGGGGGGGGGGGTGGGCGTAATGTATTCTGGGGGGAAATCGAGCAAACGAGACCCTATAAACCAAACCCCATCTCCCCACTTTGAGGCACATTTGGGTCAAAGTCTGAAAAGCCGTGCGAGGGGGGCGGGGGTGGTGTTCCACGTCGCCATAGTTACACAAATCGCCATGAGCATGATTTCCTTCCTGGAGAGACAAGATGGCTGCGCGCGGCCACAACATCCGCGCGCGTCGTGTCGTCACGTCCACAGCGATTGTGATGCAGAGCCGAGCTCCTGCGCTCAGCGGGTCCGTTCCCGTGTGCGCGGCCTCGTCTCTCTGCACTTTTGGAATTATGCAAAGCTGGTACGACCTCTATTTTCAGGGTCACCGGCACTGGCTGTTTCTTTTTTTTTTTTTTTTGGAGTGTACCGACCCCCCGAGGTGTCCTCAGACTGACAGCGGTGCGTCACGAGAAGAGCAGAAACAAAGAGATAGAGGATGCCGTGGGCTCAGAGAGGTGGGTGTGCATGTTTTGTGGTGCTGCTCACAGTGGTCGGGTTGTTTTATGTATTTATGAACTCAAATTTTTTCCATCTCTCTTCTCCCCAGAAACCAGCAAACTCGTGTGACGGCTGCGTCAACCGACGACACAGAACAGATAATGGGACGTGACGTGGAAGAACACGCAAGATGACACCACCAAGGGCCCCCCAACCCCACCCTCGAATCCCGTTGGTTATCCGCCCGGTGACGCAGGACAAATCTTTGGCACGGAAAAAAAAAAGGAAAGATCATTTTGACGGTTTTCGAAGGATCCAGACACACAACTCGGGTCCTGAAAGACTCGCTGCTGACAACCGGGGACGATCCCGGTGTTGTTTCAGCATGAGACGGTTGTGTGGCTCTGCGGGTTCTGTCACAGTTCTGTGATTCCTCCCCCCTCTCTCTCTCTCTCTCTAGCAGGGCCAACGACAGGCTGAAAGTGAAAGTAAAGGAAATAAAGGCCGAGTGAAATGACTCGAAAGCAACCGGCCATTAAGCGCCGATCAGGGCCGTCATATTATCTGGAAACACTGACAGATGGGAGGTTTGTCCGCAGCGTAAAAGCTCTCCCTGTCCGCCCCGATAGTGGTGATGAGGTCCGTGCTCACGTTACAAGATGTGCTTTGGAAAACAGTGGTGATTGCACGCCACAAACACACACACACACACTGCCAATGATCTGAGGTCGCCTGGTCGTATTTCTTCTATTTTGTTCAAATTTGTGGTGGAGGGATTGTGCCAGATTAGGGCCTTTTCCTCTAATTGACCTCTGTTGTGTTACCAGATGTTAATCACACACCGCCGGGTTCCCCAAAGAATCGTTGTTCCCAGACGCCGCTCTCGCACAGAATCCCATCCCGTTGAGTTTCCTTTTCGTTCAGCTAAATACTCGGGCTGCTCTGTTGCGTGAGGGCGGTTTTATTTTGGCGGGACCACGTGTGGGACGGCCACATGAGGGGACAAAATTGGCGCCGCTGCCGAAACGTGGAAAGCCACGCGCTGCTGCCACGTGGAGCAGAAGCACATCGGGTTCCATCCGAGCTCAATATGTTTGCTCCGTCACGGGAAAATAAGCTGAGGAGGAGGGAAACTAAACAGCGAAAAAGTTGCCAAACGCTTTTGGCCACTGCTGTTGATCCTGTTTTTTTTGCAAAATCTGCTTTACAACAAACTTCCAGGGTTGCAGACGCACGCGGCAGAGGAATGAGCGCCGAAGAGCCCCACAGGCCGCGTGCGTCAGCAAGTTACACAACTCGGACGGTGAGTCACCGGCGGCGACTCGGTATCGGGTCAGGAGCCCCGCTGATTGCACTTATGTGGGCGGGAAAAAAGGGTCAGAAGCACTTTCGTCGTTCGTGTTTCATGCACCTAATGAATTACCTGCGCAGGAGGACTTTGGCTGGGATTTTTGTGGAAAGGAACTATTTTGTTTCAGGAGGAGATATCAACGTTTTCCATGAGAGTTCATTAACACGTTCGTGGTTCCCTGACACCACATTGAGGTTGACATTTGAATTTTTCAGTCAAAATGTCTCAACATTCATCGCCTAAAATGTTCCACACATATTAATAACAGCAGGCGTATTGACTCTTCACAGGAGGAAAATGACACACCTGTAAATGATAAAATGATAGACGGTTGCATGTTGCATTTAACAGTGCAGCCGATGCATGTGCAGCATGTTAGCATGTAGCTCAAAACACAAGGCTGTAGTCTCTTATTCATGGTAATATTTAGTAGAAATTATTAAAAAAACAAATGTGACATTCCTTCAATTTAAACACAATTACTAATGTGTGATCTCATAGACAGAATGACACAAATCACAGACTGAATGTCACTGGACAAGTGACATTAACAGCTGCAGAGTGTTAAGATTAAAGCCCTGCGTTAAGATCACTGAATTAAAATGTTGTATATCAAAGGCTGCTCCAAATACATCACTGCGCACATCAAATACATCACCAGTGAGGCGACTAGCGTCGCACAACCTGCCAAAGATGCATTACACGCTACTGCTCCCCCCGCTGGATTAGCTGCGTCAAGCTTGTCTTCCTCTCCGTTGCATCAAAATGAATGGATCTCTGCCAACATTCATCTTTTTCTCCCCCGATTTCACTTTTTCGAACGCCTTCTCCGCCTCCACGTGGCTCAAAAACAAAAATAAGCAGACGAGGTGTTTTCATGTAAACGTTGCAAAGCTCGAGCTTGTCCCGTCAGAAAACGGTTCTAAATGGAGCGTCATGCGTTGGCCTAAGACTCGCGGCAGTGAAATCCCAATGACCCTTCCGTCGACGGCGCATTCCCGTTTAAGTGGCTCGTGATGCGCTCTTCGCCACAGCTGGGAACGTCGCGGCCCAGTGGGTCGGCACAATGGCTGCCGGCGGCCGCGTGTCCGTCAGGCATTCACACCACGTACCCGCGGGGCCACAAAAGCCTCATCAGGAGCCTCGTTCACTCCACCCGCCGTCCGCTGATCTGCATCACAGAGGCATCAACAATCGCAGAGTCCCTCCTTGAATCTCCTTCAAGTGATCTCTGATTTCGCCTGATTGCATGCGACGCTGTGCCATTATGACCGTTTGATTAGTGGTGGGGGGGGGGCTGCGGTGTTTGTGTGATCCGTTTAAGCAGCATTGTGCGAACGAGAGCGGACGGGGGAAAGGCGTTTTCGGTCGACGGTTGTGAGTGGCAACATTCAAGGGAGATGCATGAAATGTACAGTATGTGTTTCTCTTTTTGTGTCCGTGGCCAAAGGAAACCTCATAGATGTCATGCGGGCTGGACTTGACCTTGTGAGGGCGGGGCAGTACAGAGCGGGGTCCATTCAAGGCTGATAGCGATTCCCACACGTGCACACACACACACACACACTAAGGGGGGGACTGTGTTAATCAATCAATCAATCAACCTTCACGTCCTGCTGCTTGTCCTTCACCGCTGCAGCAAAACCACGGTCAGCTGAGCGGGTCATGAAAGGGTTCTTCATCGCAGGGCCATGAACGCCGCTCATCTTTCTTCATTTGCGAATGCACGGCCGGTTTCACCAGGAACAATGGATTCTTGCATTGGTTTTTGTGGCGTTTTGCACAGGCATTGATCACCATGTAAATGGCTGCGCTTTCATATAAATGTCGATTTCTTCCCTCCTGCCCGGAGCCAAGAAGACTCCCTTTCTCTGTTAATGTCACAATGCGGGGATGCTCACAATGACAATGCCGGCAGAGTTCAGTGAGTGGGCTAGAAGACACTTGTCATTCCAGTGCCACTTAATTTCCAACAACATAATTGTCCTCGACCACTTTACACGGTTCTAAATCCTAACTCATTTCATGAAAGGTTGGTCGACGGAGTGAGTCTGAAAACATGTCTCAAAACCGCTACTTTACTTTCAGGTAAGACACTCTGTTCATTCCATCTTTGTGAAGCTCATTTTACAACCATGTATGTCTTTAGGTGTGATGTTTAACGTCTGCATGTCCCCCTGCTCTGTGACAGATGTCACGTTTCTGTGTGTGTTTGTTTATCCATTCATCAGATTTACATCATCATTATTGGTGAACATATTTTATTATATGGGAATAGGTATAATTCTGCAGCTTAATTTGGTTCAAATTATATAATTCAAGCGCGTGAAATGAGAAGACTAAAATAAGCACATCAAAGCAGAAGGATTGTGCGAAGGCTTATTCGATCACGCAGCCATCTTATGTGTTTCATAAGATGAGATATCTCACGGCGGCGGCGGCGGCAGTCAGAGAGAATCATTCGTCGCGGTGTTGAGACTAGCGGCTGATTTACCTGTCAGAGAATTAAGCCTATTAACTGCTTATGTAACGCCTCACACATTTGGCACGCGGGTTCTAATCCAATATTTCACGAGTGGCAAAACAGGCAGACTTTTGGAAAGACAGTGAAATCCTCGGGAAGTTATTGCACAAGCCTGACATTAAACTTTTACCTTTACTGCATCATAATCGTCATTATAATAACTAAATATTTCCCACTGTGTCTTTACTGAACATTTTGAGGCCAGGCATAAGGCACATTGTCTGGGAACCATGGATGTCTGCAGAAAATAGGTGTCTAGCTGGATACGGGGGGGGGAGGGGGGGGACATTTTCCCCTGATGTTGGTCATAGATCATGATAAAAAATAAAAAGAGTCTCCGTGTTATTGACATGTGCTAATTTCGAAAAAAGATCATTTGGTTTTGGTAGGTGCGTCCGGTCTGCACAGCGGGCTGCATCGTTGCCGGCTCTGATCACACGACTCTTATGGCCATCAGTGCGTCCCCATTTGTGGCGCTGCGTTCAGCCCCCAGAAGCCATTTGTAAAGCAGCGGAGCAGAAAATGAGGTTGGTTTACGGCCCAAACCTGGAGGACGTGCTGGAGGGAGCCCCCCACTCCAGTCACGCCGGGCCCCACCCAGACGGAGAGCTGGAGGGGGGGGGGGGTTGTCATTGACAGAGACATCACCAGCCACGAGATTTATTATTGGCTACCAGGGGCCCTAAAGCCGGCTGATTGATGAGGCTTAACGACACGGTCAAAGCAACATTTCTGGAGTCTCTCCCTCTACGTTTTCTCATTTCCTCCACTTCGTCTCAGTGAAAAAAAAGAAAGGTCTTTTCTCTCTCTCTCTCTCTCCTCTGGGACTCGCGCTATTATGATGAACTCTGTTCTCACGACTCATTGTCGTGTGAAGATATTTGAAACATCTCATTACAGCGGTGACGTCAACAAAGACCTTCTGCTCTATGTGACGATGTTTGAAGCAGTTGGAAAGATCACAAGTAAATGCGGGAAAGGATTAATTAAATAAACTAATACAATAAAACAACCTCCTGTTATTTGCTCTTGACTCATTGTCCAAAGGGAAAAAGAAACGCAGGAGGTCATCAATATTTCAGCTGTAGAGGCCTCCGAAAGAGTTCAAACCGCTGTGCTTTCGTGCAAGTTGGGGTCATGTTCCAGTGTACTGCACAGAAACGACATAAGCTTGAAAGGTGACTTCAACAGACTGACCAACTGGACTGCAGTCGGATTCGATATCAGTAGAAAGATCACTTTCTTGCCCTGTTGAATCCCAAACGGACCAATAAATATCGTATCAAAGAATCAAGCATATCTTATCGTAATAATATTTGCACATAGGTGATGTTAAACTGGGCTTTTACAAAATGTGCCTTTTTATTTGCTATCCTAAGGGATAAAATCAAGTACCTTCAGGTGTGTTATTGCTGGTGTTATTATTACTGGATATGGAATTGGAAGGCTGGTTGAGTTGGTGAAACAACAATCTAATACGCTTTGCTGGATAACATTAGATGTTCTCCTCTCTCTCTCATGCCTCTAAGTATTTGTGAGGAAACAATCACTTTGCCATCTGTTTCTCTGTTGGATAAATTAACAGCTTCATCGCTTGAGCAATTAGTTTCTGACAGTTTGAGCAGAATCAATAATTTGATGAGGAAGTCGTAGCTGCATGAAATCTCACTTTTCCCCAACATGGAGAGTTTGTCAAAGGATTCGATGGGGCACATTTTAAAATTATGTCTTTCCACACCACATCGCACTTAAAATCAGTGTTGGTAAGGCTGGCTGGTGAGGACGTAATGCTAACGAGTTAGCTACTGGTTAGCTTGCTAACTGCTTTTTTGTAGCTAACTGGTTGTTGATATAGTGGTTAGCTTGCGAACAGCTTCTACGTTAGCAAGCTAACCGGTTGTGGATACAGTGATTAGCAAGCTAACCGGTTGTGGATATAGTGGTTAGCTTGCTAACAGCTTCCACGTTAGCAAGCTAACCGGTTGTGGATATATAGTGGTTACCTTGATAACAGCTTCCACGTTAGCAAGCTAACCGGTTGCGGATATATTGGTTTCCTTGCTAACAGCTTCCCCGTTAATAAGCTAAACTGACGAGATCATCGTGTCTGTTCATTAGTAATATTACATATTTTGGTGGAATATTTGATTCAATTAATAGATATTGTTGTGTATATGATCAATTAATATTTCCATTGTTTTAAAAAAAAAGCGTGAGATTCCACCAGACTTCCAGCTCTTCCCAACAGCGCGCGCCCCCGCCCGGGCCCTTGTAATGGGACACCGCCAAAACGTCCCGGCCTGTTGAACCTGACTCGCCGCCACGCGCCTGTTGTGAGCTTGTCTGCAGGATAATTCATGACACCACTCGGGCTCATCTGCTGGACGTGGTTCGTGTAAAAAGAAAAATAAATTCCGTGAACTAATTACTGCAGCCTACTAACGTTGGCGCGCGCGCGCTGCGTTATCGGGTTGCTCATTGTGGACGTTTCATAGGAGCTGCAGCCCCCAGTGACACGCGAGCATGTGACTTAAATGCACGCACAGTAAGTACGATAGACTGTCGGTCACCAGATGGGCTACTTAAGCTAAAAACGTGTGTATAAGTATTTGTTTGTCTGGCTTCTCGCGGCTGCTCATTTGAATTTATTATTTGCAAACGTTGGGAGGAGCTCAGCCCATCAAAACTGTGTGTGTGTGTGTCTGTGTGTGTGTGTCTACCTGAGCATAGGTGTGTGTGTGTGTGTGTTTGCATGTGTCTAAATCTATTCTTCACCAGGACCATCTACGTGTCACTGTTTGCTTTCCTCCCTCTTAACATCATCCATCAAAGGTCAGTGATCATGAATATACGAATATTAATAGCAATCTGTACAGAAAGTGGTGTTTATGTTCAGTGTGAGCTATATTAATGGTTATAAAGTAGTAAAAAGCCTGATACGGTCTGAAACATGTTTCTACCGATGGGATGAATGTTGTAGAAATCCTGTAATTACCTTCTTTTTTAATATTTCCAAACAGCGAGAAGCGAACAAAAGACCCGTCTTTTGGGATCTGTATCTGTGTGCCTCCTCTAGCAACCACTTGCACCTCGTATTTTTCTCTGTGCTGTCACATTAAGTCTCGTGCCGAGGTTGAGCTGAACCTTTAACCCACTCGCCGGCGTTCCCCTGAGGACGAAACGGATCTTCTCTCCCCTCGGAGGCTCTCCCAACTTGGAATCTTATCAATTCACCGAATCTTTCTCCCACACAGTGGGATTCATCAAGAAATCAAATTTCCTTTCAAACCTTAAAAAGCTGCATGACTACGAGGACGTCCCCCTCGCCACTAACTGAAGGTGACAGCCAGCCGCCGCTCCGCCCTCCGACGGGACGTTTCCTCGCCGGAGGTGTCCGGCGGGAGTCCTTGGGTTTCGCCCTCCCGTCTCACGTGTCGGCACATATAGAGGCGGGCCATGTATTGAGTTTAAGGCGAACATGAGGGCGATTACCTACACATGGACGCCCATGAACGCCAGTCTAATGGCCCTGCATAGCTAATGGCCGACGACGTCCGTCCTAATGTATGTGTGCCGTTTTTTTTTTCTTAACGTTTTGCACTTCCAGTTATTTGTTCACAGCAACTCGATCGGACTGACTCACGCCGTCGTGTTCGTCACGGATAGTTAAGATAAAACAACTCCCAGCAGGCGGCCCCCCCCCCCTGAACATAAATATAGTGGGGGCTGATAACAAATGGAGGCGCTGTGCGCTCAGAACCTCTAACCAGCTTTCCTCTGTGTATGAATGGGCGTCTATATGGGGAGCGGCTCACAACGCAGCAGTGGCTAATTCCTGCTAATCCCATCGTATCTTCTACCACTTAGTGATGGTTTCCAATGGCAACTACGGACCAGAGAGGAGGGGTTGCCGGAGGGCGGGGGGGGGGATTGCTAGTGAGATTAGCTCGCGTTAGCTCCGCCTCTGTTGTTTGCACGCAGTCGGGCCCGGGCCGGACCACCAATGCTTCCATGCGAACCCTTTGCACAGAAAATGGATTATTATGGTTTTGTTTAGACAACAATGTAAGTTTGTTTTCCATGTGCTTTAATGACGGCTTCAGCTTTCTGTGGATTCAGTTTCCGATGAAAAACTGTGAGGTTTCTTTACCTTGGAGGGTTGAGCAACAGTGTGCCTGTGCAGGATTTACCAGGGCTCTTATTGCGCCTAATGACCGGGTGTTAATACCATTGTGTTGGGATTTTACCATTTAGTGATGAAAGGTTACAATGGTCCAAGTGAAATCGAAACTGCTCAACTGGAATTGTAGAAGAGTTTTCTTTGAATGGAACATGCACTTTTGAATAGAAAGAAATATCATAAGAAATGTAATCTCCTTCTATGGACCAACGAGCCCGCTGCAGGTTCTTCACCTTCCTCCGTCTTACATCTAACCGTGAGCCGGGTGCGTTCTCTCTCACAGGAGATCTCTCCTCAAGATGTTTCCACAACCGGGGAAATCCATCGTCTTCGACAACTTCCCGGATCCCACCGAGGCCTGGGACATCATCGAGACCATCGGCAAGGGGACCTACGGAAAAGTCTACAAGGTGCTCAACAAGCTCGACGGCAGCAAAGCGGCCGTGAAGATACTGGACCCCGTCCACGTGAGTCCACCTTCTCCCTGGAGCGATGCGGCAGACGAGTCACTGGCACATTTAGTGCATCTGTAGATTTAAAGATGTTCGACTCTGAGCACAGATTAGATCCGAGACGCCGTTTGTTAACTTTATGGTTTTCTTTCAGTTGCTGTGTCAGTGCATCTCCCCTCACACCTTCGGTTTAATAATGCCATATATTTTGTTTAGTGTGTATGAATGAGATGTACTATATATATATATATATATATATATATATAAATATTACCACACTGCTCCTTCGCCTTCAACTAAATGACCGTTATAGAAAGGGGCCGTCATTGGTCCCATGTTATGACGTCGTTGTATCTCTGCCGCTTATTTTGAAGGTACGGTGAACTTCATGGTTTATTTAGCAGCTCTAACGAGCTCCCCGTTCTCCACTAGATTAGATTCGGTCCTTTATGCTCATACAAGTCCCATTATTGTAAAGTTGTTACTTTCTCGTAATTGAGAAATGATTATGCACAGACCAGCGGCCTGTGAGCACCATCGTTTACATTGTTTTAATCACCGGCAAAACCATACTGCTGTTCCTTAAAACACATCGTTGGTCCGTAACTCTGGAGCCTGTTGCAGCGTCAGGGACACAAATCAGCCGGGGGCATTACTTTGGTTCGACTTCTTACAACGCCACTGCAGATGTGTCCATTGGGTCGTGTTGTTTTGACTAAATAAGTCAAGTGATGGAAATCTCAACATCGCTGAAACTGTTTCATTAACTGTGTCATCAGAAAGGTTCATTCATCAGCTTAACAGGCTCTTCGTGGCTTAATCCGACCGTGTGGCTGCACCATTCATCCCATAATTGCCATTATTTCGTTGTCCTAGATTTGCCCTTTTCACCCCCATTATATTCCAGAGCGGCTAATGGAGACTTTGTTAAGCAAGGTGGGCTGGAGTCGGACGAGAACATCTATACCTCTGTTATGACTGTTAAATGTGAGGCCGGGTCCCGTTAGCTTAGCTTAGCATCATAACAGTAGAGGAAAGAGGCAATACCATTAGCATTTTTGTTCCCATTTTAAATCAGTCTTCATATTAATTTTATAGTACAGAAATGAGCTGATCGTTTGCCTCTGTTGTTCTTCTGATATCTTCCAGCATGAAGCGTCACAAAATGCAAAGACGGTCGCTAATCGTGCGCAGCACGCGGGGGGAAAAAAAACCTCGACTGACCCCCGTCCCTGTTTTTGCAGGATATCGACGAGGAGATCGAAGCGGAGTACAACATCCTCAAAGCGCTGTCCGACCACGCCAATGTGGTGAAGTTCTTCGGGATGTACTACAAGAAGGATGTGAAATGCGGCGACCAGCTGTGGCTGGTGCTGGAGGTACGTATTTGCATGGAAACGACACTACATGTTTGCCCCCGGGCCACGTATTTGACTGAGGCCTTAAGTGGCATTCAGCTGCGCACCGCGGCTGACCCGCGCAGACAGCGAGGGCAGATTAAAGGTCCGGCGTCTCGCCAGGTGTACGCGCCCGGGGATTATACGGAACCGTTTTAGCCACAGCGGGCAGTCGGGGAGTTTTACTTCTAGGCCACCCGGGGGGGAGGATTTAGACGCACGCCAGCGACCTGGATGTGTTGGGGGGAGGGAGGGAGGCGGGAGGGTGAAGGTCGGCCCGGGTGACGCGGGCACCCTGCTGAGAGGAGAAGGGATTTCTGTTCACAAGGACTGTGTGCTGGATGCGCCTTCAACAAGCGATGCCCTTACTGAAAGAAAGAAAGTAGATTCTTCTGCAAAAATAATACAGAACGTTTGGCTTCGTGAAAGTTCAGTGTGTCCTTGCTGCTGCAAGAAGCTCTCCGTCTTTTGTATTTCTCAAATGTCAACCTCCAGACAAACGTGTAATGGGGGTCAACCTCAAAGGAGGGGAAGTGTTTTGCGGGATCCATCGCGGTCGGGGGGGGGGGGGGGGGATGCAGGGTTTCTTTGCCTTTTGACTTCCTGCTTCCTGATGGCGGCGAAGACCCGGAGAGGTCCAGTGAACATGCTCGGCAAACCGGGGGGGGGGGGGGGGGGGGGGGGGGGGGGGGGGGGCGACAAGGAAACACCCGGATAAAATAAAACGCTTTAGTTTATTACTTTATCCAGTAAAAAAAAAGTGCTTTTATTTTGAAATGATTCAGAGTAAAAAGGAATCTCTTCCTCGTGGTTCTGTTGCTTCTTCCAGCGGCGCTCGCACGCAAACCTCCATATTTCTGTAATCTAAGCTCCGCTTTGCATCAGCAGTGCGATGATAAACCCAGTGGATTGTTTTCACCTCCCCAGCTTGTGTTTCTCCCTCTTTTCATCGCGTCCTTCCTCCTGACCTACAAGGAGGCATCGCTGTTACTTTCCCCACATATCAAGTACGATCTAAGATGCATTACTGAACGAGGGCAAAGCGCACGTACGCAGTTAGTTCTGTCCTGTGGTTCAGATCTCATTTAAGTAAAAAAAACGAATATGGTGTTCGACAAGTTTTTTTTCTTCTGTTTAGCTACTTTGTTTACTGCCTGTTTCCTCTTTGGTTTTCCCCATTTCCTCCAACTGTCCTTTGCAAAAAATCTGCAGCCAGCAAACCGCAACAGCAAATCAGGTGGCTGAGCCCGAGGCTGACAATGACCGCCTGACAGTTCAGCGCGCGCGTGTGTGTGTGTGTCTGTGTGTGTGCGTGTGTGAGTGCGTGTGTGTGTTCTGAAGTAGACGCACGTGTCATTTTGCAGGTCGGGGAAGCTGGCAGGGAGTCGGTCATTCACCGCGATTACTAAACCTGATTTTGCAGCCGCACGGACAAATTGCTTCGCGTTTTACTTTGTTAGCCTCTCATTGGGGTCTGCCAGCTTCTGGCTTCGCATCCGTTTCCGCAGCTCCTTTAATGACAGCGGACGCGGCCAGCGAGCCTTTCATGTGCGACGGCCCGATTCTGCCCCCAGAGAGCTCAGAGGCACTTCAGAGACGGAGCGACTTTTGCTCCCTATCAGGGAATAAAGGCCTGATTTGGATGCGGGTTTAAAGCTCTGCGCTAAACGAAGCCCGCTGATCACTGAAACCTTTGAAGCTTAAAGATGTATCTCATCTTTGATTATTGCTCTGCGTCTGTATTGCATGTTGAGGCTGTTTACAGATCGTACCATGACTTTTAAACAATAAACCCCCGGCCGCCCTCGTTCGCCCGCGATGGTCTCCGTCCGGACGGGGTTTTTTCGGGGCTTGTGCTTGAAAGCGGACACGCCGGCTGCGGCGGCGTAAGCGATAACCCCGCGGTAACACTAGGAGTGCGTTTCCTTGGAGGCGTTCCAGGCCCGTGACACGCGCGGCCCGTCGCGTCCAGTCATCACGCCGCAAATGAGACGCGCTTTTGTGTTTGCAGGGAGACACGGATGGAAGATGGTTGACTGGAAAGTCAGCAGCTGTGTGTCTTTAGCGGGTTGGTCCTCGGTGAGTCGGTGGGCAGCCTCGACTCTTTCATCTCCGCATCGGCTTCATTCTTCCTTTACGCGTCTTTGATGCTCTGCTTTTATTTGCATGACTAAACAAGCAGCTGACATCGTTTGTAAGGGAGAATATCCGCCTCCGCGTTCAGTGTATTCGGTTTCTTTTCTTTGGAAAGTGAGAGTTGTTGGTGGAAACTCAGGAGACATTCAAGAAGAAGATGCAAGAGTTTATTATCCATTGTTTCTTTTTAGATTTTCCGCACATCGTTGGTGGGGAATTCACATTTTATCGGCCCCATCAATCAATTTTAGCAGGACTACAGTTTAATTGTTGCAACGTTTTCCCAAATTGATTTTGCAGCCTATATTTTGGAATAAGAGCTTACGGTGTGAAAATGGCAGCCGATGGAATTGGTGTTGACGCTCCATATTTAGGCTTTTTAACCTAAAATGATGATTGCTTTGATTTGTGCGTCGTCACTGATCAATCACCCTCATCGTTTAATGGTGGGACAGATTTCATAGACTTTAGCACCCAAAGCTGCGTAAATCTTCTTTAACCTCTTCAAAGTTACATGAATCATTTTTACTCAAAGGTTTGCGTCTCAAATAATGAATGTGACGAATGGAAAGTGAGCATCACCTGCTCGCTGTGGCCTCTCATTAATATGGATTTGTCCCCGGTGTAATTTAATGACAAAGGGCGATATGGCGGCGACGCGGACCGACGTCACGGGAAGTTACAAAGACACACAAACGGACTACATGAAGAAACAAACACAGCAACAGTAGTAATAATAATAATGTTCCTATGACATCATTGTACCAGTCAGCTCGTCAGCGTCATCGTTTCTGTCTTTAGTCAAATCGCGTTGCCCTTTTCTGCCCTAACCATCTAAAGGAAGTAAATATTTCACCACCCGGGCTGTGCTGTCACTTTGAATGTGAATAGAAATGGTGTAGTTGTGTCAATGCTGGGGTGTATAAATGATTTATTAGTCATCTTTTCTGACACGTGATGTTTGGAGCACAGCCGCGGGGGACTGATCCTTATCCTAAATCATCACACACCACCACGTGCGTGTTGCCTAATTAAGCTTTCAGTTTACAAGTGCGGGGAAATTAGTGTAATTATGCAAGAACAAGTATTTAACACATAAAAGATACGATGGAAATGTTCTAATGCAAAATACCGGTGAATGAGGCGATTATTTGTGTTTACTTTCTTCGGGAGCAGCGCCGTGATTGACATGTGCTGACGTGTTTTTCTACCTCTGGCAGCCGAAAGAAAGACCTGAATCAAGGGGTTATTACTGTTGCCACGGCAACCCACGGGGTAATCTTCTGTAATTTGCCAAGAGGGAGTGCTATTGACTGTGGAGTCCAAATCCAGATGCAGCACACAAAATAAAAGGTTCTCTTCGCCGTGAGAACAGAGCGTTGGTGCTGGCTTGAATCTCGCATTGTTTCCGGTGTGAAATGCGTGTTCTTTTTCTACTGCGAGTGTCGTCATTGTCTGAAACCCATCGGAGGATGATTTGTGCATGTTTAATATTTCCCCTGCTGAGTCATCACAGCGGTGGATTAAAAACCCCCCCGCACACAAAAGTGTACATTCTCCCTTCTCCCACCTCCCGCTAAGCTGCCTGGGAAAGATAAGCCTCTACGGGTCCACGGAGTTCCACTTCCAGCTTTTCTCCCCGTGAAATCTCATCATCTGAACTTTTTTCTTTTTTTCCCCCGCGTTTTTTTTTAAGCGCGTTGTATAAGCTCGGGCCGAAGTGCTGACTCATCGTTCTCTGTTGCAGCTCTGCAATGGCGGCTCTGTGACAGACCTGGCCAAAGGGATGCTGAAGAGGGGGGACCGCATGGACGAAGCCGTCGTTGCCTACATCCTGCACGAGGCCCTCATGGTAAATCTGGCCCCCTGAGCGTGCACGAGGGGGGGAGACAGCGATGCTCGAGAGAACGCGCCGCTTCAGTGAAAAAAAGGGGGCTGCAGGGGGATTGTTATAAAAAGGCAGGTGCTCGTCAGGAAAAAGCCGCTGAACCCCCCCCCCCCCCTCCCTTTTTGTCCTTCCTCTGCGCAGGGCCTGCAGCACCTGCACGTCCACAAGACCATCCACCGCGACGTCAAGGGCAACAACATCCTGCTGACGACGCACGGAGGCGTCAAACTGGTGGACTTCGGTACGCGGCGTGTCTCTTTTTTGTCGCCACATCCTCCGCTAATCAGGGAAAATCACTTTGTGGCTCCGCTTAACAGAAGAGGGCCGAACCCATTACCTTCAGCTGCGTGCCGAATAAACAGACTGTAATTGGTCTCCTCTGGGACGCGCTTACACAAGCAGACGAGGTGGCAGACGAAATGTGTCTTCCATGACGTCCCGTCTTCGGCCTCGGCGCTGCTCCTCGCTCTTTGTTCGCTCTGATTTGCTTTGGGTTTTTTTTTCTTAACCAAATGAGGCGCTGCGAGCGGCCGCGGTGGTTCTGGGTTGCAAGCTTCGCGATAGGCAAATAGATTTTGACTATTTCCAGGGGATGATTCACTCCTGCTGGAAAGAAAGCAAAAAAAAACAAAAAACAGCCGTCTGTTTTCATTACATTCAACACGCGTGTAGGTTTGCATTCAGCCGGCTAATTGTGGGCTTCTCTTAAAAAGCCTTTTTCTACCCGCGAAAGCACAAAGTGCACAAAGTGCACAGCTCTTACACGAGGGGGAGGAGGAGGAGGTTTTAATGGAATCACTTAACATGTGAATGTGGAAGAAGAGGCAGCTTCTCGACGGCGGTTTGATGCACCAGTCTTTGAGAATCGAAGCCTGAAAGTGTTTAGGAAATAAAAAACGTTTAATCGTCTAGAATGCAAAGGACAAAAAAGAAAAGTCGCCCCCCAGTCAGCTCGTTTGACAGCCCCCCGTACCGCTGACAGTTGGAACCTGGCCGTGACGTCGTGAGGGAAGGCGCGGCGCGTAGAAAGAAAGTCGCAGAGTGACGAAAGCGGCGACTCGTTCCCGCTCCGGTGCCTCGCGCCGGGATTGATGGACCTCCACGCGGGGAGGGGCGCACGCCACGCTAAGCAGGCGAGGAGATAATGCCCCCGCAGTGACTCATCACAGGCCGAGGAACTAAATAGCAAAGAGATCACCCCTCCCCCTCCCCCTACACACACACACACACACACACACACACACACACACACACACAAAAAACAATGCACAAAATGCGCAGTGGCAGAATGAGAAGCGCCGTTTGTTTGAGGGTCTCTCGTCTCTCATGAATATTCTAATTGACGGCCTTATCTCTGTGATGGTGATTAAGTGTGGCCCCCCCCCCCCCCAGGCTCCACTCCGGGCTAATGTAGTGTAAAGTGAGGGGCCGCGAGGGCTTTAATGGGGGTCCCTCAGTGCTTCTGGACCCTAGTGTACCACACACCTCGTGTTCTCACTACCGGGGGGGCTTAAGCGTTGCTGTGGAGTGGTTTGGTCACGTATGTCCCGTCCTTCTAATCCCCGTTAGATGTTTTGCCATAGAACTGTTTCCACTTGCTCATCTGTTGTGTGAAGCTCTGCAGAGTTTGCGGTTCAGATCAGCGCAGAGCAACGCGAGGCGGAGACGCCGTCGCGCTTCGCAGTGGGACCTTTCGCTTCTCGGTAGCCGCCGTTGTCTCGGGGGGGGGGCTCCGCTCCGGTCGCGGTCGCCGCTTCAGCCTAGAGAGCCCCGGGACACACGATGCTAACGCTGATTCGTCCCGACTGGACTCAACATACGATTGTGGGTCAGCGTGTTCCCTGTCAGGCTCTGTAACGCACAACAACACACACAAATAAGGACACGCGGCCTCGTATTCATGCAGCGTATGTCTGTATAAAGAGGACGCAGCAACATACACACATATATATATATATATATATATATGTATGATGAAGCTTCAGATAGATTTATGTTCTCGTTCGGAGAGACGGGGAAACGTCTCCAGCGCTCAAAGACGTTTTCCAGCTCAATTGTATTCAAATGTTGTTCTTGAATTGCCGTGCAAAACCCCCTGCAGCCGCATCGGAATTTGTAATTCAAAGCAATCTATCATTTGAAGGCATCTGTGTGTGTGTGTGTGTGTGTGTGTAGTTCTTCCTCCATGTCCCTGCAGCGACAGGTCCATCAGCGGGACACGAGGGCCCTCAGAGATCCACGCAGAGACGTGTCACCCGACACCGCTCGGCGTTCCTCCACAAGACAGAGGCTTCGAGGCTCAGGTGTGCTTTCTCTTCCCCGCAGGTGTCTCGGCCCAGCTGACGAACACGCGTCTGAGGAGGAACACCTCGGTGGGGACTCCCTTCTGGATGGCTCCGGAGGTACAGTCGGAGGTCCCTTTGCATCTCCAGCAGATCCCAGGGGGCCTCGCTCAGGAGATAACGGAGGCAAAGAAGGAGAAATGGAGCTCACGTTCTGCTGGGGGGGGGGGGTTCCATCAAAGCTGATCGGAGGCCTGAAGTTCTGCTGCTTCCGCGTTGGAGAGCACCTCCTCCGGTCTCCGATTTGCCCCTCGCGGGAATAACTTCAATCGGCAAATCGAAGTGGCCGTTTTTACATGAGGTTTGCATCAGAATGCACGTGACGCGTCGCGTCCGCACTCGATTTTAATCTCGTTTGTGTAAAACGTTCATCAGCTGGACTCCGTAGACCAGAAGGTCTTCGGTCGAAAAGGGTTCTCGGTGTCCGGAGTGAGATTGAGTTGTTTACTCCGGGTCCCACCTGCGTTCTCCGGACCAGCTGCTCATGTGACTTTTAATCGTGCGGTGAGTCTGGACAACTCGATAGATCTCGTTTGAGCTTTATTTCCTGACTATCGACAAGTGGTTGAGGCTCATTTCTTTAGCATGTCGGCAATTTTGTTAAGTTAAACTATTTTTGCAGTATAGTTTAATGAGGTCATTTTACTGACTGTTTTCTTTAGGGTTCTTCTGCAGAGGAGCGGCTGTCTTAATGTGTGTGAAGGATGCTTTATTATGATCGATATGGCGATGATTCGTCTGTGCACACAAGTACCTGCCTATTGGGGATTTGGAGTACGAATTATATTGATTTCAGACAGTTGACAATAATGCTGAAGGTGTGTGTGTGTGCGCTTTAGCGCTATCTTGCCCTCAGCTGGCTGAGCTGTTTATTGGGTTTCTTGATTTCTTGATGTTTTTATATGGATTTTTCTCTCTTATGAATATTGGAAGTGGTCCCGAACTTTGGTTCTCTTAGTGGAGAGAAAGAGGGTTTCTTGACGCTGCTGAATGTGCGTTTCTGTCCCTTGGTGTTGGTGCTGCAGGTGATCGCCTGCGAGCAGCAGCTGGACTCGACCTACGACGCTCGCTGTGACGTCTGGTCCCTCGGCATTACGGCCATAGAGCTCGGAGACGGAGACCCCCCCCTCTCCGAACTCCACCCAATGAGAGCGCTCTTCAAAATCCCCAGGTGAGCCCCCATCAGCCCCACCCACACATCCTCCACCATCATCATCGTCATCATCATCATCATCATCAGGGCAAACAAGATTTATTTACTTTCATTCAATGGCGAAAGATTAATGACTTTTTATTCTAGCTCCAAAAAAAAGGTAAAATATATATAGACCAGAATATTATAGCGATGCATTAATGCATAACTTGTAGCGACCTCGTACCGCCGGCTACCTTGATCTATAACTAATAAAATCACCTATTTATTGATTTATATCTCGTGCTGACTGAGTATAAAGAGCAATGAAAGAGTCCGTAACACACCACGGTCTACTTGTATCACAAAGCTTATCCATAAACCACTGTTGCCATTCGCCCTGTGTTTATGGGGGGGTGGAGGGGGGCGAAGCCACGCCTTCCTAATGTTGAGTGGGCTGAAGGTGAAGAGCAATTCTTCATGTTATCCTCGTTCCAGCGTCAGAGCTGCATGAGCACTTACAGACACTGTCATTGTCGCGGCGCAGCACTTTGTCCATCACTGTCCTGAAACACACACACACACACACACCAGCGTCCTGTGTGTGTGTGTGTGTGTGCGTGTGCGTGCAGTGGGGGTCGTGCTCCACAGGAGACGTCACGCGGCTCCCTCTGAATCTTTGTGACTGCTGCAGTCGGAGCTTCAGGCCGTCGGTTCACACTCTTCACCTCCCCCGGCTGCGGGTTCGCTCGTCAGGCGGCCCGTGGAGGAAAAAAAGCCCCCGCCGAGGGCATTTGTTCTAACACACCCCGTCTTATTCCATTCAGGGTCGCCACCAGAAACGGAAGATCGTATGTGACGTTTTCTGCCGCGCTTGAATTCATCTTTGCAGTGTTTTTCTTATCTTAACGCATTCGAAGTTGGACTCTAAACTGCTGTATTTGGACATATAATGACCTTTAAATGCACAGTACTGTATCAGAACGCAGATATTCCATATATATGTTTGGCCTTTTCACCCCCTCGACATAAGGTCACAACTAGCAACAATATTACAAGTGAAAGAAGGACAGAGACGGACTGGGACCCAACGTGCAGAAGTCAAATCCCACCCCTGTAAAGGTTTAAGCTTTTATTCTTCGTTTTGTGCAAAAGGGAAACTTGAATTGGCCTCCCATGCTCTTCAGAGGGGGATTTATTACGGCGCCTTCAGTGAGAGGTGTTTAAACATGATACAAGTATTAAAGGACATCCTCATACATGTTCCCAGGGAATTAAAACAACTCTATTGTACCTTTAATGAATAGACAGAATCGGCTGTAATAGATGTGCCGTGCGTCCGCCGTCTACCTCGGCTGCGCTGCGTGATAAACAGGAGATGCATGTTCCCTCATTAGACCAATTTATTGCTGTCAGAGCCGACGGGAAAGAGGCCGCGCTACATTAGCGGGCGCCGTTGACTTCCCGAACCGTTTGCCAGCTTCCCTCTCGTAAAAAAGGTCCTCGAAGCAGAACGCCGAATTACAGCAATTAGCCGAGTCGTTCGCCGGCTGCGCGGCTCGACCTCTGAGCGGCGCGTGTCTGTTTGAAGGAGGAGCAACGCGGCTTCAGACTGTTTCTCTAAAATCAGCTGTGTCAACAGACCGGTGAGGCGGCCTTCGCTCGGGAAACGCCTCTGGATCTGCTCGGCGATGAATAGAAAACATTCCTTTTTGATCTGCCCGAATCCAATCTCATCTTATCTTTCCGTTGATCTCTTCCGTTCCTTCCCGTTTGACAGAAATCCCCCGCCGACCCTCCACCAGCCGGAGCTCTGGTCCGACGGCTTTAACGACTTCATCTGCAAGTGAGTGCGGACGCGAATAAAGGTTATTTACGCTGGTGGTACAGAGCCAAGCGCACTTATGAATGAGTATAAATCCAATTCACGCTTTCCTTCTCCAACCCGCCCAGATGTCTGATCAAGGACTTTGAGCTGAGGCCCAACGTGCTGGACCTGCTGCAGCACGTCTTCATCAAAGCCAGCATCGGCAGAGAGAAGATCCTGCAGAAGCAGCTGATCGAGCTCATCGATCTCAACCAGCAAATAGGAATCATTGATAAAACCAGGTACTCTCTCCACCTCGAGTCGGGTTTCCTTTTCCTAAAAGTCCTAAAAGTCTCACACGGCGTGGAGATTTATTTCGCGGTCCGCTCGGGTTTGTACGGCCGGCTGCAGCTTCTGCTGACGTCACAATCAAATATGACCCCCCTTGCTGGACTTTTTACGGGCCTAATCCTATTTCTGTCATTTAAGCCATCATGGAAAGACAGACAGAAGCACAGACAGTAATGACAGGTAACGAATGCCTCATGGACCCTCACGCCGCACTAGATGATAGTTGGCACGTAGTTGTGACCTCACATGTGTTTGTCATTGGTCCCCTGCTGCCAACCTCCCGTCATAGACTCTGTTGTCTTTTGGATCCTGTCGTCACATTTTGCTCTTGTCGTTTGATGCTGTAGTGAAACTGAGGTTGTGATATTTGCTGTAGACCGACTGCAGCAGCTCTTTTTTCTGATGTTTAACATTCAAACTGGTCAGATTCTCCCTTCTGATGGAGGTGTGCTCAGACGGTTTCCCCGCTACGTCGATTTGTAAAAGTGAAGCTATTGCAATAAATGGTCTGTTGTATATCTGTGTGGCTATTAGGAAATACCACATTTAATAAGACGTCGTTTAAGTTCATTTTCTTCTTCTAGCCTTCTTAATCTGGTCATTTGGAAAGCCGCTCGCCGTCCGGCAGGAGGAATAAAAACTGCACGCTGATAGCGAGCGTGACTGCAGTAATGCTTCAGAGTATTATATTCACATTAAGATCCTCATCCGCTCGGACCTTTGCTCGCGCTCACACAGTTTGTGTGATAAAGCGAGGAGACTCAGCGACGGCTGCTCGTGGCTTCTGTGGGTTGCAGGCATGAACGCATCCACACCAAGCGAGGAGGCCACATGAAGACGCAGAGCGACCTCGACGAGGTGGACGACCTCGCCACCCTGGAGGTTCTGGACGAGGTGAGAACGACTCCGTTTACCCGTGAAGAACGTCTGTTGCAATCTGCGAATACAGAGCGGAACATTCCACAACTGTTTTTCAGAACACGGTCACGGAGCAGCTGCAGCGCCGCTACGGGCGCGATCAAATCTACACGTACGTGGGAGACATCCTCATCGCGGTCAACCCGTTCCACGGCATGCAGATATACGGCCCTCAGGTCGGTTTCCCTTCGCACACCCATTAGTAGATCCCGCCCAACCGCCCGCCTGCACACAAACAGCGCCCCCCCCCGGTTTCTCTCCATAGTGCACCAAGATGTACATCGGAGCCAAGCGCACGGCCAACCCCCCTCACATCTTCGCCGTGGCTGACATCGCCTACCAGTCCATGGTGTCGTTTAATACAGACCAGGTAATGCAGTGGCACTTCCTTGATTCTTCCATTGCTTTTTTTTTTTATCTCGCCGTGTGTGTCATTTTAGCCTTGATTGTCACTGTGGTTAAATAGGGTGGAGGTGATATCGTATTTAGTGGTTTTGTTATGTGGAACGTCCACTCGAGGCGGTAAACGTTGCTCCTTGCCGTGCGCAGTGCGTGGTGATCAGCGGGGAAAGCGGAGCCGGGAAGACGGAGAGCGCTCATCTGTTGGTGCAGCAGCTGACGGTGCTCGGAAAGGTGAGTCACGCGAGGCCGCGCATGCAAAGAATATTTCATCAGCGGCGCCTTCAGGAAGTCCGACGCCGATGAGCTTCCCGTGCGCCAAATGACACAAAGATGAGGGTCCTGAACCGGGAGGCCGCTCATCTCCCCCAATGCGAGCTGAATACAAACGCACTTTGAGGCAATTTGAACTTCCAGTGATCCGTTGATTCGAGGTTCCAGCTGATGCCGGCCGTGATGAGCAACCAAGCTGAAAAGTCCCCTTTCAATTCCCCCCCCTTTCACAGCCGAAATAAGCAGCGCCTGAATAGAAAGGCGCGTGGCAGAGATCCACCTCCGGACAAAAGGAGTGTTACTTCCTCTAATGTGTCATTCAAGGCCAACAACCAGACGCTGCAGGAGAAGATCCTGCTGGTCAACAGCCTGGTGGAAGCGTTCGGAAACGCCTGCACCGTCATCAACGACAACTCCAGCCGCTTCGGCAAGTACCTGGAGATGAAGTTCACCTGCGGAGGCACGGTGGTGGGAGCGCAGATATCCGAGTACCTGCTGGAGAAGTCCAGGGTCATCCACCAGGCGGCGTAAGTATCGCTCACATTCCAGCCACAAGATTTACTTTGTGCCTTTTTCCTCAATAGTTATTGGACAGCTCCGATCAGGTTAAAGGTGACGGATGGATGAGAGTAAGAGCCTTTGTGTCTCCACAGGGGGGAGAGGAACTTCCACATCTTCTACTACCTGTACGCCGGCCTGGCAGACAGGAAGAAGCTGGCTCACTACAAGCTCTCCGACAGCAAAACACCCAAGTGGGTTTGACTTCTCACCCTGCTGACGTCCTACTACTACCTCCCCCCCCCCCCCCCCCCCCCACAGTCCTGAGCTCTCCTGTCTGATCTGCAGGTATCTGCTGAACGAGCACGTTAAATTGGGGCCCGACATAGTGAGCAACAGCTTCTACAAGGAGCAGTTTGATGCAGTGGAGCAGTGTTTCAAAGTCATCGGATTCACCCTAGAGGTAAAGAACACAATCCCTGCATCGACTACCGGCCGTAACCTGGCAGCTCACATATTAATATTAAATATATATATAATATAATACATATTAAACCAATACATGTCATTTCAAAGTGCATCAGTGGTTCCTTAGATCCACTATTTGGCACACGTGTGAAGCCCAAAGAGCTGATTCCCTACTGGGATCTGCACGTCTGCAACCACCAGCAGGAACAACCTTCTATTTCATAGTGTGTATGAAGGTGATCACACGGTGACTGGCCGTTAGAGACGTCTACCGGCTGGTAGAGCACACGGACGCATGTTGTATGAGTGAAGGTGGCAACCCGAGGCCGCGCCGGATGCTATTGGGCAATCAGGGCGACGTCCCGCTGTCTGCGGTGAATCCCTGTCTGTCACTCCTGCAGGAGCTGGGCAGCGTCTACAGCACCCTGGCTGCCATCCTCAACTCCGGCGACGTGGAGTTCTCTCCGGTCGCCTCGGAGCACCAGACCGACAAGAGCGACATCTCCAACACGTCGGTCCTGGAGAACGGTGAGAGGAGAGAGAGAGAGAGAGAGAGAGGGCGGCGTGACTTCTTCGTTCCCTGTCGTTCACCACTTTCGTCCCATTCCTTGACCTAATGAACCCCCCACCTCCCTCGCTCCGCCTCCATCCCTCCCCCAGTGGCGTCGCTGCTGTGCATCCGCTCGGACGAGCTGCAGGAAGCCCTGACCTCCCACTGCGTGGTCGCCCGCGGGGAGACCATCGTCAGGCCCAACACGGTGGACAAGGCGGCGGAGGTGAGGGACGCCATGGGCAAGGCGCTCTACGGCCGCCTCTTCAGCTGGATCGTCAACCGCATCAACGCGCTGCTGCGGCCCGACGGAAACCTCGGGTGAGCTCGCGACGAGTCCGACCAACGTGTGCTTCCAGACTCCAGTGGAATCTTTTAAAATGTCACCTTTCCTTCGTCTCCCCTGCAGGGAGGACGAGAAGGGCCTGAACATCGGCATCCTGGACATCTTCGGTTTCGAGAACTTCAAGAAGAACTCCTTCGAGCAGCTCTGCATCAACATCGCCAACGAGCAGATCCAGTTCTACTTCAACCAGCACATCTTCGCCTGGGAGCAGGTGAAGGCCGCCTGAGCGCTGCAGTCCCTCGCGACCTCATTTCCATCTAAATAGTGAAAACATGACATCATTTGTCACTCTGCGCTTTGAGGGCGACGGCGAGGGGCAAAATACGCCGCTGTCTTTATTCACGGCGGAGAGAGAGAGAGAGAGAGAGAGGTTGGCGAGTCTCGCGGGAGTGTTTTGCCTTGAGGGGGGCAGAGAGCCGTTTGCTAATGTTAAACGATGTGGTCCCACCCACAGAGAGAAGCTATAAATCATCCGCAACGAGGGTCAATTAGGAGCCCAAGACAGTTAGCGTTTGACTAAATCTCACTCTCGGGTGTTGTTGGCACCAGGCCCAGAAATACATGTGTCCTTTACCTCCCCCACCCACCGTATATACGTGGGTGGGGGGAGGGAGGAGGGGCGGAGCTCGCCGTAGATTCCCGTAGATTTGTTTGAGAGCGGCGCGCTCGATGACGTCACGTTGCTTGTTTCCCCTTCGGCCCTTAGACCCGGGTAACGTTGCTGAGTCATGCTCACATTCTGATGAGATCAGGTTACTTCGGTCAGTTCCCCCCGCAGAGCAGAAGCACCGCTTGACACTTTTAATTCATATTAAAAGAGCACCTTTCACACGACAACATTTAGACCGTTTTTTTTTTTACCACACACGCCGAACAAGAACCGTAGATCCTTAAGTAACGGAGGTGTTTCCCCGTCCTCCAGGACGAGTACCTGAACGAGGAGGTGGACGCCCGGATGATCGAGTACGAGGACAACCGGCCCCTCCTGGACCTGTTCCTGCAGAAGCCCATGGGGATGCTGTCGCTGCTGGATGAGGAGAGTCGCTTCCCGCAGGCCACCGACCAGACGCTCGTAGGCGAGTGCTTTGCCGAGCAGACCTCTGTTTGTGGAGAATAATTGACCTCATACGCACTCGCCTTCAGAGAACGCGTTCTCACTGGCTTGTCGGGATGATTAAGGTTTGTTTTATTGGACGATTCAGAGAAATTCGAAGACAACCTGAAGACCAAAAGCTTCTGGCGACCGAAGCGGGTGGACCTGGGCTTCGGTATCCACCACTACGCCGGAAAGGTAGTTGACGTTTTATCTCCCAACAACCCGTGTGTGCGTCGGCTTCCCCTCGTGAGTGTCCCTCCTTCTCTACCCGCCTCCGAAAGGTGATCTACAGCGCCGCCGGCTTCTTGGCCAAGAACCGGGACGCGCTGCCGGCCGACATCGTGCTGCTGCTGAGGTCGTCGGAAAACGAGCTCACCCGCAAGCTGGTCACCCATCCGCTCACCAAGACGGGTAGGAAGAGCGTCCCGAAGGTGTCGTCGAACGAGCCGCCCCGACCCGCTGACCCTTCGCCCTGGTGTGGTTTTTGTTGACAGGTAACCTCGCCCACACTAAGGGGAAAGGCGCGAACACCATGCGGACCCCGACGCGCAGCCTCACCTTCGCCAAGGTACCGCCGCCGCCGCTAGCTTCTTCACCAGGAACTTACCCCCCCCCCGGACAGTTGTTCTCGTTCACCTTCTGACCTGATTTAAAACTCGGCCTTTCTCGGCTCTACTTTTTCATTTCAACGGTGATTCCAGCTTCTTCTGTTCTAACCTTTTCTTGTCTCTTGTGTCTCTTTCCTCCCCGTCTCTGTCCCTGCATGTCTCCCGTAAAAGATGGGAGTGCTTAGCTTCTACAATTCTTTCTCTTTCAGCGAGGTAATCAGCATATTTCCATGTAGTTTGCGTGTTGTGTAAGCAGTGAGTGGCAGTTAAATCCTGTGGACATCATGCATGCTCCTCTACGGTTTATGCACAAATAGGTCTTTTCTGCAGAGGGGTATTTGGGCCTTTTTATTTAGAATTCAACAAATACAATGAAAATGGAAGTAGATGAGTTAATGCTGGTCGTTTTTAACGGGATTTCTACTTTGTTCTCAACATATTTAAAACATTTCTCAAAATGCAAATAAAGACAGGAAAGAAACATACGCTGGCCCTGATACTCTTCCTGCATTTTCACTACATGTATGTGTGGGATTGTGCTCACGCATGTGTGCGACCTCTAGAATGCTAAATGCATGAACGCTTCCCCGTCTTCATTCGGTCCTCTGAAGCATTTTCTGTGTCACATTCATTGCTTCTCTGCGTACAGCAGCAGGCCTTACTTTGTGAATTAAAGGTGAATAGGGTAAAAACATAATATAATATATAGACAATATTAGTACTGTAAGTTTGTTGAATTGTTGTGTTAAGATATGCAAGCGAGACATTATCCAATGTGAATTTAGTAGAAATAGATAAACTAAAAACAAGGAATAGCTCAATAATTGACAGCGTTTTGCCTGAGTTTTCCCAGTTTGTGAGAAATTGAGGTTTTGCATCAACGGCTTCAGTCCTGTTGTTGCTGTCGGCGGAAATGAGACCTTCCTTGAGTTCGTTTGTTTAAACTCCGCTGCTCTGCCGAACGTTCTGCTCGGGGCGATTTGCTCACCTAGAAGAATTGACAGAAGCTTCATTAATGGACATGTTGGATGAGTCCATGAATCTATTTCCATTCATCTGCATGTGTTAGAGGAAAAAGCTCATCAAAGGCTTGGCGCTAAGAGGCTGGAAACAGCGTAAGGCGGATGGCGCGCTGTAAACTGCTCCCCCCTCGGGCTGAATGTGCTTGGAATTAGATGTGAAGCTTGTTAGAATGTTAACAGATTTGTGCAGGCTAATGCATTTGAATGTGTGATTTGTGTATTTACTCTCATGCAGCATTCTTTGTTGTAGTTTCTACAAACTCATAGTTGATTATAGCAATTTAGAAGCAAATAGAATTTCTTTTGATTTTGAACTTGACACACTGAAGATTACAGCTTGTATTCATGCAGATAGTACGCTTGATTTTTTTCTGTTCATGCATTTCTGCGTCTCTTTTGCAGCCTTCTCGGGACTCAAAGCCGGTCCCTCAAAAAAAAAGCTTGATTCCTCTCGATGACGCAGAGAAAACGGTGATTTGGAGAAGGATGAAAAGCTTAAAATATGACGTTTTAAACATGTGACCTAGATGTTGACGCTGTGCACTTTAGGTCAATGTCGTCTCCTTTAGACTCACGAAGGACCCGCTTGGCTTCCGTACCGAAATGTTCATCACGTTGTGCGTGCGGCTTCGCTGTGAAGCTGCAGAGCAGCAGATGTGGCACTGCTGTGACTTTTGAGCGTGTCTGGTGTCTGTTTGTCCAGCCGGGCGAACCGGGAGACGCGCCGTACCACCCGAGAGAAACCACCAACATGAGGACACAGACGGTGGCCTCCTACTTCAGAGTAGGTCCCTTTAATCCCTCGGGTCCTCCGGTTTAAAAGGTGGACAGCGCTTTGTTTTTATTGTTATCGCTTTTGACTTTCGCGTCTCATTTGTGTAAAGTTCCCTCTGTCATCCTTCCAGTACTCTCTGATGGATCTGCTGTCCAAGATGGTGGCGGGGCAGCCTCACTTTGTGCGCTGCATCAAACCCAACAACGACCGCCAAGCCAACAGGTTCGACCGGGAGAAGGTCCTGGTCCAGCTGCGATACACCGGCGTCCTGGAGACCGCCAAGATCAGGCGGCAGGGCTACTCGCACCGAATCGTGTTCGCCAACTTCATAAAGAGGTCAGCGGGCTCCTCGGGGGAAACACGGGGGGGGGAGGGGTCAGGGGTCATCGCCACTTTCTGACCCCGCTGACCGTTCGCAGGTACTACATGGTGGCGTTCCCCGCTCACGAGGAGCCGCCCGTCACCCAGGAAACGTGCGCCGCCATTCTGGAGAATGCCAAGCTGGAGAACTGGGCCATGGGGAAGACGAAGGCGAGTCAGTGGTGCTTGCTGGTTACATGTGACCCGCCGCGTGTTCACGCGGGTGCATTTAATGAGCTTTGCTAATAATCAGAATCCAACCCCGAAAATCTGACTGCACGAAGTTCGTTAACGCGTCACAACTTCACCAATTTGTTGCAGAACACGTGCGGCTGTTTGCGTGAGAAAAGATATTGAACGCTACGCTGCTCGTTATCTTCCCCAGTTGGTTACTCGCATTAAGAAAACCATCATCATTGTTGTTTAGATATGCAAATGCTTCAACTTATTAAATCTGTGTTGGTTTGCAGAAGAGAACATTCTGAACATTGGATTCCAGGTTCAAAACTTTTGTTCATGTTGACACAATAGATCCAAATACAGTGAATTTTGGATCTATTTACGCTAATAGACAAAGCAGTGCAAAAAACCCAATGCGTCCACGCTGTCAGGTGTTCCTCAAGTACCACCACGTGGAACATCTGAACCTGATGGTGCAGCAGGCCACGCAGCGCATCATCCTGCTGCAGGCCTTCGTCCGCGGCTGGATGGGAGCCAAACGGTACCGCCAGCTGTTAAAGGACCGAGAACGCAGCGCGCTGGTGCTGCAGTCAGGTCAGTGTTGTCCGCCGCCGTCCCAGCGTCTCTCGCTCGCCGACCCGCGCTCTGAATTCCGTCTCGCCCCCCCCTCCCCCTCCAGCATACAGAGGTCATAGAGTACGGAAGAAGGCGGCCGGCGACAAAAGCAAAGCGGAGTTTGAGGCCTTCGTCGTCCAGTTTCAGGCCGGTGAGTGAAGCCCAGGTGGGATCTAAAGGGGCCGTGCGTTACAGCGGTTCACGCTTGTCTTGTCGCCTCGTTCAGTCTGCAGGGGCTACGTGGCCAAAAAGAAATACAGGCAGTTGGTGGAGGAGAAGAACAAAGCTGCAACCAAGATTCAGGCTCGCTACAGAGGCCACAAGGAGAGGAAAAGCTTCAAAAGGAAACGGTGTGACGGAGAGGTCCTTTTATGATCAAATATCAATAAAGCATTGAAAGAAAAAGTGTTCCTTGACATTTCTTTGTCCGTAGGGACGCCAAAGAGAAAGAGCAAGCGGAGAAGGCCCTCAAAGAAAAAGAGGAACCGCAGAAGCTGAGCGACCAGGAGAATGAGACCAAGGCGGGCCGTGGTTCTGCAGAGCAACTTCAGGGGCTACAAAGAGAGGAAAAAGTTTAAAGAGAGAAAGAGGACGGCGGCCGGGGCCCAATCGGAGTCACCGCCGGATGCAGCGGTGCAACCAGAAGCCGGGCGAGAGTCCGCCGGCAGAGAGTCGGGGAATGACGACGAAGACGAGAGCACGTACGAAGCGGAGGAGAATGACGATAGCGATCACACGCAGGTGCCAGACACCGAAGAGGAAGAGGGGGTCGAAGGAGGAGATGCCGGCCAAGCGGAGCCGGCGGAGGACGGGAAGGAGGAGAGCGGACAAGAGGAGGCTGCAGAGGGAGACGCTGTGAATGAAGAAGAACAGACCAGGGCCGCCACGGTCCTCCAGAGCAACTTCAGGGGTCACAAGGAGAGGAAGAGGCTGCAGGACGAAGGCAAGATCCCCGCTCGGAAACAGGAAGCAAGGAGTCCGCCGGGCGAGGAGGACGGGCCCGGAGATCAAACTCCAGCAGCGGAAGTTGGCGACGAGGCGACAGGAAGGGGAGGAGGAGGAAGAACAGTAGATGTTTCCTCGAGCGACCAAGACGAGGCCAGAGCAGCCGTGGTGCTTCAGAGCAACTTCCGCGGCCACAAAGAGCGCAAGCGGCTCGAGGAGGAAGGAAAGATCCCCAAGAAGACGCAGAAGAAGAAGAACGAGGCGGCGGACCGTTCGGCGGAGAACCCGGGGGGAGCGGACGAGGAAAAGGCCGCCACTGTCCTCCAGAGTAACTTCAGAGGCCACCGGGACCGGAAGAAGCTGAGAGCCGACCGAGAAGCGCGGGAGAAGACGGCGGAGGAAGAGGAGGAAGCCAGAGAGGAGGCACCGGACGTCGCCGACGTGCCGATGGAGCGCAAGGAGGACGCAGGCGGCGAGAGGGAGCGGCTGGAGGAGGAGCAGGCCGCCGTGAAGATCCAGAGCAACTTCAGAGGCCACAAGGACCGAAAGAACCTCAAAGCCAACAAGCAAAAAGCGAGGACGGAAGCTGCACGCCTGGAGAGCTTCTCCAAGCAGGTCATATCCTCACACACGTTTATATATTTAGCTGCCCCTCCCCCACTGGCCCCCTCCCTCATATGCTATTTCCCCCCCCGGATCTCTTCAACAGATCACAAAGACCTCTGAGGACTTTGCGGCCCTGCAGACCAAGTTGAACGAGATCATCCAGGCCCATCATTCAAACCCCGAGAACAACGGCATGTTTGTGAGAGGGAAAGCGATCAATGGCTACGCGCCTCAGAATCACCAGTCAAGTAAGACGATGGCGACCGCCTGCGATGACACTGATTACGAAGCGATGGCTGTGAGCCACGACGGCGGCGAGGTTAATGTGCGTCCTTTCGTAGCTTTAGGTAATCGAGGAAAACCCGCAGAGGACATTTCGTCTCTCCTCCGGCTCCATCCGTGCTTAAGCAGACACGTAAGAAAAGATTATTCCCACGCCTTGGGTGTAAATACACAGAACTTAAGGGAAGGAATCGCCCGTATTTATTATTCCACAGTCAAAGCTGTGTGCGTTTTACCCGGCAAGACGTTTTCACGCGGCGCTTCTTCCGCACAGAAAAGAAAGAAAAACAAGTTTACGTTATCGCCTTTTGACTCTCGTCTCTCTCCACCCGGGATTAGATCAAGTGCGACGCATGAAGCGCTCCCCAGCGTGTCGTCAGCAGTTACATCAGCTTTGCGCAGGTGATAGGTGTAATTGCTTTCCAGACAGGGAAGAAATGGAAAGTTCGCCGCCCGAGCAAAGCGGAGCTGGCAGCTAAGAAGTCAAAATGTCAAGTGTCCTGAGGAGATAATGTCGTAATCATGTAATATATCAGCAATTGCCTTTTCTTCGCTGCAATTATGTGCATTCCTCCATTCATTTAGACTTGGATTTTTGAGCTTTAATACCAAATAAAGCACGCAGGCGGATTCTCAGCATTTAAATACTTGATCGTAGTTGATCGTGAACTAAACCGACGCAATGTCGGGTGTCTCAAGGAATCACGTCCGTATTGTTTAATGCCTGCATCCATCCAACGTTTCCCTAAACGTGGAAGTGGGAGTGGCGCACTGTGCAAACGCTGCTCCACATGACATACTGTTCACTTTACTCGGGCCCGTTTGCCCTTTGCAGGGTTTTCTTTAGCGCAGCACGTTGCCCGAGGTGAGGCAGAATAGATTATCTGCGTCATTTCCAACGGCGACTGCAGCTCCTTATTAAATTAGGCTTTTTGGCCGCACACAGTCGCTTCCTCCATCAACAGTTCTAAGCTGTGGGTTCAATCGACACAATAAACCTCATCACAATCGCTTGTGACGCGCACAATGAATGCGGCCGCATAGTTCTTTCGCCAGAAAGGTCGTCAAATGTCAAATCGCATTTTGTGGACAATTATGGCGGGAACTAATAAGAGGGTGTGTGGAGACGTTTGAGCGATTGAGAGTTGACCTTCTTTGTTTTTTTTGTTTTTTTTATTAGATGAAGTCGTTCGCTGACATTACAAACTTTACCTGAGAGCGTCCGCACATGATGGATGGCTCCGTGGTTTCTTCTGCTACGGACGCTGATTGCTAATAAGCAAAGGTCGCTGTGAGACGTTCGTAATTGCAATTACAACAATCGCATGCCCGCAGAGGAATATTGCACCAGTCGAGACCGATATGATGGATTGCAACATGAAACACACCCCTCTCTCTCTCTCTCTCTCTCTACGTGATCGGTGCGACGCGTGGAATCGCTCCAGCGCGGATCGTTACAGAGCCACAGGACTCTTTGCTCGTGTCAAAGGTCGTTTCACATGGAAAGTTCCGCCCGTCGGGCCTCAGGGTTGAGCTGCAGTCCGTTGCGCAGGGCAGTTCAATGAGAGCGGAGGGTCGACTCGATGGGTTTCTCTTGTTGTGGCGTCTCACGCTCAGACACTGTATCCAAAGCCTGTGAGCTGAAGTTCGTATCGGGGGAAACCGTTAACTGGAACCTCAGCTCCCCGTAGTTCATCCCTCAAACTCTCTATTCAAACACACACTTTACACCTCTCTGTTGTTGCGTAAACCTAAAGTGTTGCACGTGTGTGGCACAACCATCAGAAACGCCACCGTCTGATCATTCTCATCGACTGTCGCATTTCAGCCGACAAGAGACAGTCGAGGAGCCCCCGCAGGACGCAGGAGCCGAAGACCCTCAACACGCCGGAGGACGCCACCTACTACAACTTGATTCACGTGAGTCGGCGCACAACTCCTTCCGTGCGGCGTTGATTGGCAATTTACTTTTCTTTCCCGCGGTTCTCTTTGCGCCGTACGTTACGAGGCCAGAAATACCAGTCTGACACGTTTTTTAATGTTTGCCATTTAATGTTCTTGTTGCGTAATTGTATTTCCATGTTTGATGATTCCAGCGAGCTGTAGCTCCTCACAAAATAGCTCTCTTTGCAGCACTTAAGGTTCGTTTGTCACGTCGCCACTTCTGTGTAGTTGTAGTAATACACTGTATGGTGCCTCAATCAACAATTCAATCAATCAATCAATAACGGGAGACAATAGACATCACATCTGAACGTGATTGACCAGGTGATTCTTCAGGGTAATTGATTCATACTTTAGAAACACTTGACTGTAACAAAACGTATTAAACAGTGGTTCCCAATAGTACCTCACAAACCTCGCGTAAAAAAAGACGCATCAATCAGAACATGCAGGTTAATAAACGCAGTACCTGTCTGACAAATTCCACTCTGTAAACAAACGTCCAACCCCCGTTTGTCCAATGGCCCGCTGCGCTGTCTGGGAATCACTCACCGGGGTTTCCTCCTCCGGCGCGATGAGTCGGCACAGAATGACACGACGATCCGTCCGAAAGTCGCCGGCTGGCGGTGCGAAAATAGACAAACGAAACGAAGCGCCCGTCGGCCTCCGTTCAGACGGTTGGGAACCACTGTTCTAAAACCACTTTTGAGAGAGAGCTTGATTGACATGCAGTTAACTGTGCTCTGCCCCCCCCCTCCTCCAGCGCTCCGTCCAGGACGATAAACGCAAGCCCAGGAAAGAGGAGTAAGTGTGCCAGTTCTTACTTCGACAAACCCAGAGCTACGAACTATTTCATGTTGGGCGTCAGAAATATGAAGCGTGGATGTGAGGTGCGTCTCGCTTAAAACGGATAAGGAGAGAGAGACAGCGTGTGGACGGCTGCCGACGTGTAAACGTAAAAGGTTTACGAGGGCTGTAAAGGCTGAACAACAGCACAGCAGTGTGAAGACATCCAACACATAACATCCAGCATAATAATGTGTTGGCAGATAAATAAAGCCAGCGATGGACAGGAGCCGTTAACTTGCATCATTAAGCACGAGAAGGTCAGTGGGAAAGATGGCGTCGAGCGTCCAGGCTGACAGCAGAGAGAGGGGGGGGAGATGGAGAGTAGACAGAAGGGGATGGTAGTAAACGGGAGTAAAGGCGTATGAAAAGAGAAATAGGGAGTCCATCAGAAACGTTGATAGAGAACCACAGAACTTTTATTTATTTATTCACCGAATGAGCATCAAGCCGTGTTGAAGACGTGGAGCTTGAAGACTGAGATCATAAACTAGTCGCAATGTTTACAAAGGTAGTCAATGCTGAGATATTTCCCATAGACTTCCATACAATCCGACTTCTTTCTGTAGCCCCCTGGTGGTCACTAGAAAGACTGCAGGTCAGACAAAAGAAGTGTTGAATACACGACTCATGAAGTACATTTCATCCCAGAGCTTCTTGATGTAAGAATTGTGTTCAACGTGAGTAGCAAAGCTCACTTTTGAAAGAGTTCAATCCACAAAGGACGGGAGAGCTTGTGGATTTCAAAGAGGAGGAAGCAATGAAAAAGAGGAATATTAAACCTCACGTTTATGCCGATAACCCAGATGGCAAAGGAGAACTAAAAACCGCTTGCCAGCAGTTATCAGATCAAAGTTCAAATGTCACGAAAAGGAAATAACTCACTCAAATGATTCATGCAGTTACAATGGTAGATATACAAAAGGTCTTCACAAGTGAATAAAAGCGTATCGGATATTACATAAGCTGAGTGGAAACGTGCACCTTACTGATTTGCCGTAATAGATTTAGTCTCTCTAGTGACAGAGGACACACCTGGGATCCATCAAGCCCTGATTGCAGTCAGCTGCCAACGGGAGGAGTCTATTTAAAGCCTCTGAGCGGCTTCCTCTGGAGGAAGTGGGCAGAGGAGGAAAAGCTTCTGCCAATTCACCTCAATGAGTTGGTCTTTTTAAATAGACGCAAATAGACCACAGATACGCTCTAATTTTAAATTACAAAGTGCAGCTTTGCACCACCGTTATTTGAACCCAAACAACAGTCTTTTCGAAAAACAAAGCAGTTTTATTTCCGAAACCCAACTGAGTATTAATCAGAACTTCATTTTGAAAATACTGCTTTGCTGTGAGGAGTAGAAATCGATGTAGAAAAACGCACACACTTTGATGTAAAGATTTCTTAGAACTTGTGAGGACATGGTGACCCCGACAAGGTCGGCCATTATATTAAGAGACGCATTTGCACTTTGACCCTAACGTCCTCGCGTCCTTTCTGTGTGCTCCAGTCCGGGGAAGCTGCTGGATGTGGATGACCACTATTACCGGACGCTGTCCAGCAGCAGGTCCGAGCCCTGCCTCTTCCCGGAGGACGCGTCGCCGTACGGGGCCCCCGAGAGGAGGCCGTCTCTCGGGGGCTCCGTGGACGGTGGGATGTACAACGAGCCCCTCCCCCCGGCCACGGCCAGCAGACCGACCCGAGAGAGGGCCGTCACAGAGCCGCAGCCCCCCAGGACCGCCTGTAACGACAGGTACGTCACTAGGTCCTCCGGTTTGATGTAAGAAGGAGCCCAGTCATTGTTTTGGGCGATGAACAAACGTGTATCGGTGATGTCTCTGTCTTTACGCTTTACGGTTAGGCTCTCTTTACGCTTCAGTTAGTCTCTCTACGCTTCAGTTAGTCTCTCTACGCTTCAGTTAGTCTCTTTACGCTTCAGTTAGTCTCTTTACGCTTCAGTTAGTCTCTCTACGCTTCATGGTTAGTCTCTCTTTACACTTCACGGTTAGGCTTTCTTTACGTTTCACGGTTAGGCTTTCTTTACGTTTCACGGTTAGTGTCTCTCTTTACGCTCTGCAGTTAGTCTCTCTTTACGCTTCGGTTAGTCTCTCTCTACGCGTCACGGTTAGTCTCTCTCTTTACGCTTCAGTTAGTCTCTTTACGCTTCAGTTAGTCTCTTTACGCTTCAGTTAGTCTCTCTACGCTTCATGGTTAGTCTCTCTTTACACTTCACGGTTAGGCTTTCTTTACGTTTCACGGTTAGGCTTTCTTTACGTTTCACGGTTAGTGTCTCTCTTTACGCTCTGCAGTTAGTCTCTCTTTACGCTTCGGTTAGTCTCTCTCTACGCGTCACGGTTAGTCTCTCTCTTTACGCTTCAGTTAGTCTCTTTACGCTTCAGTTAGTCTCTCTACGCTTCATGGTTAGTCTCTCTACGCTTCATGGTTAGTCTCTCTTTACACTTCACGGTTAGGCTTTCTTTACATTTCACGGTTAGTGTCTCTCTTTACGCTCTGCAGTTAGTCTCTCTTTACGCTTCGGTTAGTCTCTCTCTACGCTTCAGTTAGTCTCTCTCTCTACGCTTCAGTTAGTCTCTCTCTCTACGCTTCAGTTAGCCTCTCTTTACGCTTCGGTTAGCCTCTCTTTACGCTTCGGTTAGTCTCTCTTTGCGCTTCGGTTAGTCTTACTTTACGCTCTGCAGTTAGTCTCTCTTTACGCTTCAGTTGGTCTCTCTTTACGCTTCACGGTTAGTCTCTCTCTTTACGCTCTGCAGTTAGTCTCTCTTTACGCTTCAGTTGGTCTCTCTCTTTACGCTCTGCAGTTAGTCTCTCTAACCGTTGGTCAAAGTGACAAATGCTAGAACATTTTAAATGTGTTTTTGCGGCCTCTGACCGGCCGACGCTCGTGATAAATGATCCCTGCAGATGATATGAAATCTCTCTACTGAATTGTTTCATCTTTCTTGTGTGTTTTTTCTTTTCTTGCTACTTCCTACTCCGTCTTTTGTGAATCAGGAAACATTTATTATGTGTTGACTCTTGTCTCCTGCGTTGTCTCCTGCGTTGACAGACACTCACTTCTCAGAATGCCCTCCACGGACAGTCGGACTGAGGACAACCCGTTTGACTTCAGACATCTGCTGAGGAAGACCTCCCAGAGACGAAGGCTCATCAAACAGTACTGACCTCACAGCTGGACGCTTTGACCGATTGGAACAAAATCCGAATCGAAGCTCCTCAAAACAACTGATAAGTTCTGTGTGTGAAAAGCAAGTCGTATTGATGTGCATCCAAAAGGATGAACGCAAATGTAAATAATTAAATCCTTTTCCCTTAAAACTGTAAATGGAGGTTTTATTTATGTGTAAAGACTAGACGTTCAGCAAACGTTTCCTTTGGTCAAATATGGAGTTTTCCACTTTAACACCAAATAGAATTGCATAACATGTAAATACAGAATCCATGCTGCTACACTTGAATACTTTTCAAGCCATTTTGTTGAATATATGTCTATGAAAAGCTGCTTCACTGCTGTCAAATTGTAAGAAATGTACATTCTGTCCTCTGCTATGATCTGTGCTTTGTTCATGTAAACGTAAAATATATTAAATTCTTTGATGTTATTCATGAATAAATCTTATTTTCAGCGGAGCTATTCGCACGCACCACCAGTTCCTTTGGGTTGTGAGAGTTTGCAGCACGTCCTCCTCAACTCGCGTCAGGGTTTTGTAGATCTTTGGTGGTTTAAAAAAAGAAGGTACAAGATATCAGAAGCAGCTCAAACCGGCTGTATTAATACTTAATGTAGTATTTTCCATATTGGCTCGAGTATTTCTTCGAGATTAAACCACTGACCTTTTTGTGTGACATTTGATTAAAGGAGAAATCCCTGCAGGGAGTCTTTGAATCCCCAACAACACGCTGACTGCACACACTGTCATAAAAACCCACCAACAAGCCCCAAAACAACCAGATAAAACCCACACAGCAGGAGGGGGGCAACTGGCCCTCCGGGGTAATTCATATTGTTGGAGGGGTTGATCATAAAAGGACTAATTTTGCTGTTTAAAAAAAATGAAATCAATACAAAAGTTCCAGTAAAAACACCGAAAAATTGAGAATAGAAGTATAAAAAATATCAGTTTATGGCCTTTTTGGAGAATTGCTGTTAAACAAGGGTTTGACCTTTGTGTCACTAAGTGGTTGATTGATTGTGTTCATAAATCATTACAAATATAAAGCAGTGACCACCTCATTGGGACAAAACAGTGAATACCAGTCACGTTTTCCTCGCTTCTTTGGTAATATTGGCGTGTGTTTACGCGAGAAATGATCAAACCTGTTCATCATGAAACAAGCAACCCGCAGTGCGTGGACAAGTCACGTGCAACACCTTCTACAGAGAGCACGGACCCGCGCGCAATTTAATGGTATCCGAAGAGGTCTTGCGGCTCCTTCCGCTGGAGCCGCCTCACCCCCCCCCCCCAAAAAATAGGTCTCCCAACTGCAGATGAACTAGTTGGCATTCACTGTCCGCATGGAGGGTGGGTTACGCGCGTGGGGCAGCGTGTCGGGGGCGGGTGGAGTCACGACGCACGACGCGGCGCAGTTCGTCACGACTTGAGGCTTCAGTCTTTAGTGACGCGACATTTGGCTCGGATAGAATTTGGACCCGCATGTACCGGCAGCTGCGGCGGACGGGCGCTTTATTTGACACTACTTTTTGGGGGGGTTGGGTGGGGGCCGCAGTTCGTTTAGATTATATTTTTATTACCAGTTTTCATCCCCTCCCACCCCCAAACCCCCCCCCCCCCCCCCCCCCCCCCCGACATTTCACCGCGGATTTTTTTTTTTTTGCGCCTGAAGTCTGTAATTTATAACACGAAGTGAGTGTTTGCGGATTTTCTCTCCCGAGAGGACGCTTATTTCGTCCCCCGCACCTGTGGACGCCTTTAAAAAAAAAAAAAGCGCACACCGAGGACGTCATCTTCTGTTTCTCTTTCTTTTCTTCTTGTCTTTTTTCTTGTCGTCCCCCGGTCGTTTAGGCGCTCTCCTGCACAGCAAAGCGCGTCTGGCGGATGCGCGTCTGTGTTTTGCGCCAGTCGGAGAGGTTCGGCGCGCTCCAGCTCCGCATCCGCTTTTGAACAGCTGCGGGTCGTCGCCCGTGGATGGGCTCGGTCGGCGTGCGTGTCTCCAGCAGCTACCTAACTACCGGCAACAATGGCATCACCGGGCTTCTGGTCCCTCGGCGCGGATAACGCGGGGGCCACCGCCGGGAGCCAGAGCCCCAGCACGCGTGAGTGGCCTTTTTGTGTGTCTCCAAACCAGCCCGCGACGGAGCGGAGGCGCTTCTTCTGCGCTTTGTCTCCACGCATCTGGCCTGCTGTCATTTCACAGCTGGTTTTGTTTGTTTGTTGTTTTCGTTTTCCATCTTAAAGTTGGACCCGCCCGTCGGTCCGTATTTGATCCGTGCCTTCTCTCTTCCAGCCAGGGCTTGGTGCCAAGCGGCGGCCCAGAAATTATCCGGAGGAATCGGATCGAAATTATGTGGTACGTCGGCTCGCGTGTTTGGTGAGGGGGGGAGTGGGTGTTTGTGTGGGTGAGAGAGAGGAGGGCACGCTTTCCCCCGGGCTAATCTGGCTAATACAAACATGTGAATTCTTTTACATTTGATTTATATATATTTTTTTGGTGGTGTCCAAAGCGCTCCTGAGCGTCGGGGAGGGGGAGAAAGCCGCCGAAGCGGCCGCCAAGCTGCCGCCGGAGAGCGAGGCGGCGGTTCCCTGCGGCTGCAACAAACCCTGCAACTGCAGCAAAGCGGCCGCGGGCTTCTGCGACCTCTACTCAACAGGTACGCGGGAGCGACGACGGGTCACCGCTTGGCCTCGTTCAGGATCCTCGGGATTTGTTCAGTGTTAAAAAAAAAAAAAAAAAATACTAAAATGTCAGTTCTTTTTTTTTTTTAATGAAGGCAAAACATCGTGCGATAAGTGAGTGACAACCTTGTAAATCGACGTTGTATCAATGGTTCTCATTTAAATATCATTTTAAATATTTCTTTTAAAAATGGGATCCGCTGCATTCTTTGTTCTTAACAATAATTGTGATTAAATGTATCACCGTCCATATATATATTTGATATCGGCAATATTCGGCAACATTGTTCTGCAGTTTTTCCGGAGAGGTCACCTTCAGCGCAATCTCTTGTTTTGAGGTGTTTAAACTCCAAAAACCCTTTAATTTATAGGCTTATAAAAATGTAACGAAATACGCTCCTCTTTTGTCTCGTTTGAATGTCTGCAGGATCATTTACCAGCAAAAAAAAAAAAAAAAGGGGCCACACTCAGGCGACCTAATGTTGCATGCAAACAGTCGCTTTACGAGTCTTCTCCCCACAGAGGAACAAATCCCCAAATGTCTCCCATGCTGCTGCTTTTAGACCTGCTGCCCGCCCTGGACGGCGACGCCAAAACGATGACCTTCCTGCAGGAAGTCGTGGATATTTTGATGGCCTACATCGTGGAGTCGTTCGACCGGGAAACGAAAGTTATTGATTTCCATTACCCGAACGAGTTGCTCCAGATGAACAACTGGGAGCTGCAGGGCGAGCCGGCCTCGCTGGATGACATCTTGATCAGCTGCCGCGCCACCCTCAAATACGCCATCAAGACAGGTGGGGTTGCGACACGTGCGCGATAAATCTATATATATATATATTTTTTTCCAAACATTCTGAGCTGTTTTATTTCTGCACGTTGGGAAACGCTTTAAAGCTGCATTTATTTTATTGTTTTGCATTGATGTAGGCCTAATGTCGGGCCTGCGACATTTAATTTCTTATAAACATGAATATCAGAAAATATATAAAGATAAAAGAACCATACAGATGCAACGCAAGTTTCGAATTAAACCACAGAGAAGCTTTAATACGTGACAGAAAATGAAATCTACCAGAAAATCTGAAAAATCGTCGTTATTGAAAGATAGCCTCGAACAAATGCACAGATTAGATCTTGTGTTAAATAAATAAATAAATGGTGCCTATAAAAAAAAAATCAGTCTGGAAGTTGTCCTCCTCCTCCTCCTCCTCCTCCTCCTCCTCGTGGCCACCAGACCGATAAATGCAGTGACGCAGTAAATGTGCTTCACCTAGTGGGAGATAATAGGCTAATAACCGCTCTTCATGGGCCAAGTCCATTATTCTCTCCTCGCTGACACACTGGAGAACATCTACAGCACAAGACACATTTCATCCCCCAACAGACTGACACAAATACACATTTATTTATTATTCCTTTGGCAAAAAAAACAGCTTTGATCCGGCTTTAAATGGTTCAAAAAAATCATTATCAGTTTACAACTGAAATATGAACATACGAATATTTGTAATGCACAGTATTTGTCAGCAATCCCTTTTATACTATTAACTGTCTTTTATATTGTCGTTTCTGCACATATTATAATAACTGTTTATTACAGTAAATATTGATGAACTGCTAATAAAACCTGGATTGGAGGTGTGATGCAAAAGTGGTGCATTGTTTGCTTATAATGTGAATTCAAGAGTCAAACCTCATCAAGAATGAGACTTTTACATCCTCTTATTTGGGATGTTTTAATACATTGAATCCACTCAGCTTTAAAGCTCTTGTGTGCGGGATCTGATCTGTTTTATGGATCCGGGCTGGGAAACCCTCCATTTAGACCCCCCCACTCAACTCCCACGCTCCCGATGCAGCGCGCAACCTGCTCATTATCGCTGCCGACGATCCAACGCGCCGCCGCAGCTGCGGCTGTGAGCCGCAATTAAAGCGTTTAGAAGATGACAGCTTGTGTTTCTTTTGCACAAACTCGGCGTAAACACACGGGAAGCGCAATTCAACCCCCCCGTCTCTCTGTATCTCTGTACTCCTGCAGCCCACCCCAGGTACTTCAACCAGCTCTCCACGGGACTAGACATGGTCGGACTGGCGGCCGATTGGCTGACGTCCACCGCCAACACCAACATGTGAGTCACGTGATCTCGGATGGCGATAACGACGATGGCATTGAATTCCATTTCCGGTCCAGCCGCCTGCGCGGCCCGATAGCGGCGCCTGCTTTCTTTCTTTCTTCTTTTTTTTTTCACTCAATCATTGCAAATCAAGAGGGTGAAATGAGAGGCGGATCCTCCCCCCTGCACCCCCCCCCCCCCCTGCCCCTGCCTTTTATTCCTCCCCCTCACCTCGGATCTCCATGGGGATTCAAGGGGAGAAAATTAGCCCTGAAATTGAATTCAGACTAATCTGCAGCAAATTTTGGTGTGTGTGTGTGTGTTTTCGTGGTGATAAACTCTGCAAGTCCGCCTCTGTAAGCTTGTGCCAACCCCCCCTCCAAAAAAAAGGCCTGCCTCAGGCACAAAGGGAGGGGGGTGAGGGGAGGGTGTAAAAATGACTGCAGCTAATTCCCCGTGTATTAGTAGAAATACATTTTAGGAGGCACATGTGGGAAATGTCCTCTTTAGTGCAGGAGGGATGATGAAGATGTGAGATCTCTGCACAACAAAGAGCCTCGAACCGAGATACCGCCTCAAAAAACGTCCCCAACCATCAAAACGCAAAAAAAGTCTGTTCACTGGCTTTTTTTTTCCGAGGGTGAATCACGACCCATTTTGTGTAACCGTCCTGCACCATGTGATGCCCCCCCCCTCCCCTCCGTGTAACGCAGGTTCACCTATGAGGTGGCGCCGGTGTTCGTGCTGCTGGAGTACGTCACCTTGAAGAAGATGAGGGAGATCGTGGGCTGGCCGGAGGGCCGAGGAGATGGCATTTTTTCTCCTGGTACGTACCCCTATGCCCCCCCCCCCCTCAAACCCTCCCCACTTCCGATTCACGGCAGAATGGAACTGTGTGTGTTTGTTCTGTCATGTGTCAATTTGCATTTAGATGATGTAAATGGGAAACGTTTCGAAGCTAATTAGCATACCATTTTATGCAGAACATTTTCCAACTTAAGCCCCCACCTCGTCCTCGTCGCCCCCCCCCCCCCCCCCCCCGTCTCAAATTTATCTCGTGCATTTCGGTTTGACGCGTGATGACGAGCGGTCACCGGGGAGAGTGCGCGTGCGCCGTTGCACCCGGCTGTGAGTCACTGAGCCCCCCCGTCTGTCCTCCAGGTGGCGCTATCTCCAACATGTACGCCATGCTGCTGGCCCGCTTCAAGATGTTCCCCGAGGTGAAGGAGAAAGGAATGTCATCCGTCCCCCGGCTGGTGGCCTTCACATCCGAACATGTAGGCATTTGTGCTTTCCGACCAAAGTGTCCGTGTGCGTGCGTCGGTGGATCAAACATCGAGCACCGGCCGCTGTTTGAGCAGTCGGCCGTTAAAGGTCAAACATCTGCCTGGCCGGTATCGCTCTGTAACGTTGTCCGGCGCAGCAGGTCTGCCACGTAATGTCACGTCCTTCATCTCTAAAGACGCTTCAACGCAATCTCTCCTTCCCGCTTCCTCCGTCGTCTTTCAGAGCCATTTCTCCATCAAAAAAGGGGCGGCGGCTCTCGGCATCGGGACGGAGAGCGTGATCTGCATCAAGGTGGATCAGAGGTAAACGTCTCGCAGCATCACTTCCAACCCCTGTGGCCTGTTTAAAAAACGAGGGTCTTTTCTGGGTCAAGGGGTCACGTCTCTTTGAGTAGATCCCCTCTAGACTAGATCCAATTAGATAAAACTACTACATTACTTTCACTTGCGATACATTATTTTCCCGTCGCATCGTTTCTGAATTGAGAAGCTTGTTTTTGTTTCTGCAGCGGTAAAATGATCCCCGCCGACCTTGAGAGGAGAATACTGGAGGCGAAACAGAAGGTAGCGTGACACACGCACACGCGTGCTCCTCATTACGACTATGCCGTCATGTCCGATCACTTCCTGTCTGCCCCCCCCCCCCCCCCCCCCACCCGGAGGGGTTTTTTCTCTTCTTTGGGAGCCGCACGGGTGGGAACACCGGGGAGGGCGCCCTCGAACCTCTCTTCGCCATAACCGAAGTCTGCAAAAAATACAGCGTGTGGATGCCCGTGGACGTGAGTGAGACTCTGTTGTGACCCCCGTCCCCCCGTCCGTCCGTCCCCCCCCGTCTAACCGCTGCCTGTTGACCCAGATAGGAGCCGGCCATTTCCCATCTAGCACTGGGGATTAGAAAAAGTGTCACGGAGGCCGTAAATCACCTCCTCCCCTTGACTTCAGCATCACAGGCTCCTCTATCTGTTAATGAAGGTGATTTAGTCCTGACAGGGGACACCTCTATTAGGGGACACAAATGGCCTTATCTGCCGTCCCGCAGCCGGCTGAGATGCTCCGGGGCCGCTGCCGCTGTCGGTGTACGCGTGTACGCGTGGAAGCGCAATTAAGATTGCGAAGCCCTGAAAAAAATCCAGACATGCTCGTAAAAACATTTACTCTTCTGACATTTAGGAGCGTTTTGTAAAGCTTACGAGAAGCGAGTGTCCCTTAAAGAGACAGCGTCACGCGATAACGATTGTCGCTGTGTGCTGACAGGGCGCGTGGGGAGGAAAGTCTCCTCATGTCCCGGAGACACAAGTGGAAGCTGGATGGAGTTGACAGGCAAGTTCAATTATTTGTCCAGGTTTTTCTGTGGAGGGGGGTAGGGAGGTGGGGGGGGCATTAAGAAGCTAAAGAGCCTTTTTAGTAACGTGGTGGTTGCTCCACGTTAACCTGCAGGGCCAATTCAGTGACGTGGAACCCGCACAAGATGATGTCCGTCCCTCTGCAGTGTTCGGCCCTGCTGGTCAGAGAGGAGGTAGGCCTCCTCGTCTCACACACACGCACACACGCACACACACACGCACAGACGCACACACACGCACACACACACGGTGCTTTTCATGTTGCCAACGTTCCGGATGTGCTTTTTTTTTTTTCTCTTCTTTTTAGGGTCTGATGCAGAACTGCAACCAGATGCACGCCTGCTACCTGTTCCAGCAGGACAAACACTACGACCTCTCCTACGACACCGGGGACAAGGCGCTGCAGTGCGGGCGCCACGTGGACATCTTCAAGCTGTGGCTCATGTGGAGGGCGAAGGTAGTTGGCAAAACGTGACTTTGATGGAGTCAAACCCTGAACGAAATCCTCATGTCCTCTTTTTAAGGCGTAAATCATTGTAATCATTTAGATTTTCTTCACTTCATTTTGGACATTCTCGTCTAATTTTTCAAGATTGATTTGTCTCTTCTTATTTACACCGTCGAGTTTCCTCTTCACAAGCTTGATTCGACCCGCCAGATGTTCTCTAATGAATTCTGCTTCTTCTGAGGGTTTTTGGGGAGGTAAATGTGGAAACAACGTTTAACTGTTGTGTTTCCTTCGACAGGGCACCATCGGGTTCGAGGCTCAAATAGACAAGTGCCTGGAGCTGTCCGAGTACCTCTACAACAAGATCAAAGACAGAGAAGGATACGAGATGGTCTTCGACGGGAAAGTACGTCCACATTCAACCTCCGCCCCTGACGACGGTCAATATACATCCGCATAGTCTGAGGAGAGCGGCCTGCATTGTTGTTTTACCTCCGTGTGCTTCACGGACGTTATCGGGGACTCGGTGGACACGCGGCGGTCTCCTGCTTTGTGTTGGGTGAATGCCATTTTCCACCTCTAGCTGCCAGTGTAATGCGTCGCTATTATGTTGAATGAATAGCACAGCGGCCTGTAATTGCTCATATGCATATGAATGGCAGCGACTGAAATGTCCCCCGCAACAGCGCGGCCCTGCGAAAGGGGGTAATTAAGCTAAAAACTTCTTTTGCAGGACGAGTGCGTGGACGAGCTCTTTAGTGGGTTTTTTTTTTTTTTAATTGTGGGCTAATTGTTTCACCCGCTGAGCCACAAAAGGCTCCACGGCGTCGTAACCCAAAGGGGCGCGCGGGGGAAAAGCCAAAGTCTTCCCGGGTGTTCACTCGTCTGCAGCGCCCACCGAGCAAATCACGTCGTCAATCTGACGCCGGATAAAACTCCATGAGCGAGGTTGGCCTAATGAAGGAGCCGCTCCCGCCAAATAAGAGCGCTGGCTTTCAGACGTATAGCGAGCGCGAATCTGTCCAAGGCGGCGAACACTTTTTTATTGCCACTCTGTGATGTGCGCTACATTAGCATTTAGCTGACATGGTTTTCTCAAAATCTGGAAATATTTGCTCTCCCTTTCAGCTGTAGCAAAATAATTTAGCTTTAGCTGCTGAATGTGCGACAGCGATGAAGTCTGTGCTTTTGAGTGTTTGCTAAAACACTGAATATAAAGCAGCTTTATAATAGCTAATATTCCTTTTATGTGCTTGTAATAATTTGTATGGGATCCTCAAATGAATCTGATGTCCGGGTGAGTTTGATGCGTCCACCGGGAGGCGCCAAACACACACACACACACACACACACACAGAGGAAAGAAATCCCTCGGACCTCCGTGTGCACGTTGTTTTGCTCTGCGTGGCGGTTAATTCCTGTCACCTCTTGTGTGTCTCCACAGCCGCAGCACACCAACGTCTGCTTCTGGTACCTCCCCCCCGGCATCCGCTACATGCAGGACAAAGAGGAGAGAAAGAAGCACTTGAGCAAGGTGGGAGGGGAGATAAGGACATCTACCCCAAAAAAAACACCCTTTTGTTTTCGCGCCACAAGCCTCTCGCTTCCATCCGGCTTGACCATCACACCCCAGTTGGGGACAACATGGCTGCCACTAATCCCCGGGATTAACGGAACACGTTGCCGTGCATTAGGTGTAGTTAGTGCAGCGTGACAGTGACCCTCACACAGGGGAGGGGTACCCCGGGCCCCCGTCTGGGGCCATTAGGTAAGAAGGGGGGTCTGCTAATTGACAATTAGTTCCAACAGATGGGGGAGGCGCCGGCCCGTACAAGGAGCCCCGTTGGCCCTGTAGGACCGTCCACCTTCCTTTAGTCTCCTGAAGTTTGGCCTCACCGAAGTGTTTCCTGGAGCCGCCGGCTCTCCAGTTTGAGGGGTGACGTAATGGCGAGGAAGTCGTCCAAACCCGGCGAGCTTGCTTTCCACTTGCGCTTAATTACCACTTCTGACGGATGACTGGAAGATTGTCAAAAGGAAAAAAAAAGAAAAAGACTTGATTTTTGACATTGATCTGCAGCTGCTGATTGATTTGGTGCAACGACTACAAAGGGACACCTGCAAGAGATTAAGAGGGATTACGTGACGAGAGCCGCAGGACGGAACTGGCCGTTTATACTGAAACCTCCTGGCGGGAGGAAGTACTTAGATTCTTAACTTTAGCCCAAATAACAAGACCTCGGTGTAAAAAATGAAGCACCATAGATTTTTTAAATTGTTACTGCTGCTTCGGCTCATGTGTGCGTGAGCTACTTAATTAGCTACAGTAGCTAATTAAACAAGGAGCTCTTGTGGTTTGCGGTGAACTCGAGTCTTCTGAGAACACCGTTGGTTTGCCTCTTTTTATTCACACCGTACGAACCGACTCTTTCAGGTGGCGCCGGTGATAAAGGCCAGGATGATGGAGTACGGCACCACCATGGTCAGCTACCAACCGCAGGGGGACAAGGTCAACTTTTTCCGCATGGTGATCTCGAATCCCGCGGCGACCTTCGAGGACATCGACTTTCTTATCGAGGAGATCGAGCGGCTGGGCCAGGATCTATAAGACTCGTCTCGGCGAACCCTCCCCTGCTCTTCCCCTTGGCGGGTGAATTGTTTGTGGTGAATGTACTGGTAAACTATTTATTTTCTCTCTTTCCTCCAAAAGTCACATATTTAAGAGTATATTTGAGGGGGGAAAAAAAAGATCTACGTAATATAATGTATTGTAGCTTTGCCGTGGACTGACTTGGTCCAAAGCTCTGTCCAAGTGCTTCTGTCTGCCTTTCCTATCGCGTAGTAGATCCCAGTAGGTGACGTGACTCGTACTTTTTTTGTGATATGAAACGCTTGTGCAATAAGTCAACGAGGAGGTTTTTTTATTTCTCATTTGCAGAGTGTGTTGTTAAGTGCCAAACGTCGTCGTGTTCTATTGTGACTTTTACACTTTAAACTTCTGGTTTGAGACTAAACAAAAAGAAAGCGCCTCCGCTGACCTCCGCTCAATCGACTGCCTCCACATCTGCACACGGTACTTCGGCGATGCTGGACGCCGTTCTCCTGACCGGGCGATGTGAAGCAGCATGTACAAAAAGAAGGCCAAGTCGATTCAGAGCATTTGTGAAGGCGTGTCGCTCATCGCAGCTACTTTCACACTGCAGCAACACTTTACACACGCGCTTCTCTCTGTAATGAAGGTAGCAAAGGCTCATTGGTCCGAATGGTTGCTTCATGTTTCGCTGTGCTGAGTGGGCTTTACGTGATGTGATGGTCATCCAAAAAACGAGGATAATCAACGTTGACGAGGTGACGTGAAGTTGTAATCCTTAATGTTGTCCTTAATTTGAAATAGTTCTGCTCCGTAAATGGCGCAGCCACTCTAAATATTTTACCATTGCTTTGCAGCAGTTTGAACGCTTCAAATTCTGACAACATTAAGTATCGTGTCTGAGTCTTTCAGCAAATTACTGCTCATTATCCCACGGATGACGTAAGCTTTCTATCTATTGCACTAAACCAGGAGGAGGAACCTCCCTCGGCATTGCAACGGAGGTTTCTTCTTTATTCATTCACAAGCAATATTCAAGTATGGGTCCAATCTGTATAACCTGCAAGAAAAAAAAAAATCCAATTCAAGCGTTCAATAGTTAACGATAATCAAGTTTGCGACGAGCTCAACTAAAAACATGCTGACTGTAGGCAGGTTAGTTGATGCAAAGGGAACCCTGGTTTAAAAAAGCAGAGGTTCACAAGCAGTTTCATTAGAACGAGTTAGAAAAGCACAAACACTCAGTGCACAATCACTTTTGATCATAGATTGTAAATAGTATTTCAAGATGTCCTAAGTACATATCTTTGTGTATACATAAGTGTATATAAGACGTATAACCAGAGACTATTTGTGGGTTAAAGTAATTCATATTTTCTCTATCTCAAGAAATAGATTACCTGTATTTTCATCCTGTTTGTCCTGAAGGTTTTTTTCCTGTGTGTGTGTGTGTGTGTGCGTGCATGCATGCGCGCGTGTGTGTGTGTGTGTGTGTGTGTGTGTGTCAGTTACTCGACTTGGTTCATGACTCTTCTAGCTGTTTCAAAGAAAAGGTGTTTCAGGGACCGGCTTTAAAGAAACCGACACATTTCACCTCCCAACACTTGCGAGTCTTTTGCTGGGAGACTCTGGTGTTTGGATCTTAGATGAATATGCAAAAGCCGTTTTTGACTCTGAAGCCCCGTGTTTTTTCGTGCACAAGTGAATACTTGCTGCCATGTGCCAATGTGTACCTTTAGTGTGTTTGTAACTGTGTTGCCTTAGTATAAATTTGCCAGTATTGTCTAGTCCCCCCCCCTCCCCCTCCCCTCAAAGGGGCGGTTGTGCACTTTAGCGTATACACATGACCTAATAACGTCTGATGTCCGATCGTTGTTCATAAGTTGATGTTTAAAAAAAACAACTAAAATACTCAAATGTAACTTGGTCTGAATGTGACACGAGTCAAGGGTCCTTTTTTTATTTTACCGTTTTTTGTAGACGTGCCAAAGGTTCTGCAGAAATCAGCCGTCATTTTAGATGAATTAATCCCGATCAGCAGATAAACGAATGGGCCTCAACGCGGTGACGCGGGCGACGCCGGCTTCGTCGACGCGGGAGCGTCAGCGCGGCGCCCTACCCCCCCCCCCCGACGTGTTCTTCTCTCGCTGCTGCTGCTAGACTCGCCTCCTCTGCACGTGCATGCGATGCCTTGCCTGTCCAGCTTGTTCGATATCTCCTATCTATTTCTATACATGTAAACACATATATATATATATATATACACAGTCTGTGTAGCTCCTGTAATTAGCTTTAGCGTCCCACGTGTAGCTTTAGCCTGTAGATTAGTGCGCTGTCGCTATCGCCTTTACGCGCGATTCTCTGTTTTCTCGGGCTTCCTGTCAAAGTTTCTCCGTGCCGCAAGCATGCTGACCTCGCCTAGCATTGTGACCCTCTCCGCGCTCGATCTGACTCTCTCTCTCTCTCCTCCGTCTGTATCCTTCTGCTTGAAGACTGTCGCCGCTCTGAACGTAAAGTATTATATACCCGTGTATCTATCTATCTATCTATCTATGTGTGTGAAGTCCCTCAGCATGTCTCTCTGAAAGCTCTTCTCTGCGCCTGTAGCACCTTTTTCTCTTTCTCTTCCCGCTTCGCCCTCCTCTAGCAGTGACCTCGTGACCTCTCGCCGTCCCCCCTGACACTCCTCGGGCCGCTGCGCTGTCGCTCTGTTTCTTTTTGGCGTGTCTGAGGCGGCGCGTCGCCGTCCATGTTTCGTTTTTTCGCCGAGAGGCCCTTGACTCGGGATCGATAAGATGTAGAATTGATTGTCCAGAAACGCGTCCAACGCAAGTGTTTTTTAAGCCTCTTAACGGAAAAATAATGAATATAAACCCTGGTTTCTTGCTTGCGGGAATAAATTGTTTGTCGAACAGTTAAAATCCCCGCCGCAGGTGACGTATGATTTGACGTCGTATGTTGTGCAAACTGCTGCGCTAGCTTCTCTCCAACACTCACCTGTCCTGAACTGTACGTTACTATTGGGAAAAAAGAAATAAATATTGTCGAAAACAAAGATGATTGGAATCTTCTTCTTTTTTTTTTTTTTTGTAACATTCTCTGTTGGGTAAAAACAACAATGACTTGCAGGGAGGGCCGATCCAGGAAGGAAAATGCATGTTGGTGTTGGTCACATGAGGTGTAACAGTGAAAAAGATGCGTCGGTCTCTAGATGGCACTGCAGCGCCGCCAGCGAGAAGATTCTGACCTTCGCTCAAAACATGCACAGCAAATGTGGACGCAACTTTTGGCAAATCCTAATGATTTTCTGTTTGTTGTCTCAACAAGCTGTTATTTTTACATTTGGCTCCAACTCCTCCCTGATTACAACATCCATGTATGTCCAAGTGAAAAAAAAAAGAAAGAAGCATCCCGAGAGAATGGGAAAGGTTCCCAGATGTTTCACCTCATCACACTCGGCCGCAGATGAAGAGGATACGAGTTGCACGTGGGAATGATCGGCGCACAGGGATCCACCGTGCGGGTTTTACTTAAGCGATAGCGGGTTAAAAGTGACACACGGCGTTTGGGACGAAACATCTGGGCCGCACACTTATCAGCTGCACGAAGCCGCCCAGAGGAAGCGGCTGGTTAAACATTACAAATATGACATTTAATCACTCGGTTAACTCTTTCCACAGCGGTGGTGTTTTTTTTGGTTTTGCACTTTGCAAAGTTTCATTTGTTGCACAAAGCGGTGAGAAAGTCCTTGAACAGCAAAGCGGGACGTGAGAAGTGTCCCTCCGGCGGGACCAAGAGCTCCGTCTGTGTTTACGTCCCCTTGTACAGAATCTTCATGGCCAGAATGTTTTAGAAATATATATCTGAGGTGGTGAGTTTTATGATTCGCTCTTTGTCACAGACACAAAGTGACTCGTCGGCTCCTCCTCCGTCATTTTGAGGAACGTCGGCTCTTGATGCCCCGTTTTGGACTCCTATGTCGTCGTCGGACGAGTAATGACCACGTGAGCACCTGGGCCTCGTGCGGCCCGCTCTGATCCCGCGTGTGATCCGGGCAGAACACACGGCGCGCACACGGCCCAAATGTCGCAAACACGTCATAAAGTTTAACCCGCGGGAAGTTTACTCAACTCGATTTATGAGCAAAGCAGCGGACGGTGAGCTTAGCGAAGCACTCTGACAGAGACACCGGAAGGACTCTCGGGCTTCTACCCACGACCCGAGCCTTTACACACACACACGCGTGTTTGTGTGTGTGTGTGTGTGTGAGGCGCTAAGCCGAGCCAGATGTGGGTGTGCGTCCGAGGCGGCGGGCTTCGTCGGCCCAGCCGTCCGTCAGGGGCCGCATTCCTGGTCGACGGCAGAATGACACGTTGTTTTTCTCAACTGTCCGGACTAAAAGGTTGCAAACGTATTTTTATTTGCTCTCACTGCTCTCGTGGCATCTTGTCCAGATGTGGCGTGGATTTGGTTTTTTTTTTTTTTTTTTTTGCGCTTGCCGCGAGAGACGACTCACAACAATGGCGGCTCCTGAGTTCTGCGATATCACAAGTCTGTGAAGTATTTTCTCGGCAGGAAAGAAGATTTAACTCCGTTTGGCGGGCCGACAGTTCATCAAATCCTCTCCTCTCCCTCTTTGAAAACAGTTTCCAAACCACCGGCCTCTCAGATGGTTCTGAGTAAACAAACCATCGGGTCACGGCCTTCCAGTGTGACGTGATACACGACCATCCACCCTCCTCCCCACACACAAAGGCCACAGTTCCTCCTGCAACAACGCCGGCCCGGGACGTAACTCACCGTCACCGGGGTCGAGTTGTAAATGTCCTCGTGTGCTCAGGCCTTCAAACACCAGAGAGGAGAGCGTACGAAACGATCCTACGTCCACGTTGTCAAAGTCAGCGGTGCTCGTCAGCTTGACCGACCTTCATGGTGCAACTTAAGCAAACACACACGCACACCTCCACTCGACGTATTGTGGTGCACGATCAGTCATTTGTGTGGATGCGTTGAGTGAGATAGTTTCACGTGTAAGCGCCTGCCGGGGGAAAGCAAACCTGCGTCTCTGCACCGTTTAAATACTCACCGCTCGCTCACATTCAGCCCGCCAATTATTCATCATCAGCTTCAAATGGCCTCTTGGTGGAGGACGGGCCTCCCTGCATATACCTGGCATATTGCACACACACACACACACACACACTGGTATTTATTTCCATATTCTCCACATGGCCGTGGAGTTTCGGATCGCCCTTGAGGCAGCGATGATTACGGTCAGCAAAAGAACAAGAAAAAGTCAATTCTGCATTCCTGGCGATCAGGGAAACGCTAGCAGACGCTGGCGGGAACCACGCAGAGGCCTCGCCGAGTCTGGAAAAGAGAGAAGCAGCCCGTCCGGCACGATTACTGTCAGCGTCGGTGTACGTTTTCAGCTCCCCGCGGGGAGAGAGAGAGAGAGAGAGAAAGTGTTCCTCCTGCTGGAGAAACCGCTCATCTGCGTGGAACATCTGAGTGATTCAAAGAGCCCCGCGGTCATCTTCGTCTTCGTCTTCGGTCTCCCCACCAAGCGTTTCACAGGCCGCTCAACGCGAATCCCACTGTTGTGTGTTTGTGGCTACCCGACCCGCCAGCCCGTCCCCCCCCCCCTCTCATGCTCCAGCAAGCGCTCTGATGAGGAGAACCACACCGGCGCAGATGGGGGACGGCAGGAGGGCGGAGACGGAGACGGACGAGCGGGAGGATGACGGAGAAGCAAGCGGAGGATCCCCGAGATACGAAGCGAGCTGCTGAAGCTTGTAGCCGAAGAAGAATAGAGCTGTCCGACCCCCCGAGTAAGAAGCCACCTGTAGGTTGGAAAACGGTTACCGTGGCAACCAGATGGTTCAGCACATCCGAATAGATTCATACTCATTACTTGTTTCGTCACACTCAAGGATTTTCAACAACAAGCGTAGTGAGTTTGTACATCAAAGAATGTTTTTTTTTTTTTTTTTTTTACTTTGACGTCTTCATTCAATTCAAACGGCAAAATGAACAATTTGGTATTTGGCCCTGAACTTTTTTGCACAATGTGAGTTTTTTCCCAATGGATCTAATTTCAGAATTTGGATCATTTTAAACAATTCATTCTTAAAAGAACCCAATAAGCTGCTCTAAAAAATCAACGACATCATTACCGACTTCCCTCACACCCCATAAATCCGCTGTCGAGTGGCGGTGAAACAAACTTGCGGCGGGTTGCAGCATCACAGGCAACCACATGGTCTCATGGCTTTTACAGTAACATCCGCTTGTGATTAAAGCCAGCCCGTCTCCGGCTTTGTCCTTTTTAAGTCAACATCGGAGCAGACCGGGGCCACGTTTGGGTGACATCCACATGCCGCCGTGAATGCACGATGCATTGAGTTGTAACGTTTTGAGTAAAATACTTCATAAACATTAAAAAAAAAAGAGTCGTATCAGACGGTCGAGACTGCGAGGTTGTGGTAACAGATCTGGACTCATTAGAGAGTCTGAAAGAACTCCAAACACACAAAGTAAACTCACAACAGATGCTGGATGATTTCTCTCTGTTTGGTCGGACGTAAATGGCGTGCGGCCCATCAAGCAGATTGGCACCTTTCATCGCCGCATTTATGGGTTGGATTCTATTTGAAGTTCTGGTCCAAACTTTGATTGTCTGACGGAATATCGAAGCAGCGTAGTAAACATATTTTTTTAATACAAACAAAGGATGGCATGTACAACAGAAGACGCATCTAAACGGCCCCCCGGCCCCCCCTGGAAGAAGCTCTCTTGGTCATAACAAGCCAACATCGAACATTACAACTAGTCATTTGTTCCCCTCAGCAGATAACGATTAAAGGAGCTTTAAAGACAGAGTCTCCGATGTGGACACACACCTCAGCTTTCTGTCTCTCTCTCTGACGTCTCTGCAAGTCTTCACATGCAGCGCGTCTCATTCGATCTGCACATCTGGAGCGCTGCTCGCCGAAACACCTGTTTTCAATTGGGGCAGCCGACAGAAAACATTTGATTGTTTTTCACATCCAGGCCCCCCCCCCCCCTCCATTTTTCCTGCGTCGCCCTCTCGTCGACTCGGCGAGTAGAAAAGCGCTCCTGCAGGTAATGGAACAACGATTCAACCTCGATTAAGAGCAATCGAGTGGAAACGCAGCGCGTGACGTTCTGTGATTGTTTCAGATTTTCTGCCACCTACAGCTGTTTAATAAGGTTCTGGAGAGCTTCAGTATGTTTGAGATTAAACGGAGATGAGTAATGTCTGACTGTTGAACCTTTGCCCTTTAGCTTGATGGAAAAACAATAGAATTTAAGCTATTAGACAAATGTCAAGCAATTAAGGTTGAATGATGTGGCTGGACAGGAATGCTTCACATTATGTGAAACAAAATGCAACTAGCACAATAAAATATCAACGAGGTGGATCTACAGTCTGGCTAAACATACATTTTATTTGGTGTTAAACAGGATACATTGAGATGTGCAGGCAACTCAACCACGGAAAACAACAAAAAAATCACTAAACATAATGAAGTGAGAATAAATCAGAAGAATTCCTGCGGTCGGCTTCGCTGGCAGCCTCCCCGAAACTTAATTATGCTTAATTGTTTAGAGGAAAGAACACGCAGAGGCAATTAGGAACGATATGCACGGGCAGCTCCTCACAGGGGGAATCACACGTGTGATATTTGCACACTCCATGATACTATGTTAAACTATACGTGTGCAGATCAACGTATACTCAGAGAACCACGCGCACAACATATTCTATACTTTTCTCGTGACAAATATGTCTTTTCCATAGTGTGAATACAAGAGTCCCGTTTTTTTTTTTATAAAAAGCAAATAAATATCATCATAAACATCATCAAATACCAACTCCTTTATGTGTGTGTAGCTCTTCTGCAGAGCATTAAAGGGATAGTTTGTCATTTTGGAAAATGCACGTCGACAGTTTACGGAGGAGCGTTTGTTTTGTAATGTAAACTACAATGAACGAGAGCAAACGACTGCAAATATTGTGTTGTTTGTTTGTCATGACGACCTTCATGAGATGAGAAGACCAAAACCAGGCTAGCTGTTAAGTCCAGTCTTTATGCTAAGCTAAGCTAAGCTAAGCTAGGCTAGACAATTTAGATCATTTAACTCTTCCAGAAGTTGTACAAGCGTATTTCCCAAACTGCATTTTAAATGCCTAATAATATTTTACTGAAAAAGTTGGTTACATACAGTACACACGTTAAAAAAAGCATATACATATTAAACGACTCATAGAAAGGTAGACATGCCAACGAGTACGCACACACACACACACACGCACACACACACATATGCTGTATATAACAAGCACCACTGCATATGTAAGTACTGACACTCGATCACACACACACACACACACACACACACACACACACACACACACACACACACACACACACACACACGTCCCATGAAGAATTGGTCACTGCTCAACCAGCCGAAGTACTTCAAGCGAAAGAAGTACTTACACTATGTTAATTACACCCAAAAGGGATTTCACAATAAAAGTCTAAACAGGTGATTAAACTTACAATTAAAACAATAACATGAAAAAATATGTGTAATAGAGGAACAACATTGTTTCCATCTCTATTTGGTTAATAGTTGAATCTGCTCTGCAATTCAATATTGTGCAAAACTGTCTTTTTTTTTTTTTCTTCTGAAAATGCATTGAGAATAAAAAGGCTTCTCGGATCAAACTGCAACCCAGAGGATTGAAATGTTAGTGCCGCCCTCGTGCGCGATCCGGTTAACTCGCCCGCGGACACAGTCCAGCGTGACGTAGACCGCCGTGCCGTTCTGCACCGGGAACGAGGCCCTCAGCCCGATGCTGGCCCACTCGCTCCCTTCGGGCATCGCTCCGGCCACCTGCTGAGCCACAGGACCCGCCTGCCCGCCCGGACCGCCCGCCCGCTGCAAGGTGACCTTCACAACGTTGCAGGAGTGTATCAGCTTCAGGTTGAGCGCCACGTTCGCCGTCCCTCTCTCGTGGAAGACAAAGTTCCTCCGGCTGCTGGGCTCCCCGGAGCGGGCCAGGCCCACCTGCGGCGCGTCGGCGCCGACCTGCTGGAAGGACAGCGGCTTGTTCCTGACCGCCCCGGAGGGGAGGCCCGTCCGGGACACGGTGGCGCTCAGCGCCGACGACACCGCCGAGGGAACCCAGATGAGGCTCAGCACGCTGATCCCGCTGCTGTCCCCGAAGTAGCGGATGTTGCACTGCGACGGAGACGTGATCTCAAAGCTGAGCGTGTCGCCGCCGCCCACTCTCACGGCGCCGGAGAGGGTGATGGACGTGTCCCGGTAGTTGACGCCCGCCTTGAACGCTTGCGTCGCCTCCTGGCCGGTCCCGTTGCGGCTGACGTAGGCGATCAGGGAGAAACCCTCTCGTACGCAGGTGTGGCCCATGGAGTAAAGCGCCTGTTGCAGGACGAACTTCACCACGCCGCTCTCCGTGAAGCGCACGCCGCGGTTGTCGTGCGTCAGAGCGACCATGTAAGGGTCGGACACCGAGGTCACGCGGAAGGTCGGGCGGTAGCTGGTCTGGTAGTGCGTCAGCAGGGACATGTGGGCCGTCATGGCCACGGCGCCGGTGTCGTGCGACAGCCACAGCAGGCTGACGGACGGGGCGGCGATGTCGTACAGGTGGAGGTCCTTGCTCTGGTTGCAGTGTTGATTCGGGCTCCTCAGCAGCAGAGTGAAGATGTGGTCGGGCTCCACCTCGACGCCGCTGCTGACGCTGACGCCCTGGAAGTGTTTCCCGTCCGGCTGTTCGATGCGAACGCCGCTGAGGTCGCGACCCCCCTCCTCCTCCTGGCTCCCGTTGAGCCTCATGCCCACCTGAAGGAAGTTCCTGCAGCTGTGCTTTATGGCAAAGTTGTGATCCAACCACACGAGGCCGTGCTGCAGGAACGTCACCTGCCCGGCCTCGTTGGACAGCAGGTCGATTTTCTCTTTGCCCCGGATGTTGAGCTGAAGCCCGGGGAAGATGTGGCCCCCGGAGGACCTGGCGGGCGGTACTCCCACGCTGGCCCCCCACGACTGAGAGAGTCGGATCTGCGAAGGCCGGCCGCAGACGGCGTCGGTGACGGCCGCGCAGGGAGCCGAGACGGGCTCTCCGTCGCAGTCGCTGCAGGCCTGACACTCCTGCAGCTCCTGGTTGTAGAAGTAGTCGGGACCACAGAAGCCCGTCGCTGCTTCTCGCTCAGAAACCCCCAGACACCTGAACCCCCCTGTGCAGTTAAAGACGCTTTACACACTGCCTTTGTATCATAATAATGATCATTATCAAATGAAGCCAATGTGTTACCTGGAGTATTGAGACACTTCACTCGCTCTCCACAAATGTTTGGTACTTACAGGCATTGGTCTCTGTCCTGCAATTCATAGAAATGATCATTGTCAATTCAGTTTTACTATTAATTATCACTTTATTCTGATAAAGGAGGAGTGAAGACTGACTGATTCCCTCGTGTCAAGTTTTAATTACTAAATGAACTTTTACATCGCAGTTATCCGTCTCACCGCGTCTTGAATGAAGTAAGGGCGTGAATGTATCAGCGTCGCGTGTGGTTCTGTACCTGGCACATCCGGTCTGCTGTAGGAGAACACTGCGAGATGAGAAAGAAGCCCGGTGGACACATGGTGCACTTCTCACACTGAGGCGGGTCCCTCTGGAAATCACAGAACTCCTCCCGCCCACAAGGCGACGGGCAGGCCTGCAGAGGTTGAGGAAAACGAGCCTCTCCGACGACATCCATCGCCTTCGCGTCCGCGTCCACCTTGTGCACGGCGTAGGACTTCTGCAGGTGGCTGCGGGCCTGGCTCTGCAGACCCGCCAGGTGGTTCTCGAAGTAGCTCTGCAGCTCGCCCTGCAGGCCCTGGAAGGACACCTGCTTGACGGTGTCCGAGAGCAGGCCGTACTGGGCCTTCACCACGTCCATCTGCTCATACATGCGCCGCTGCTGGTCCAGGATCTCCCTCTGCTGCGACAGCAGCGCCTCCTGTTGGTCGGCGAGCTTCTGCTGCAGGTCGCGGATGACCGTCTGCTGGGCGCGAAGGGCCTCCACCAGCTTCTCCTGCCCCTTGGACAGCTGGAGGTGCAAGATGAGGGCATCTTCTGAGGGAACTTCGTTCTCGCCTGGGCGGAAAAGAATGCAGAATGGGATCAGACAGTTTTCTTTATTGTTGAACAGTGCAGTTTGGTGAAGGGGTTAAAAGAGTAGTATATCTTCTGCAAATGCAAAAACAAAATTGAAACACACATTGACCCAGTTTTATTCGCCCGGCTGGCGAGCGCACTGAAAGTTTCCTTCATGGACCAACATCAAAGCACTCAACATTTTCTGGACAACTGACTCACAGACATTTTTCCACTTCAGTTGCTCTACAGATACAATTTTGGGCTGAATGTCAACGACGCCTTCGTTTACTTCGAGACCACAATCCCATTGTGTTGCTCCCTGGTGGGAAAAGGGGTCCAAGTCGATAAAGGGTTACATGTGTTTAAATTAGAGGGAGCAAGATCATAAATCATCAAGTTCTTTCGAAGCTTGTCACTCGCAGTGCTTCATAAAGCATCTGAAATGTCGCAGGGAAATGATAAGGTGATGAGACCTGGTTTGATGTCACACGTGAGCTGGACACCCAGAGGCGCGCCGCCAAGTTCCGATGACGGGTACCCGAGCTCCGGGAAATCTCCCAGAAACTGCGCGGCTCTGTCGGACAGATGGACGGGGGGAAGCTGGCTGGCGCTCTCCTCCGAGCTGCAGCCGTCTCCCGCACAGGACCGCGCGCGGACTCTCGGCCGTATCTTCTGCGGCAGTCGGCACTCGATCCCTCTGCAGTCCCGGGTGTCGTTGGAGGGCTGAGACCGCTTCACGGCGGGGGCGCACTCCGCGTCCGCGCATCCCGCGGGGAGAACGCGCGCCGCCGCCGCTGCCGCCGCTGCCGCCGGGGAGCCCGGGTGTGCGTGGTGCTGGCCGGCCACGATCTGCGCCGGTCTCCCGTGCGTCGTCGGGTCGTGCTGCCGCGGCGGTCTGGAGGTTCTGCTCCCCGGGCAGCGCGCTCCGGTGCACGGTCTTGGATCGCCGGTGTCCGCGCCGAAGCAGTGCGTCCCCCGGCAAACCTCTGCGACAGCTTGCAGTGAGATCCAGGGCAACAGCAGCAACAGCACCGGTGTTACTAAAAACATTTTTTCTTGCGGCAGATGTTGTCTGTTTTACTTTGCCTGCATAAAAAGGCAAATAACTAAAAAAAAAAGGTCAGTAAAGCGTTTGATCGGGAAAAATCTCCACTCTTCTTTGAGTGAGCTAAAAAACAGCCCCAAAGTCCATCACAGATCTTCTCCTTTGAGAGGGAACCGAGCACAGACTTGACATGAGAGAGCCTTGATGTGCACTTCTGGATGTGCATTACCTTCAGCCTGTCAGAGGGGAATAAAACCATCAGGCTGCCTGCGCCAATCTGAGCTCTGCGCGATGCTGTGTCCGTATGTGGCATTCCTGAGACTTAATTAGCATCAGGTTTCCCCGGCCGCAGATTAACCCTTCACCTTCCCTCTTCTCCTGGCAGGATTTCCCCCATTGTGGAGAACCGAAGCAGAGGGAAACATTTCCGTCCCAGAATCACACATTTGCTCATTTTTTTATTTATTTTTTCAAATGAAAAGAAACACCAACACAAAGGCGTCCCAGTGACCGCGTGGAGACAGCTGCTGGTCCCCAACCCCGGTGTCCTTCGGGTTGGACCGGCCTCGTCAACACCGAGCGGCCCTCTTTACAGAGGTCAAGCCTTCGTTGAAGGGACAGAATGGAAGGAGGCTGGAATGTGGGACCCACAGCTGGTTCGTGAAGCCTCTCATTATGTGCAGCCGGAGGTCATGTGAGGATGAGACGTGTGGCAGGATGACTGGCAGGTTCTGATGTCATTCTCCGTTGGGATTATTTTTGAGAGCATTATGAAAAAGGAGACATCATAATAAAGTTATGAGTCAAAAAAAGATGCCTATGTTCTTTGAGTTATCTCTGAATATTTAATACCTCTATTTCATAATTAAACGTACTCACTTCTGAAACACATTTGTTACTTGGTTTCTGTTCATTTTCATAAATTCTCTCGGAACTTGTAATACTTTTTGTCATTTACCAAAAGGTTAGTTAAGACGTCTTTATGTTTAACCTTATTTCAGTTTTCAGCCCTGAAGCAAACATGCATGTTTTTTTTTCATTCTCTCTTGATGTGGAAAAAAAACATGCGTTTCATACAAAGAAAAATCCAGCTGTTTGCTACTTGGTGAGTGGATCGGTGGTCCACAAAGGAAGTGAGGGGTGCAGGTAGCCTGACATGCCCCCCCACACACACACACTCCCCCGCTGAGCAGGAATGTTTAAACAGCAGAGTACAAACAGAGGGCACCACAACCCCGCATCACTCTTCACATCCTCATTGTGGCGTTTTGTCCTCTGCAGAGCTACATTTGACGAATCCCCACTGGTTTTCATTACCCCCCCTCCTTTGCGTTGGTGCACAGAAGCTCAGAAAGTGCTGTGTGCGAGCTCTCTGATTGAATGTGATGGAGACGCCTCGCCGTCCCTTCAGAACCAGGAGTCAGCCGCGCTTTGTTTTGCAGCCTGTGACGCTTTCCAATTGCGGCTCTCGCTTTATTTAAAAAGCACAACATCTGCGTCGGAAGGAAACAGAAGAGTTGTGGGCCCGTGGACTCGGAGGCCGAGCTGTGCGAGCTGCGGCGTGCCCACATTGGCACGTGGTGGCTTTCCCCTCTGCTGCAATCTGAGCGACTGAAGGCTGCACCGACACAGCAAAATACCACAAATGGAGAAGTCAAATTTGACTTTATGATCAGGTGAAAACAGGTCAAAGCGCTTCTTCTTCCGTCGCCACTTTCTGACCTTTTCCAAATGTTTGGACGTCTCTGTGGACCGAAGGGCCTTTCCAAAAAAGTTAAATCTGTTTTTTTTTTTAAGGCCTCCCAGGACGACTCAAGGGGAAATGCAAATAAACTATCTGCGTCTGCCGAGTCAGATAAGAACCAGAGACTATTCATAGCTGGACAGCTTGGCTTTGCTCAGTCACCCCCCCCCCTTCACCCCCCCTCCCCGCGCCTGAAGACAACTGACCACGTTGCACCACCAGTGGCTTAACTCCTTCCTGATTTCCGAGTGACGGAAGGTGGGCTGAGCGTAAGCGTAACATCTCCTGAGGAGAATCCCGATCCCTGCTGTCTGGGAAACACCTCCAGGGAGGTTCAATCATTAACCTGCGTCCTCCTGCTGAATCAGCCCTTCTCAGACACTTCACCGCCCTCCCCCCCTCTCCTCCTTCCCAACACTCCACCATCCACCCGCTCCGTCCCGGTACGTGAAAAGAGCAGATAAGCAGCGCGTGGAGTGGGGCGGCCCGGCGTTGCCCAAACAAGCCGCTTTGTGAAATTGTCGAGTTTTTTCAGCAGGAATGCAGCGGCAGGTCGAGACCTGAACTTCCGCATTGAGCAGGAAGAAGTCGACAGGCGAGAGAGACAGATGCGATCCGCGCACACACACACACACACACACACACACACACACACACCCTGATCTGCCCTGAGCGCGTTGAGCTTCATGAGAGAACAGAGTACGCTGAGGTGGAACCGATGTCCATGAAGCTCCAAACTAACTGGTGAAACAAGGATTAATACATTTGACGAGGTGAGTTACTCCGCTGCCGAATCCGACCCTCGGTTAACGGTGAACAGGCGCAGCTGCTTTCCTCTCAGCGTCTACGTGGCTTTGTGCATCGCTGTTCTTTTTCAATCCTTTTTCTCCACCAGCTGGAAGGATTAATACAGATATCGTTCATAAAACTGAAGAAGGGGGATTTAAAACCTCCTCTTCCTCCATCCGGGCTTTTAAAAGCTGTCAAATCACAACAGCACAAACTATCTACTGTCGCCCATTGGTGTCTTTGACCTGACGGGATGAAGCTTCATTAGCTCTCTGCACAGCGATAAGGGGTCATCAGGCTGCTCTAATGTCATGAAAACAGGGTTCTCTCTCCAACTGGGTGGAACCGACTCTGATGTCAGGCTGCTGTATGACTCAACAAGCAGGAACCCACGAGCTCGGCCTTTTGTTTTAAAGCTGTCACCAACAATTACGCTACTTTGGGCTTGTAACTGTATCATTGGGAGCTTCTTTAACAAATAGATTAGTGTCCACGTCTGAGGAAAAATACTCCCTTCAGGCCGCCGCGCGATACGATCTGGTGTTGTTGTGAAATGCCTGCAGCAATGATTCCTCTTTTTCTTTTTTTTTTCTGGCCTCAGGCGCTTTTTGTTTCTGCTGCCAACCCCGTATTCTGCAACACAGCACGTTCACTTCTGTAAACGCGTCCGCCAAGGCGAAGGCCGTGGAGCCACTTTGGGTACATGGCGGTAAACAAACGGCCGCTCGCCGCTGTTTGTCGGCTCGGCTCCCCTCTCCGCCGGCCAGAAACTCGAGTCAGACGTCTGAGGACTGAAAAAAGATCCATCGTCAGTTCGTCCGATTTAAAAAGGAAAACTCTCATTGGAGAACTTCATGCCACGGGGGGGGGGGGCCTCTGTCAAATAGCAGCAGCCGCGCCGCCGCCGATTCTCCACCAAACTTGAAGCAGTACTGCCGATTAGAACGTTTCGGCGTGATTTCACAACGGATCCCCTGTCAGCTGTGATGCCGGTTCCTTCACTCACCGTCTTTTCTCTAAAAGCAATAAGTGACACGAGAGGAGGGGATCAACTCTCTGGCTGAAGAGATGAGATCGATAACATTTTTAAAATATAAAGGTGCCAGATAGCTCAGCTCGGCTGAACCGTGACGGTTACAATAACACATTTTAATCTTGTGTTTTTAATCATTTATGCTGATTCATATGTGATCAGCCCTTATGATTCACTAAAATAATCCCCTACTGCCTTCCTACACACAGAGACTCAACTGGTAATGACCTACTTATATGACTGGTGGTTATGACTGGTGGTTATGACTGGTTGTTATGACACCTGCGTTTGCTATTCACATGCGTAACATTTAAAAAAGTTCCATGTGTGAAGCGTAACATGAACACGATCACAATCAGCCGTTTTTTAACGTTTGCTAATCTTTTTTTTGTTTCTCTATGTGTGATTTTAAAAACGAGTTTCAGCACAAACGCTGTGTTCACGTGGTTTTGTGCGGTGGTTTGTGTGCTGTGGTCGCAGCAGCGAAGTCATTTGTGTCGTGGTTCTCCAAAAACACAAGATGAAATGTGGAACCACCAGAAAAAGAGGGACAGTGACCGTTGAATCTGCTTAACGTGACGTTCGGTTGAGCTGCTATTCAGGACGTCTCGTGCGTCGGCTCGGGTTATACGTTCAGACGCAACAATGTGCGTGAAGGAAACGGCGTCGGCGCTGCAAGGTGGCAGGCTCGCGTGTCACCATTTCCAGCGCGATTTCTACATCTGAGGGGGCAGGAAGTTCACCCCGAACCACTTCCTCCTGGGGCCAAAGCATTCTTGTAAGAGGGTGGAGCAGCGGGTGGGGGGGTGACACACATGGAAACACCCGCGGGGCGACGTCACGTGGAGATTATTGCGTGCTCCTGAAGTCAGGATGGGAAACGACCACGGAGGCGTCACGGCCAGAGACGTCGTGCGAGCTGTTATCAATCATCTACGCGAGGCCTTTTATGGTCTCAGACACTGTTTCTCTTTCTCGAGCTTCAAGCCGCGCGAGCTCGTGCTATTCTGCTGGAACAATATTGATCCATTTGTTATTTAAATGAGGACCATCAATGTCGCTGCCTGGAAGCCGATCAGTCGCCCTCGTCTCGGGGCCTCTGCCTCGACCGTCGAGCTTTTGCTTTCGATTAAAACTCTGCAAATGTTTTCTTTTGCTCTGGACGCTCAGTAAACTGATTTAAAGCGGCAACGGGTAAAAACAGGGAGTTAGAGATCATATTTTCATGTTCAATAAGTGAAGACCGGAGATTTACGCTAACGTTTCTCTGTCGGTCTGAGTTAAACCAAAGGATCAGTTCGGCGGCTGAACGTTCCTGCGAGAGTTCTAGAATAAACAAGGTGTGCAGCCGGGCTGAGGTCAAAGTCCATTTATAATCACCGTAGCACCAAACCTTCAACCTTTCCTCGGCTACTTATGTCCAAACATAACGAATGTCTTCTTACAGTTAAAGATCACCACGTTAATCTTGATGCGACAACCCGACCTCCGAGGAACGCGGACCAGACGCGCTTCTGTGCGCTGAGGCATCGACAAAAATGAACCCATTTCTCATCCGTTTTTGTAATTTTGTAAAGCTGAATCTATTTATGTTTTGTCCCCAAAAAGTTGCACCCTCGCCGGCTCCTGCAGAGCAGCTGCAGAGCTGCATTTCTGGAGTCGAAACCCATCAAAGCGCCGCTGAACGGCCGAATGAACGGCCACTGACCCGTCCCACTGCTGGTCATGTTCCACTGCGGGAAAACAGGGCCTCTGTTTTGACTGCACATTCTATCCCATCATAACATTGGCTCTCAGGAAATGGGGCTTCAAACGGTACTCGGCCGAGCGACGGCGTGCTGCACACACTTACAGATGTCGAGCGAGTCTTTGGGAGTTGTTGTCGCGGGGACGATTTGGCTACTTTTCGACTGAAGTGATTCCCAGTGGCGTCCGATAACTTCTCCCTCCCCGTATCTGATTACATCCCCTCAGGCCGTGCGGTCGGCGCAATCCCTGTTGTGTGCACTGCTAGCGCCGTTAGCGTCAACATTGCACTTTTTAAACTAAATAGCCCTGAAGCAGTCGAGTGAAGGAGTCTTGATGAGCAATTTGACAGCATGCATATTTTGTTACGGCGGGTGGCTTCTCATTTATTTCCGACTCAGCACATTTTAGGCAGTATTTAGTTTAGTTAAAATGACATACAAAACATGATCACGTCTCACTCTTTAGCTCAGCATGTGCAACAAGACAAGACACGCTGCCTTGGAAGTCCTGCATGCTTATTTATGTCCTTCCTTCAGTCGGGGTGGAGATGATACGAGGGCCTCGGGGCACAAATCGCTGCAGCACACATTTTAGGGTGAAGCAGCAGCAGATCAGATGCACCTCTTCGTTCCACACGTCGCTTCACCCTCATTCATATGGCGGTCGATTAACAAGTGGCGATGGTGAAAAGTGAACATGTGGGATCTTTCAGCGTTTGATTGCGTGTCTCACACTTGTGTTGTTGCTTTTAAACAGATGGACGACATCGACGCCATGTTCAGCGACCTGCTGGGGGAGATGGACCTCCTCACCCAGGTGATCTAAGACGGCTGTCACGGCCACTACGATCGTACATTTACAATCCCGATTTCGAATCCCTTCCATTCGGCTCGTGACACACAGAAGCTCGGCGGCTCGGTTGTTGGTGTAGCACCTCGAACCAGATGTATCGTTGAGCGTGTAAACACCAGACCTCACAGTGGGAGTTCATGTTTCAGAAGGCGCTGCACAGATGGGATGTCAGTGCCCTTACAAACAAAGTGCCTTGTTCTTTCTCCCCCCCTCCCCCCTCTCTTCCCTCTGCAGAGTCTCGGAGAGGAAACGGTACCTCCTGCAGCCCCCCGCAGCACCAACAAGGAGGCCAACACTTCCATGGGCTTCACCAACGGTGACTTAAGCATTTTGTCCGTGAAGCGCGTTGAGGTGTTGCACCGCGTGCAAAGACAGGATGTAAACTGCGGTTACATAGAAAAGGATCCATGGCTGCGAGATACGGAGGGAGATAAATATCAGTCGTGCGTCTCTGTGGTCTATCTGGCTGCTGTTGGAGAGGTGACGGACAAAGATGGAGGTCGCTGTCCACGTGCCAGTTAATCATAGTTTGTTTTTGGCTCTTATGGGCTGTAAAAGGTGCTGATGTTAAATCGAGGTCGGCATTTATAATAAATCTTCATTTCCCAGTACGTTGTGGCGGTTGTGGCCTGCAGTGTGTCAACAGATGTTCTTCCCCAGAGTCCCTCAATGAACTCGAGGACACCGATTTGGATGCGCTCATGGCAGATCTGATGGCGGATCTCAGCGCCACGGAGGAGAAATTCGCAGCCCAACAGGAAGATCTGAGAGCGTCGTTCCCGCCCCCGCCGGACCTGCCGCCCCCGCCAGCGGGCCTGAGCCCACATCCGACCTCCGCCCTCGCTTACCCGGCGTCGCCGGCGGGCAGCTACGGCAGCGACGTCATCACCCCGGCCTCCTCCGGCGCCTCTCCTCTGCCACCTCCGCCCCCTCAGGCCACCAAGCCTACAAAGGTGAGATGTTGGACAGCATCATCTCTGCTCACAAACATCTCCCGCTTTCACCTCCCACCCGTTTTCTTTTTTTGCAGAATACCAAAATGATTGATTGCAGACATTCGATGTCTTTGTATTATTTTAGGCTCTTAAAATGCAAGGCGTAAGAAAGAGGTGAAGCTCATCGCTAACTTAGCCGTGCGTGTATGAAGTATCGCAGCGGAAACGCGGCGAGTCAAAGTGAGATCATGGGGACGCATCTGTCCCAGAGACCCGTGAGTCCGCCTGGAACAGATCAGACACGTGCAGACGTGAGGAGAAGAGTCACAGGTCGGTGAGAGGAATCCAGACGGGAGCTTATTGCTTCAGCAGGGAGCTTCTTACCTCATCCTCCTGAGGTGAAAACACCAGCTGTGCTGAAGCAGAGAACGTGTCACTGTAGACGTGCACAAGTTCATTAAAACTGCACCGTAGGAAAACACATTGAGTTACAATCTGCTCGAGGAGATTTAGAAGATTAGTTCTAATGTGCCGGGCGAAATCCTCGAATTCCCGCTTCGCGTGTGAGACGTCATTGACTTGAAGTCAAACACTGCAGCTCCTGAGCAGCGTTGAAAGCGTTCAGCACCCTTTGGGGGAGACGACCTCATCTTTGTCCAGAGCTACACAAGAATATCGATAGCAGCATTATGTGTGTGCAGTAAATGTCAAGCTACAGCCGGCCGTCAATTAGCTTAGCTTAGCATAACAAATGGAAACAGGGAAAAGCTACCTGGCTTTGTAACGTACTAATGAGGTTCTACGTTTATTTAATCTCTTGAACCATCACGATGAATCTATTCTGCACGTAACTTAACATCATATTCTTCGTCGCTGTTTAGGAGGAAATTGAGGCGCAGATGAAAGCGGAAAAAATCAAGCTGGCCCTCGAGAAGCTGAAGGAGGCTAAAGTGAAAAAGGTAAGAGGACCAGACGGCGAGGAGTCCTCCTCTGATCTCACGTCCACTCGCATCCACGCCGCGAATCATGATCAAAGAAGGCAAAGATCTCCACACTCGCGTCTCGACTGAGATGATTCAGGGTGTGTGTGGGTGGGTGTGTGTGTGTGTGTGTGTGTGTGTGTAGAGGCCACCCTCACAGGAACATCTGTGTGCTGGAGAGCAAGGTGCACTCTCAGTGGTTTCAGCCGAGCGTCTGTGGGCAGAAGCCCTCGAGTTTCATGCTTCCTACTCGGGTCACGTCTTCTAAAGACGGCCGCCTCGCATGAGGAAGTGCCGTAAGAGGGAAAATAACTCGATATCCAGCGATATTTCATTCACCCACATGTCAAACCCGTTCGGTTTCCCAAAGGTCGCGGCAGGGGAACGCGTGATTTAACGCTGGACCCTCTCGTAACAACATCTCTGAATCCCACATTTTCACCACACGTGTGCAGCGAGGCCACAGGCCGTCGGTGCTGTGAGGACGTCTCGGCTTCCCAAAGCTGGATCGGTTTCAGATGAGAGGAAGTGTGAAGCCATGCGAGCCAGCGAGGAAAGCGCCGCTCCGCTCCAGCGCAGAATTCCTCCCGGCCGACTTGGCGAAGAAGGAGGTGCCGGGACCACAAAACGGAGATGAAGGCGACGGGGAGGAAATTACAAAAAAAAACAAAGCCAAAGGGGGCGAAAGGCAAACGGAGAGACAGAAGTGCTGATGCTCTCACTCCGCCGGTGACACCACGGAAACAACCATTTACTGTACGTGCACTGTGATTACGCTGGATCCTCAGCAAGACGCGTTGACCCGATGACACACTGCAGACGCACTGTCGCGCTGCTACTTCAATCCGTCGTGCAGATGGCAGAAAAGTGAATATCGGTGCACACGAAGCCACAGCCTGAAGCGCGTCAGGATCAGAGGAATCACACAAAGGGCCTGGTGAACGCTTTATCTGCAGGTTAAATCCCTCAATCAATAATCAATAAGTAACTATTGGGAAGACAGCAGCATGTTTCCAACATGTGTGCACCTGTAAATGTAAATGAAGCCTTCTAAAATGTACTGAAATGTCCATAATTACTAATGCTGGCGTGCTGCAGCCACCTGAAGCCAACGTAATAAAGGTGTATTCTCTCTCTTTCTTCTGTACAGTTGGTGGTAAAAGTGCTGCTGAATGACGGCAGCTCCAAGACTCTGATGGTGGACGAGAGGCAGACGGTCAGAGAAGTTCTGGACAACATGTTCGAGAAGACTCACTGCGACTGCAACGTGGACTGGAGCCTGTGCGAGACCAACCCGGAGCTCCAACTGGGTGAGTTACTGCACCACCCGCCGTGACCTAATGGGGGATGCTGCACCCAATGCTCTCGCATCGGTAAATCCGAGGTTTATGTCTATAAAGTGTTTATAAAGGCCGAGGAGCTCGTAGTGAGAGAATAGTAGAAATGGCGAAAGCAGCAAAACTTATATTAAATTCATGCAGGGCTTCGGCCGTATCATTTGAATTAAAACCAACGCCAAGGATGTAATAAAATACTTTTTACTAAAGGTGGTTGGTTCACTGGAGCGAGGGAGAATAATGGCACGGGGCAAGATGAATTAGTAATGTTAGTTTAAAATCATCACAAAAAATAGCAGGAAGGTTTAAGGGCAGAAATTATTGCTGTTGTTTTAAGTAGAACACAAAGAAGAACTTTGCAATCGTTCAGCCTCCTGGATGAAAACGTGTGTATTTGCTTCCATGAATCGCTCACAGTGAGAAATAATCACACTTTTAAGTTTTGTTTTCAGACGATAAAAAGCTGGTTTTGTACTCTGAGGGTTTTAACCTCGTTGTTTTTCTCTCTTTGCTGCACAACTTAAGACTCACATGTTAATCCTCCCTGGCAGAGCTGTAACATCTGCAACACTGATATCTAAACCATCAGCAGGTGTTAAGTTATTGGGAGCCAAAGCCACAAAAAGAGTGTGTTGTTAACTGGGAGGGAATAAAATGAAGCTTTATGACCAGCGGTTGATCCATCCTCGGTCCCCGCTGCTTCTATCGTGCTGATGAAGCACCGCGCTGCTCCAATCTGTGGTCCTTTTATGAGAGATTTGCTTTTTTACGCAACTTGTGACCGGTTTTTAAAATCCTTTGGCGCATAGATAAATAAATCAAAGAACTTGTTTGCTGGAATAAGAAACAAGCAGTAAAAAAAAGAGAGGAAATACTGGTGAAGCTCCTTGGTTGAGAAGCCGTTCTGGGTGTTTCTGCACTAAACTTCCAACGGAGTCTCACAGCGAAACGTGTAACAGCTACGTTGTGGAACGTGGTATCTCACGCTTTCTCCCCAAAATCGTGACAATACTACGTTTTATTTTGGCCTATTCATTTAAACGGAAGGTCTTCTACATTCTCTGATAGAAGACTATGAAAATGTAACGCATACTTCTCGCTAGAAATGCCATCGAAATGCGTACAAATGCTGATGAAAATCCTTTTTTCGGGGGGGGGGGGGGGGAAGTTAATGCTGAGGTTAATTATTTTAAGTAAAAGTCAATACTGTCGACAAAACCTAAAAGCTGAAATGACTTGTCTCCTTCAAAAGGAGGCCAGTCCCACATCAAATGAGGAATTGAGTATTTCCACTTGTTTACCATGGTTTATTTTTAAAGATGGCTGGTGTTTAAATTAGCTGTCTGACACACTGCAGAGCCTCATCTCTCTTCACTTATGGTCACGGGGGGGAACTCGTGTCTTCCCGTCACCCCCGGACTCCATCGCAGCTCGACGTTTGAAGGGATCTCAGACGCCTCCGAGCTTTAATCCTTGCCGGTGGATTCAGTTCAGACCAACGAACCTGGTCTGAACTGGAACCTGGCAGCAGTTTATTTAATGCCTCCCTCTGTCTCGGCTGGTGACCTGTAATTGGGGACCAGGGCTAAACTACAGTGCTGGAGATCTGCAGCGTGGGGGAGTGTGTGGGTGGGCGGTGAGGAGGAGGAGGAGGAGGAGGAGGAGGAAAGGGCCCTTAATGCGGGTTTAGTCCATTTAAAGTCCCTCCAGCTAAACGGGGAGGCTCCAGTTCCTTCGATCATCCCGTTTGAAATGGACAAAAAAAAAAAAGATGAATCTCTGGAACCGAGCTCGTCTGATTTAAAGACCTGCTGACGGAGCGAGCTGCCGAACACGTAGCGGGTTTCACATTCTGGCTCTCAGAGTAAACCGGCTTTTTGCAGATTAAAAAAATGTCTCCAGAGTGCTTTGACATTAGTATTTAAATGTGCCGAGAAACAATTTTCTATGGCTGCTTTTTACAGCAGGGGCGGAATATCTACAGGAATAATTATTAAAGTAAATGATCCATCACAACCACCCAGAACCATGTTGTCGTTCCAGCTTTAATACTAAAGCGCAGCAGACAGTTTGCGGCTCTGTGCTGTTACTCCAAAAAGACTTTTGGCCCGTCCACACGAAAGGTCCTTTTCATACCTGCAGCAGCTGTATTGTGCATTGGAAAAATGGACAAAGAGTCCATGAATTTCAGAGAAATGTTAAAATCCGCTTCCCTCTTGTTTGGCCCATTCTGTTAATATCCGTGACTTTTTATTCTACTTAAAGCGAACGCCGTTAGTCATTTCAAAGCCGCTAAAATCCCATGAAAACTACACACGCAGAATGACTCTAATCCCGTCATCCAAACTCTCCACCGACCTCTCTGTCGTCTTTTGACAGAACGGGCGTTTGAGGACCACGAGAACCTGGTGGAGCCTCTCTCGGCGTGGACGAGGGACAGCGAGAACCACGTCCTCTTTCAGGAGCGGGCCGAGAAATACGAGGTTTTCAAAAACCCACAGGTGGGTCCTCTCGCCGCGCGCAACCTCTGACGCCTGCCGCCATGTGACGAGTGATCAAAACCCCCCCGAGCGTCCAACACCGGGCCGCTTTCGGTGGATTCCTGCCCTTGGTTTGTGGGGATCCATCTCCGCGCTGTTCCAGCTGAGCGCCGTCTGGCTTTCTTCACTGTCAGAAGGTTTCCTGAATTATCAGATGTCTTCTCCTGCATGCAGGCCGACCTGCTACAATTATATCCTCACTGTAACACATCAGACAAACGGCCTTCAGCTCAACACACTGAGATCTCTGCATGATTGTTGACATAATGGGAAGCTTATCTGAATCCGGCGTATTTAATGGGTTCGGAATGTTGGCGGAGACAAATCGTCCTGTTGGAAAACTATAGTGAGAAATTCACACTTTTAAGTGCTCCATCATGTCTTGGCTGATCTCCTTTGTCCCAATACGTTGAATAAGTTGCGTTTTATCTCTGACCTGCAGAGCTTCTACCTGTGGAAGAAGAACAGGAGCGATCTGAAAGACATGAAAGACAAAGACAAGGAGTTGTTAATACAGGTAAAGGAACTTGTGCACGCAAACCAGACGATAAGTATTTTATTTACTGCTCCTCGCAGTGACCCCCGACCTTCGTCTCTCTCCACCCCTGCAGGAGAACTTCTGCGGGACGTCCACTATCGTGCCGGATCTCGAGGGAGTGATGCACCTCAAAGAAGACGGCAAGAAGTCCTGGAAACCGCGACTCTTCCAGCTGAGGGCCTCTGGAATTTACTACGTGCCCAAAGGGAAAACCAAGGTCAGGGGTCAAAGCGGGGGCTCTAACTCTGGGTTCGTTCAGCTGAGACGGTCAAAGCCCAGCAGATTTAGGGATATTTCTGTGTCAACATATAGTGTCACATGCAGATATATTGATATAGTGTCAACTGGAAGTTAGATTTGTTTGATCACACACGATGTGCTCACTGGTTTAAGAGTCAAAGGGACGATGTGACTTATGTGACCCTTTATTTGTCTTGCAGTCGTCCCGTGACCTCGTCTGTTTCGTCCAGTTCGACAACCTGAACGTCTACTACGGCAAAGACTTTAAGGGCAAATACAAAGCCCCGAGCGACTTCTGCTTCCTTCTGAAGGTAAGCGATCGGCCATCGGAGATATCAACGCAGAACAGAAGATTTCCACACAGCCGCTCACTTCCCTGCAAATGTCAAATGCAATAAATACCTTAAATTGAAGAAGTGGAACGAGACATTGTTCTCGAATTGAGCTAAAAGTGGTGAGAAAGAGAGGTCGACTGTGGACAGAAGTACACAGTTCCTAGTATGTTTTTAAAGTGATACTGGTACGTTAAGACCAAAGAAATGCTGAGCGACATGAAAAACAAAACAGAACTGAAGAAGAGAAGCGTTGGTGGTCGGTGCGAACGGGATGTGAAAGTCCTCTTTCTTTCTTTGCTCTCGTCTTCTCCGGGAAGTACTGGACTCAGCAGATGCTCAGCCAGAGGAGGAGGTGGGGGAGGTGGAGGAGGTGTAGGAGGGAGGAATGGCTCTGGGGGAGGCGGGTCCTGAGAACACCGCAAATAACACCATTCAATGAGATCAGAGAGGCAAATAAACCGAATTGTCCTTCCGGTTTAGGGATTACACAGAGAGACGCCTCGGCTGTGGTACATGGTGATCACGATGATAACGGAAGCTGTGTATAACATTAGGGCGTTTTTTTGTCAGTGGGGCTTCCTGAAGTCTCTAATACATCCTCATCACGCAGAACTGAGATCATGACATTACGTGTGAAGACAACAAACGCCTCCTATT